TTCTCGCGAGAATGAATAAAAAGTTTAATCGCCTTGATTAATTGGATACATATTGAAGAGAAGTAGTAAACGTAACTTTTTTCATTAACTTTCAGCACTGTTCAGTTTTTTCTTGGTATATGTAACTTACATACGACGTCATGTGACGTCAGAGTCTAGACGCACCAAATGTCACGTGCGGTTTGAAGAGCCCGATCTAAATTAAAACAATAGAAGAGTTAGCGCTCGCTCTAACGGTCGGACCGTCAACATATTAGCGAGCGCAACGAGGCGGCGCACGTAGCGAGCTCAATAGACTAACATGTACGAACGGAGGAAATTCGGGTTGAAATCTGCACATTGTTTCAAGAAATTTTTATCTCACCGCGTGAAAAAATTCCGAACTCCCAATAATCCTTTGCGGTGCATAGCAACATGGTGGCTAAAACATAGCAACAACTTACTTGAAAAAAATTACAAACAACGATTTAAGATTCAACATCCATGCCACGAAACTATCGTCTGCGTTCTAAGTCAACAGGACTTTTTATTTGACGTCATACTTTCGTCACTTAACGGCTCGGGTATTTCCGATTTTGTCAGAAACTTCTGAAAAATTCGGAATTTCGATCCCGACGCCTGAGAAGTGATTTCTTTTTATTCTTTTTTTTTTTAATGAACTGAGGATAGGCAGTGCAAGTAATAACTGTGCAAAAGGTTTTTGATAGTAAATAACTGCGCTCGCCCCAACGGTCGCACCGTAGAACATATTTAAAAAAATACAGAAGTTTTAAGTGTTCATTTTTAGCTCTGTACTAATTGTTGCGATAGATATTAAGAAAAGTTTATACGAGATGTTTAATTTTGTATTGGAATGCCGTTGCACCAAAAATATAAATTAGATTTAAGTGCTTACTTTTACTGCACGTTAAATGGCTATAATTAAACACGACGGACTTGTCCTTTTTTAAAAAAATTTGTTTGAAAGTCTCTATGCTTGAAAACAGCATCAGTTGAGATGGGCTAAAGCTTGTTAATTAAAAGTCTTAATTTGGATGTGGATCTGTGGAGTAGCTTAAAAATCTACAATTATGTTTTATTTCTAATTAAACATCCTCCTTTGTAAAAAAAAAAAAAAAAAAAAAAAAAAAAAAAAGGCTGTGTTTTCTTTATTTTCCTTTCGAAATAAATGTTTAATCCATTTCTATTTATAAGATTACTAGTATCTCATTTAGGTAGTGAAATATTTTTCTGTATTGTGATTCAACATCTACAAGCATATTGTAAATAATTGTATCAGTAGAATGTTTAACTTATCACCGTCTTTCCACCTGAAATACTTTAAATTGGCACTTGAAATACACAGCATTACTACAGTACATCTAGTCATGTTGTATATTTTATTTTCTGAAATAAGTAGTGTATTAATACTTTACGGTGGCTGGTATAGGACATGGTTTGAGATTTTTTTTAATAATAAATTACCACGAAATTTATTTCGTTCCCACGGATTTTTATTTCGTGGCCACGAATTAATAAAAAAAAATCTCGAACCATGTCCTATATCAGCCACCGTATATACCAGCCACCGTATTATTTTGATAACCTTTAAAAGAAGTGTTTTTGAAGAACATGTAATCCACTTTTGACATATGAGCATTATTCTGTATAAGCCTGTATACATAATTTGTGTTTTATATACTTTTTGGAAATAAAGAAAGCGGAGAAAGAAGACAGTATTTTACTTATTTTTTCCTGCAAAAATACCATTATGAAATCATTGTCAAATCAGAACGTCAGTTCAAAAGTCCATTAAACATTACAAAATAGGAGCGGAGCAAACACACACCTCCAGAACATCAGAGGTGTAATCAGGCTAATAGCAATGCTAAATATATCAAAAGAAGTTATTTAAGGAATCGTTATGCATTAATTATTCCACCATCGTTGATGTCCCTGGCATACTATACTAACTAGACAGTGATTCCTTATATTTCCATTTCATTGTGAAATAAAATTGTAGATTTATACTTTAAAAATGTAGACATAGATTAAAATTACACGAGGACTCCCTTGCCAATTTCAATAGTCCTCGCCCACTGACGTCAAACACAAAGGCAGCCGCACGAGATATACATGCATATTTGGCTTCCTTAGCGTCAGACACAGAGACAGATGCGCACGAGATTTGCATGCATATTAGGCCTCCTTAGCTCCTGACCTATCAACCTGCCTAATTTACATTCCGGTAGAATTATCAAGAAATCAACCCCTAACTTTTAAAGAGTTATCACAGAGACAAAAATTAGAAATGGAAATATATCTGCCATTAGCAATAATTTTATACAATGTTACACTCAACTACAATAATTGTTTTAGAGAGGTGAAGATTTTCAATGTTACACTCAACTACGAGTACATGCAATATTTCTAATCGGTATGTTATATTGAATGTTTTGTACAAATACTTAGTAAACCTTGCACGCATAAATTCTGCGCAATCACTTTTTAAAAGAGAGGCTGGGGGACCAAAAATTAACCATCAGATATAACTTATTTTTTTAGATACAATATCATAAGCTGTCATCTGTCATTTGGCAAAGACAAATTTCAAATATTTTAGTTTTAAAATTTGATCACTTTTGTGTGTCGTTATATGAAGCTCTTCTTCTAAAGGAGATCAATATAGTCTAAAAATGGCCACAACCACCTAGCCCTCTAAATATCACTCGAGGTAAATGTTGACTGTTGCTATACACTGCAGCGTGGAAAAGGATGATCTTTAACAACTGTTTCTCAATAATTCAGATTCAATTAATTTACATGAAAGTATAATAAAATGTAAGTTACAAACATTAATCTATAAGTCCAAGTAAGAATAACGGACCAACTATAACACGACCAGAAAAAAATGAATCTTTTAAAGTCTCACACTGTCGTATTTGTGTTTAACAAGATTTGTTATCCCTGTCCTTTAAATGCAGTAAATACTGATAAACAAGTAAATTATTTGCGCATCTTAACTTCGTGTCTGATCGGTCATTGATTCCAACGCGTGCCTCACAGCACAGAGAGTAACGGCGTGTAACAAAGTTACAACACTCACATTACAACAGCTTGTCAATTTCTTAACTACAAAGTTGTGTAAATTAACGACAAAACGAAAGTTAATTACAACATGGACCAATCTTCAAACATCATTTGTATGAAGCTATGTTTTCATTAACAGTTTCTGTTTAACAACAGGAATAAAATCAGCAGTGAAACGTAATATATGCAGAGCAATTTTTTATTCCTTATAGCCGAAGACGAATTATTTTGTCGGACCCTCCCTTTTCTACAAGAAATTTTTTTGTTGATTGTTATTAAATTTATTTTTTTTTTTAACATAAACAATTATTATTTAATTTATTTAATTATCCAAATGTTGAAAAATAAGTACAATGTACTTATTATAAGAAATATAGTTTTTTTAAATCATCCGATTCTTACTTGGCTTTTTTTGCTGTTGTTTTGTTGTTTTCTCTTGACTCAGTCTAGAAATACACACTTTTAAAAGATAAGTTAAATAAGTAATCCTTTAATATGCTATAGAGACGGTATTTATAGGCTTTTAGTCTGTTGCCCAATCTATTCAGTTTATACTGAATATATATTGTTTAAATATAAATATAAAATGCTATACCATGTCCCAACACACGACAAACTGGTAAGCAAAAGGGGGAAAACGTATTTATCAATGCTATTAGCAGTCTTCAGAAATTTCTCAAAGACACGGAATAATAACTTATTATTTTATCAAATAATTCACTGCTTATTGTCATTACAAATTAATTTTTATTATTGTCTTTCTATAAAGTAGTTTTGCATGAGCTATGAAGAAATAAATGCATTTATAAGTGTTTCTTAATTCCTCGGAGTCATTATGAAATAATAATATAAAAAATTGTATTTCTGATTTTTTTTCTTCATTTATTAACTTCTTGCATAATCTTTATTTAAAGGCACTGTATTTCTAGTAATTCACGTGCTTCTATTAAATTAAAACAATGAAATAATCTCGAGGTGAGTTCTAAGTATATTTTCCGAGCCGGAAAAGATCATATCCTTATGTTAATTCCAAACCCGGATAAATTATGTTCTATTTGTTTATTGTATTTGCTGGACATTCCTCGTCAAAAGCAGTTTCTTTTCGCGGTTGTAGATAAAAATGCCTCTTTTCCAAAGTTCCATGTAGTGTACTTCATCCCATCCCTAAAAGATCTGCATGTCATACCCTATATCTTACTCGTGTAGTTTTTACCTTGCAATTACTCCCAACAAATAAGCAATGTTCTGAATTTTCAACTATCAATACATATATTTATATACATTTCTCAGATTTATTTATAAATTATTTAAACTATGAAGACCTGAATTTTAAAAATAATGAAACATTTTAAAAGAATTATCCTTGTTTTTTTCTGTTTATTTTATGCATTTTTTCCCCCTTTATTTTTAATTAAAACTTTTATCGTTTGCTTTCAGAATTTTTTGAGTCCTTATGTAACATTTCCTTTAATTGCGTGTTGTATTGCGTGCATGTATTATATGCAGTGGAATTTCTCAGTGTTTTTATGTGTGTTGTCCTGACACTTCCCTGTGTGGGTGGTTCCACGCAACTGGGCGCACGATTTCCCGCTCCCGGGGATAGATGACGTCATTATAAGAAATAGGTCCCATTCATTCACAACTATTATTATCCGTTATGTTTATTATTTAAACGTGATATATTTATCGTCATCATATGCTGTACATTGCTATAAATTAGGTTTATAAGTACTCCATGTGGACGAAGAAGTCTAATTTGTTTAATAACATACAAAGATTTCATTCCTTATCTATTAGTTTTGACATGTGACTTCGGTGCCAAATGCAACAATCCAGAATCAGAAATTATATCTTTCGCTCAGTAAACAACGTCACCATTTTTCTCAATGCAATCTTATCCCTGATAAGGCCAACTGACAAGTGTACGCTAATTTATTTTCGCATATCTTTATTCAAAATGTACAAAAAAGTATAAATAGTTTGGAACAATACGTTCCGCTGTAACTATGTACAATACAGAAACGGAAGCACCTGACGCGCTAGGCACGAATACCCACAGAAGTTAGGAACACAATGGCAAAAAAACATAAACAGTCATAAAATGCAACAACGCCTTGTTCTTGCATCAAAAATAAATATCCTGTACACAAAAATTATAACATTTACATATAAAACGACTGGCTTTGGAGACATGATTTAAAGAAACAGGTGGCAAGCATCAATAGATAACTGAAAACCGTCCCGCAGCGAAATAAAATGAAATGATGCTGTCGTTGACTTTTTATAGAGGCGACGGATGATATATCTGAATATTCACAAAGAAATCAAGGTCGGTGAACTGGCACTTTCCGAATTGCTTTCACTTGAAGTCCTATTCACTTCACTGCTGCAAGAAGAGGGTCCATTCGTTATAGGTGTAAGACCTGTATGGTCCACCATATTGTCTAGAGTAAACATGAAGCCACTAGAGGGCGTTGTGATTGGAATTCCAGTAGCAGAACTAACAGAGACATCCGTGTCCTTCTTCTCTCGTTTGATAAGAGGAAGTGTGCTAGGGCGCACGCTGGAACCCGCGGACGACACGGAAAGTTTACCAACAGCACATTGATTCAGAGAGTTTTCGGACTTGACCTTGACAGGGTTGTGGGGGGTGTCGACCTTACATAGGGGCTGGTGGGCCTGCAGGACAAACTCCAGCTGGTCTTTCTGTTGCTGCAGAGTCTGGATATCCGACTCGATCGAGTCTCTCTCTTTTTCAAGTTTTTCTGTTTCCTGTCATAGAAAAAAAAATGTGTCATATAATTTTCAATTTCGATAAAAAAAAAAAAACGTTCGTACAATATCTCTCACTGTAATAAAAATATGAGAAATAATTTTACTATAATATATTCATAAGCTTACCAATAGAAGTCTGTTGGTGTGGTCCACTCTTCGCTGCCTACATTTTGCTGCCGCCAATTTGTTTCGTTCTCTTCGGACTCTTCGTCTCTCTTCCTCCTCGGGACTTACCTGTCAAAAAGAAACAAAATAAAATGAATAGATATTCGAAAGCATGTAAATCAACATTGTTTATCATTGTCAATTTTTTCACACTAAAGTATGTTAACGCGGTAAGATAGTTTGACAGAAAGCAAACATTTTTTTTCTGTCATCTGACAATGTGATTGATGGAAATAGTCGAGGGGCCCACTAGTACCCGAAAATATGTTGACATAAGCATATACACGATAAAACCCCCTTAAGCAGTTACGTTACTGGATGAATTCTTTGGCCAATAATCATACCATTTTTTATGCCCTGAAGACAGGGTACAGGACTTGTTCTGGTTTCCTGTGTTTTTTCCGTTCTATAATCTTATCTTGCCGGGATCTACTAAATCCCTGTCGTCCGACCAACATAACGCTTTACAATTACAAGTGTATCATTAGCGAAGTTAAATCTCTTTTTGATGGGCCTTTGATCCATCCGTGTTAGTTAAATAATCAGCTTAGACTACGCTGTGTTTAGCCCCCAGATGTTCATGTCATTACACTTTCGGCCACTTGATCTTTACTGAACATTAAATACATGTTGTATATTAAATATAAGAAAACAATTTATTTGGGTGACCTCCCTGCATTTCAGTCCTCACTAAAAGAGTTCAATCCAACATGTATTTGCCTTACTACTTAATCTTTATTTTCAAATGAACATGCATTCCTTGAAAGTTGAGGAGGAAATCCGTTCATCTTCTAAATAAATAAATTTATAGAATAAAAATACTTACTTTTTCATCACGTTTATTTCTTTTCCGTCCTCCTCCACCCACGCTTGTGGTCATGTCGTATGCAATGAGATCCTGGCCGTCAGCGCCCCGCCCCCGTTTGTTGGGGGGCCAGTCCGCATCACTCATGTCCGAATAGTCATATCTGTCGGAGGAGCGGTCGCTGCCCGCGGGGTCAACGATCGGGGGGACGAAGCCGCTCTGTGTGAGAGGGTCCTGCCCGGAGGAGAGGTTGGTGGGGACTGACTGGAGCTCTATGAACGTCTGCTCCAGGTTGGCCAGAGTCGTGGGGGTCAGGCCTGTGGACGTGGCTTGGGAGGTGATGCCGCTGACGTAGGATGCCGGGATAGAGTACTGTTAAAGAAAATAGAAAACGCATAAGCTTATAAATCCAATCTGATGAACTTTTCTTTTTCAAAATAAAAAACAGAAAATATTAACATCAAACTTTTAAAACAATAAATAAGCACAAATGTCCATGAAACGAAATTAAAAGTCACTTTGATATCATTTCTGTGAATGAATTCCAGAAGTTTGTGGGTAAACTTTTAATTCCACTTTTCAAAACTAAATCGGAATGCAATAAAACACAATTTGCACGAAAGAAAATGCAACACATGTCCCTGCAGTTTTGCACGTGTTTGACAACATACCGGCCGGTGGTGGGGGTTCATGTGTGGGGTGTACTGGTGGTGGGGGTGATAGTACGGGTTAGGGTTATAATACTGCCAATGCCGATTATCCATGGTAAACTTAATCCGAAATACTGTCAGCCAAAGTATTCTGAACTATTTGTACAAGTGTGCATGGATGGTTGATTATGAGCGTCTAACTCGGAAATAAACTTATATACGTACTATCAAGTACACAGTGATGTCACATGCATACTATGTCAACCGTGCGCATGCGCCACTTGACCCAAAATATCTTTCCCCATTGTTAGATAAATTTTTGCCGGATTAAGAAACTGTCGTACATTTCTCATAAAAACTTTGTCAAAACAGGTTTACAATGTCAGGAAAAGTAAATTTTAACCATATCTGATAGTAATTTTCACTTACCGTGGTAGAGGCGGCACTGGCGCTGGCCATGGACGAGAGAATGTTCGCCACGTACTTCGACTCGTCGCTGTAGTCGCTATTCTCCCGACTGTACATCGTTTTAAAAAGTATTTTTGCAATTTTGACGATTTAAGTGGAACCGCTCAAAGAAAAAAAATGGTAGTGTATGTCACTTTGATGAAACTTCCGGACTTTGGAAGAATTTCTCTCCGAGATTTCCAGTGTATGACTCACTCGTCACTGCTTGTACTGAGAAGGAATATACCCTACGTATAATATATACAGGCTGAGTCACATATGACTCATGCTTCTATTTTAAGAAACATTACTTCATATTTATCGGTACTTTTGTATAGCATCGTATGGTAAGATGAAAAAGCACGAGGATTCCGCATAAACTTGTACCACGTGACACTCCATATTTGGCGAATTCTTGACGTCACAAACGTGAATGGATAAACATAGAACAATTTGTTTACGCATATTTACAACAAGTAGCATAGTTAACCTTTCATGTGTGACAGAATGCACAATATTACTAAACACAAAAAGAACGACTATTTTTGTGATTTTTAAGAACTGACTTTTTGGCTATATTTTCTGTCTAAATGCAAAATGAATCATTACGAGTTAAAAATATACTAATTAAAGAATCGCAGGTAGATTTTACATTATTTTGTAGAGTAAGCATTTTAACACAGGTAAAGCAGACCCCCGTCATGTGTGTAAATGGGTCAATGGCTATATTCAAATTAGACAGATCTAGGGCCAGCATGTACAGGTGAAATATTTCAACGATGATGCATCGTTTTTGTTTGTAAAAATTATAAAATTACATGTCGTTTTAAATGTTCTTGGCAATGCCATAAAAAGTGTGTTCACACAATGTTTTGATTTAAAAATATCTGTAGAGAATTCTTCTGAGTCATACGTGAACAAAATCTTTTGTCTTTTAAACTTTATCAAATTCAATATATGAAAAATAAAAAATGTTATAAATAAATAAAATTTCTACTCCAAAAAATATTTCTTTGGTAATATTGATATGTATACTTATTTTTTTATGAAAAAATTCGTATCTATAATCTGCATCATAAACACTAGATATTTTTATTTGAATGTAACGTTTTCTTTGATTTTAACACTAAGGAAACCTGCTACATGTATGCACATTTTGTTACAAAAGAAATTAGTTTTTCAGAATAAAGTATATATGTTTACTAGTATATGAACAAATATTTTCCGTGTGAATGCCTTATTATACCGTTGTATTCATGTATGATGAAGGCTGTATAAAACTAAATTAGAGTTTTTCCTAATTTCAAGGAAAGTGCGTGTTGAAAATTTTGGACAAAGTTTATTTCCATCATATGTGCTTTTCGAACATATGCACATTTTGTTACAAAAGAAATTAGTTTTTCAGAATAAAGTATATATGTTTACTAGTATATGAACAAATATTTTCCGTGTGAATGCCTTATTATACCATACATGTATTTAGGGTTAATTACATGTATGATGAAGGCTGTATAAAACTAAATATATCCTGAGTTTTTCTTCATAATTTCAAAAAGAACAGTGCGTATATGTTGAAAATTTTGCAGCAATATACAATCAGTTTATTTCCATCATATGGGCTTTTCAATTTCTTAACATAAATTATTGACAAGCAAGTATTAGCCCCAGTAGACCTTGTCAGAATACAATTTATCATTGAATGAAATGCTTTTTTTCTGTTTGTCCTGAATTGCTACAGCTTGTTAGTCGGTGTTTTGGCACCTGGATGTTTCGGAGGTCCGTGTTTGCTCTGCTCTTGTTTTGTATATTTGTTTAATGGACGTTGAGATTGAATACTGACAATTCACTGCATTTTAAAAACACCCTATTTAAATAAAAAATTCCCTGATAAATGTGCACATAAAATTAAAAGGAAATATTTTGAATTTAACATAATCGTTTTATAGTTATTTGATATGACAGTATTTACCAAATATACATTTAGGCGGAACTGCCATAGAAGAGGTGTTTATAGACTTCAAGAAAGCGCCATTGGGTGGGGCGCACTTTGTTTTAGATACGTAAAATTGACAATATCAATGTTTATATGCAAACTGCAAATAGAAACATGTCAAAAGAAAAACCCAAGAGAAACATGCGGGTCTTCTATGATACGTTTCTTAAAGAAGAACGTTGTCTTTCTTAAATAAAAAAACAATAATTAAAGGTTAGTGTCTCCTAGCACGTAATGAAAAGGCATACCAACTTGCATTTAAAGCTTGCTATTTAGAGTACGGGTTAAAAGAAATGAAATAAAAAACACCTTCTTCGATTCTGGCGGAGAAGTTCAACCTGGAGGTCTATGGGTTTTTTTTTTCTTTCTAGTATTCGTGGTAACCATTCATAATTAAAGTTGTAAATGCGTAAAAATTAAAATATCAATACCCAAATTTGAACAGCATGTAGGTCTTTTTCGATATGGTAGCTTTTATTGGTTTATTATTGTATGCAAACATAAAAGTTACATTAATGTAACTGAAATACGTGTGTATTCCCTTTATAACTGCTTTATTTTTCCAAATAAGGATATATGATTTCTGCTAAGCACAAACATTATTTAAACTAAATCAACGTCCTGTTCATTTTGCATAATTACGATACAAAATATTACAGTTTTTTAATTGTCTAAACTTTTCCAGCCACATGAACAGGGCCTTGGAGAGCAGGCACATAGTATGGGGTGGGGCGGGACTGTCCCTCTTTTCCTAAACATGACATTTTACTATTGAAAATGTACATTGAAAAAAGTTGAAAGTAAATAGAATGTTTCCTTTGACTGCCCGAGGTGTGGATACGGTATTTTTTCCCGGGGGGGGGGGGGGGGCATCCCAGTAAAAAAAGAAAAGAGAAAGTGAGAATGAGTATATATATCATTTTTTTTTAAAAAAAAATCTTATGTTGTCCCTATCTGAATTTATGCGTTTTTCTATTTTCTTTGGTGATGAATTTAATATAGACGCCAGAGATTGCAGTCCAGATGAATGCCCGCCCATTGGTGCAGCACGGTGACTGGGGCTGTCTTCCGTACGTTCAAGAGGCTGTATCCTCGCTTTGCGTACTCTTCTTCTGCACTTTTATGATTAGAGGAAAATTTGATTATTTGTGCTACATCATATTAAGCTTAATAAGTGAATTTCGAAATGGATGCAATATGGTGATTTGATGACCTTGTACAAAATAGACAACTAGAAGTCTCCTCGCACTTCCCCTACTTGGCGTTTAGCAGGCACCACATGTAAAAACCGGAAACCATGAGTCACAAGACTACCGGAACTTATATATTGTACGTGTAATTTAAACCTAACTATGTAACCACTTGGAATATTGATAATCGAAGACTATCTTCTGTCTTCGCTTCTAATGCCCTTTCTTTGACGTAAGAATCATCAAAAGTCCATCCACAGGACGAATTTACGGACATTTGCATAAAATGTTGCATTTTAAAACAACTCTATCAGACATAATTACATTAGAAGCTTTCATCACATTAATTTCACAAGTGATTTTTTTTTACCCCGAGAGATCATGAACAAATCGTCTCACTGATCGTTGATTAATTTTGCAAGTGTATCTAGACAAGTCTATTAGCGCTTTTTTGCATGTAAGACCACAGTCTGCCCTGTGTTCATGACCGTGAGACATGTATGTCCCATTAACCTTACAAGGTATTAGTCATTCATTCAGAAAAAAACCTTGAAAAATAAACATAAGAAGAAGCGCGCTTTGACGACAGAACTTTTTTATATATCTAGACAGTGAAATGCGGTCACTGTCACATCAAGCAAAGAACCCCGAAAAGAAGCGCAAAGAACCACTGACCCACAAGTTACAGTAGAGATGACTGCTAAAAAAAACCTTCGAAATGGGCCAAAACATTCACATACAAGAAGGACATTATTCAATTGTTTTAAGTTAATTTCAATGCACAGTGTACATGTTTCGGTTCAAAACTTTGTAAATTTTGAAATTAATTCCCCAAAATAAAATGAACATTTAATTTATTAAATATAAAATAAAGTTTTTCAGTCGAACCATGATTGCATGATCGTGTCAACAATAAAGGGAAAGAAGCCAACCAATGCAGCATAAAACCGTGTTAGTGTATATAAATGTGAAGACTCTCTTTCATATCAATCACTTCGCCGTAACAAACTGAATAATTATTAAATATCGTGTATTACGCCTAGATGTGTAACTTTATTCAAATTAATTGACATGACAGTATTTATATGTACAAAGTTTTCATGTCTGATGAGTCACACCAAACTTTTTTTTCACACGTTTCACAAATTTAAAACACCCACTCCATGATTAAGCATGTTCTTATTTCATTACTTTATTGTTTTAAAGTGCTTAATACCCCTCTTCTCAAGGACTGGCAATTACTTTGTGTTTATATTGCATTTGTCATGATTTTTGTTAAATACTTATATTAGAGTGAAGAGATTCAGAGGATTTTAATGTTTGTAGAAGCACACGGAAAAAAAATTATTTGTTGAGTTATAGACACGCAGTAGCATCGTTTTCGAATGTTAAAAAAGACTAATAATTTATAACTAATTAATTAAAATAAAGAAATGCCAATTTTCTCTGCAGCCTAAGTTTGTGACAAACTTTTATCTGTTTCTAGTCAAATTCAGGAAGTATCGGTAATGTACTAAATTCTTTGTTTACTATACAATGTATTTAGTATTTACCGGTCAACAGTAAATACACGGCTTCTACCAAAATTCATCCAATAAAAAAATTTAATAATAAAAAGTTATCAACAAAATTTTCTATCCTAAAACTTCTTTTTTTTTATCTTTGTCTCAAATGTCATTCAGATACATGCAATAATTTTCCAATTTTGAAATTATACAGAACGTCACAATAAATGTAGGTCTGGTTTACTGCCGAACGACAAGAATTTTACGAACGTTGTAACGTACATAAAATCACGACGCTTCTCTTCGATATTTTCAGTTCACCCATTAATCTATATTAAATCTCTAACATACATTTTAATTCATGTATACTCCCAGCTTAAAGCGTTCAGTTTTAGGTTAATTTACTTTAAAAATTGTAAAGGTTTAGCTCTGGTGTAGCGACGGATTTTAAAAAAGCTACTTGATAGAATCATAATCAGGCAATTCGTTTTCCTCTGGAAAGTAAAGAACAATAATCGATCTAAAAAAAATCTATAAATAATACTAAACTGTAAAGAGGGCGTAAACATAGACCCCTGGAAATTCCAGAGGTGGGATCAGGTGCCTAGGAGGAGTAAGCATGCCGGCCCTGTTGACGAGTCAGAACCGCCGTGAGCCCCGTTCTTGGCCCGACAGACAGAACATTCCGTAGTCAAATTCAGTATAAAAACAAAGGTCTAACAATTGGTATGAAACAAATTAGTCAAATTACGGCCCCATGAAAAGTTATATCTGCTGAAAAGGTATATTTAGCGACCATAAAACTTACGAAATGCTGACATTAAAGGAGATTGTTTAAATCCGTGTAATATCAGCTTATCTGTCAGTAGCCTGCAATGGTTAAAAACAGATCGTACTAGGAGTATGTTCTTGCATGAGTATCGAATAAGTTAAATGATGTAAACATCATATGCAGGGATAAGGAAATTTGTTAAATATCAAAATACGAAACAGGTAAGGCAGACTCAGTGCTATCATTATTTTTTTTTAAAAAGAACACTTGGATATAACGAATCGAATTTCAAACGTGCTAAAATGTCTAAATTTATAAGAGGTACACGTAGTTAATGTTTTTTTTTTGGCAGTCGTTTATTTCATAAACTTGAAATCCATACCATTCCAACTTCTGTTTTAAGATAAAGCTGTTCTCCATATACATGTAAAAAAACAATCCTGCATTTGTTACATTAAAATTCTATATTTTATCAAGTTATATCTCCAACTGTTTCTAGATATAAGTTTTATAAGGTAGAAGATATATTAAGAAATCAAATTAAGGCAAATTTTCTAAAAGAATATGTCAAAAAGATTTTTAAAAATCAAATAGTATTTTATATAAAATAATCTTTAATGTTTTAAATCATTATTATTATTATTATTAGCCAGGTGTTCGGATTGTTGATACTGCCCGTGTCAGTTTGGACACTTTTTCTTTAAAATTAAGATCAATTATCTCTTATTTGTTCCTAATTACCACCTGTTGTTTCCTTGTTTTAATTAAAACAAATAAATAAACTGCCGTCTCAATAACTTTTAATTACGTCTTTGATCAGAGGCAAATACTTTGTAATGAAATCGTGAGAAATTGCATTAATTAGCGCATAAATTACGATTGACAAGGAAATATAGGTTAACGGTAATCACGGGCTGTGACAATGCCAGAGTGATTGGGACCGGGGCTGGATTTCTTCATGTTACTTCCTGGTTCAGGACAATACACCACAGCTCACGTGTAAATCGGCGGCATCGCTAAATCGGAACATCAATTTACTGGCTGTTTCTTGGTTCTGTCATTACCATGAGATGGACTAAAATGAAAAAGCTGTTGCCCCATTTCATTTCGACCTCAAACACGCACCTGCACAAGCACCATTTTTTTTTATCTGCACGTTCAAATATTCATTTAATTTGGAAAAAAGGATGTAATTTGCAACAAGATGCAGATTTTAATGCATATAACTATTTTTCCTTTCTGACAAATAAAAAAAAAACAAAATTAAATATTCACAATTCCATTTGAGATTCACAAAGGAAATAGCAATATTCACTTTGCATTGCCTGGAAATATAGTAACGTATGTAATATTGGCACACCAAAAAAAATCCTTACTCTGTCTTGTAAAATAACGTATAATTCAGTAGCATCTTTTCAATAAGATTTAACTTACCAATTATATGAAAATAATTTCGGTAACATAAGATTGTGACAAACATATTGATATTTGCACTTGAATTTCAAGTAAAGACGTGCTCAAGATATTGATAAGAGATTTTACGGTGAATTTAAAGGTCAGGATGGATCGGCTTAAATCCCTTTTTATTGACACCGCAGGTAGAAAATCAAATGAATAACAAATGAAACCCGGTTTCTATTATAATGTAAAGTTTACCTTCACTCCATAGATTGAAGCGTTTTACAACAGATGAAAAAAATTGGATTCATTCACTTATATATCTTTCAACTGTCATTATTGACTCGCTTAGAAAACGAATGTTACAATCGTTCTGCTTGAGGACAGCGGATAATTAGATTACAGGACATAATAATTAACTTAAGAAGTTGTTGCTATTTTGCAAATAAGGACGCCAACAATTAAACCAGGGAAAGAAAATGGCGACTGTTGCCTTTCGCTATGGAATGGGGGCCTGTCTGGCACTGATTGGTCTTCTGTCGGTTATTTTGAACTGTATCCTGTTCTTTACCTGTGTGAAGAGGAAACGTCTGAGAAAGCCCCCTCAGTTTTTTCTGATTTCTCTGGCCGTGGTGGACATTTTGGCCGTTCTTGGATGGTTGTCTTTGACCGTCGTTTCCTTGTTTAACGATGGATGGATTTTACCTTCCTGGGTCTGTAAAGCTCAGGAATACTTTATGTCTTTCTGGTTGTTCCTGAACACTCACTCATTCGTTCTACTGGCTTTTGACAGATGCCTTTTATTTGTGAGACCATCCAAACATAGTGAAATCTTCATCGACACCGTGGTTTTCATTATGATCCTGGCTCTGTGGTTCTTTGATGGACTCCTCTCGGCTTTCCCGTACTTTGGATGGGGAACAGTTAGCTATTTCTCAAATCAATTTCAGTGCGCCATGAATCACGAGAAAAACATAAGGGAGACAAATTTTGTGACGGCCATGTGCTTTGGGATCCCAATTACTCTTTGTATGGGAATGTATCTTTTTATTTTCATAATGATTCGAAAAATTAAGAAACAAGAAGATGACAATGGGGCGCTTATAGTGGAGAGAAATAGGAATGCAATCGGTGATTCCTACTCTCAGAGGCTCCGCAACCTCCAATACAAATTCCAGAACGCGGGAACCAGAGCAATCAAACCCAACATCGGGAAAAAATTCACATACACCGAGGACGGGTACATCCATGATGATTCGTCCGATGATGAAAACACCAATGATGTCCAAAAGGGAATCGAAAAGCAAAAGGTTCAACAGAAGAAGGTATATCACATGGCTAAAAATGACACTTTGCTCACAAAAACCTACGTCATTATGACGTTTTCAACATTTTTTCTCTGGCTTCCATATGTTGTTGTTACGTATATTTTTCTTAAGGATAGATTCGCAAATATCAGTGACGAGTTGGTTTTTGTGGTCATCTTTTTGTGCCACTGTACTACGCTTATAAAACCTGTGGTTTATGTAACATACAATAGCCACTTCAGAAAACACGTAGTAAAATTGTTTCGTCGAAAAAGAAACAAACAAATTGACAGTAACGCCAGTAACTCACAGACGGATGGACAAGGTTATGATAATGTAGCAATGCAACAATAAGTATTTCTTAATGCAAATGCATTTTTTAAAAATTTTAACAAAGTTGTGCTTCTTTATACATATACTGCATTTTTATATCACGTCACAGTCTTATACAAATCTTGTGTGAGTTAGATGAAACTTGTGATTGTTATTTAAATCCTGGAGACTGTTATTCGAACTCTTATGATTTATATTTATAAACTTTTGGTTTATATTTAATTATCTTGTTATTCATATGCAATAATCATTGTGAATTGTATACAATCTAGAAAATACTATTTTAAAAACTATCTATTTTTTCTATTTTTATTTATTGACAAAAACGACATAAAATGCAAGACCCAAGTCAAACATATTATAGTATGGCATGTCTAACGTTGCAATATTTGATAATTTCCATTTGCATTTGTAAAATTTTTATTTATATTCTATAATTTTCCATTTGCATTGTAAAAAATCCATTTGTATTTTATAAATTTTGTTTGTATTCTAAAAATATTCATATATATTATATAATCTTTCATTGATATTGTATAATTTTTATTTATGTTCTATAATTTTCCATTTGTATTCTGTAATTTTCAATTTGAATAGTATAATTTTTTTTAATTTGTATTCTATATTTTCTATTTTTATTCTATATTTTCTATTTGTATTGTAAAAAAAAAATCATTTGTATTGTAAAACAATCGTTTGAATTGTTTAATTTTTCATTTGCATTCTATATTTTCCATTTGCATTATATAAATTCTTCTTTGTATTGTAAAATTTTTTATTTTCATTTAATACTTTCTCATTTGTATATATTGTAACCAGGAACTGATTTTTTGTTTTTAATATTTTGATTTATTTTCAAAATCGTCTTTTTATACATATTGGTTCTCTCGTCTGAGAAAAAAAATTATATCAAACACAACAGCACTTCATTCGAATATTTAAGAAAAAAACCCAACTAGTATGTGTCTGGCATATCTTCATATTTTTTTAATATGAAATGTTAAATGGGAAGAAAAAGAACAGTGATCCAACATCGACTTTAAAAAATCTATAAATACAAAACTGTGAAGAAAGCATAAAACAAGGACATCTGGGAATTCCAAAGGTGCGATCAGATGCCTTGAAGAGGTATGCATTCCCTGTAGACCGGTCACACCCGCCCTGATCCTCGTGTATCGACCAAGGATACATTGTGTAATCAAATCCAGTATAACAACAAAGGCCTGTCAATTTGTGTACAACAACTCAGACAAAATACTCCCCAATGATAGGTTTTGTTTGCAAACAAGGTCAAAACAACGACCATAAAATTAACGAGTGCAGAATTTAAACGATGTTCTTGACAACAATTTATAAGCTGGCAGCCTGCCTCGCTTTAAAATTTGACTGTATTCAGAGGAACCTTTTGTTAGTGAATAAGTTTGGAGAAACATACAGCAGATGATAGTGGAATATTTTTACACGAATAAGGAAAGTACATGTACAACTATATTTCCCATCGTCAACAGTTGTCCCTTATCGTCCGTAGTAAGTAAAACATCCAAATATAAAACCCTTTTGGTAGACTCTGTGGCATTTTACTGTATTTTTTATTTCAAGTTCACTGGTATATATCGAGTTGCCATCCATACACAAAAATAAATATTGTAAATTGATAAAACATCTTCGATATATCTGAATGTCGAATTGTAAGTCACACCAAAGGTTTTAAAACTCTTCTCATGTAGAAGTTTTAACTGACACATCTGTTTCATAGTTGGATATTTTAGTTGAAAAAGACGTTAATGGTAAACTAACAACCAAGCTCTACGATAAACGTGATGACTTTTAAAACTTTTCAATCGTCAACTTCCCTTACTTATGCGGCAACATACCCTCATCATCTGCATACGGAGTTTATATTCTCGGTTGATTCGATACTCAAGAGGATGCTCTACGTATGAACAATTTCTAAACGAGGTAAATTATTGACAAACAAGTTGATGAAACAGAATATCGGCAGTCTCGTTTAAAGTCATCGTTTCGTAAGTTCTATGGTCGATACAATGACACTGCCAGCAAATATAATTAATCATTGAGTCAAATGATGACTGACGTCTTTCAAACTAATAGTAAGGCCATTATTTACATACTGAATTGACGACGGATTTTTCCATTATTTCCCGATTAGGACGAAGAGCACACGGAAAGTGTGACCGGTCAACAGGGGATGCTCACTGCTCCATGGCACCTGATCCCACCTCTGATGTTTTGGAGGTCTGTGTTTGCTCCGCTCCAATTTTTTATTGTGTTATGGACTTTTGAGCTAGAATACTGTTTGTTATCTGCATATGTTTCACATTGTCGCAAGGCACGGGTTTTGTGTCCATTCTGTTTGTGGAAATAGAATGGACACAAGACCCACGGCTTTCGATGATGTATATTTCATGGAAATATAAAAACTGGTAAGCAATAACAGGAGCACAATACGTGTCCTTCGAAATTCAAGCAGTGTGTTGTAAGATCTGTCTCCAAAGACTAAATGTTACACAAATATTAATCAATCAGGACTCCGAAGACTACATAAATATTATCAATGAAGAACTCCAGCATCCTTTAAAATGAACTTCAAAATACTTCTGTATACAATCAGAGTGGATTTTATAAAGTAATGCAAAACGTCCGTTTTTATTGAAGATGTAGTTGTCTATGATTTCAAAAAAGAGAATAAAAGACTTTAATTAATTTTTTAAAACTTTTTCTTGAGGGATTCCTGCATAGAGTGTTGAAAAGTCGTTCGTATTGATATTAATGACTTTTGAAGAAATTGGTGATTTCGAAGGTTCTAGAATTTCTCAGGGTTTTTGAAGTTCGTCATCTGGTCCAAGGATCATGAAACAGACTTAGATTTAACTCAAATTTTCAATCACCTGTAAAATGTTTATTAAATTTTTAATAAATCTCTAATTTTGCAAATAATATCACTTTTGTTCATCAAAATTGACAAATATTTTAATATTTGTCTGTCTAATAGGCCTATCCTTATTGTTTATGGGGTCAAACTTTCATCACATCCGATTAACAATACAAGTTCAAAACTACTTCGTAACTTATAAATTGTGAAGTGTGTAGACTGTAGAAGAACGTTACGATATTGGCATCACCAAGATCAACGACCAGCAAACAAGAAATGACCAAACGGATGGTGATTTTAGGATACGTGATAGTGGACAAAGTAACATCACTCTGTAAGAGTGTATATGTTATATTCTTTACAGGGAAAAACTCCATCATATATGCACGTATATATAGTATTTAACTGTGCCAACTGTTGTGTTAAAATCAAAAAATAAAATGACGTATCGAAATACAGGTATAAACTTTCGCTGTCTGTAATTTTTATTGTGAAGAGAAACTTCAATGCGTTCTGAATATAAGTACCGAATGCACTATTACTTTGGATATCTTACCCTTGTTTTGTAGGAACATCTGTACACCTAGAGTTTGGCTTGTGTACCTTCATTGTTGGCCAAAATCAACAGACATTGTGGTCGTAAACACATCTGTTTGCATCTTATTCACCAAGGGGATTTTTTACTATCCGTCGGAGCACTGGGTGCAATTGTCAACAGCAATTGTGTGTTTGTAAGGTTTGACAAAATATGAAATATCTGTTATACTCCAAGAATGTCGAATACACACATAAAAAATCGTCAAAGATAACTTGAAAACTGAATACCGTATTATCTTATGTGAAATGCATGGTTGTCGTCCGAAGGTCAAAAGGATCTCAGAAAACTTAAGAATTATTTTTTGTATTTGTAAACACATTTCAGGAATTAAATTAAATGAATTTAAATACATGTGGTTTTAAACTACTTCACTTCGTGTCGGCTTTTTCATGAAGTTCCTAGCGCTTCATGTAAAACATGCCTTCATGAAGCGTTACAGTTTAGTTGATGTACCTCATACGTATGTATTCAGGCTCGTCCATAATAGTTTATGATTTCTGAATTTAAATTAACATACATTTAAACTAAGGTTAAAGCGGAACACGGTAAGTAAAAAGAATATAATATTCTTTCGTTCAGTTGTTTTATATTATCTGAGAGCCCCTATATAAGCCATACAGAAAGTCACTGTGCAGGAATGAGTTGTAACCCGTGTTGATGGACGTATGCTTTAAATATCATTGGGATCAGCGACGAAAATTGTCGTTTACTTCTCCCACAGCAGGAGAGAAAAGGTAAAGGTATATCCCCGTGTTGATATCGTATATAGTCTTATATAATATGGAGTACGCTTATTTACGAGTCATATGTTAAAACTCAAGGCAGCTATGTTCTATAACTTGATCAAATTTTAGATCTAGAGGCAAAGACAAAACTCTCTGAACATTGAGTTGTCCCTATTAAACCACTTTGACAATACACTTATTTGGCTGTTGTATATCTGAGGATACACTTTGGTAGTGTCATCTAGATCTAGATTTCAATTTAGGTCTATGATAGTGCTTTGTTTTATACACAACAACGGTGACAACACTCAGATTATAACCTCAAGATGAAGGCTATTTGGTTTTATTTGTTAAAATCACCAAGACTATGCAGTGCTGGTAAATGGTGAGTACTAAATTAGTATGGTTGATCAGAGCTAAAGTCAAGGTCTGTATATATATATATATATATATATATATATATATATATATATATATATATATATATATATATATATATATATATATATGTAGTATGGAAAGGAGGAATGAGTAAACATACATTGAAAATTCATAAATACATATATATTGTAAACATATGGCTGGACCGGGAATCGAACCCGGGACCCCTGTATTTCTAGTCAGGTGCTCTAACCACTGAGATATCCAGGCTGATGTTCTCAGTCCAGCCTAATTTCCTACATATATATTCAAGGACAATGTAGATATTGATTCTTTCTGGCTCCCGAAAGCCACAAATACGAATACTTTTAACCGTGTACTATATTAACTACATGTGATTACATCATGTTACAATTGTGACATTATGAAATCTATTTCTATATGTATTTATTCGTTTTTATTTATTTTTTCATATCGTTTTGAGAAATATAATCTTAAAATTTGATTAACTAAAAGTTCTATTGCGCACCTGGATTGAGTTGCCTGAGTAAAGTTTTATTCTATGATTTCATTGGCTCTTTCATTTGATTGGTTATTTACTATTTTTTCATCCAATAGTACATTTTCATTATAAGTATAAATTTACCGCGCTTTACCTTGTATATCAGAGCAGTAATACGTTTTCCAGAGATAAGTATATTTTAAATCCAGTGTCCATCATACGCTTCTTAAGGTATATAACGTGTATATTTAATTATGTGTTTCATTGCCATGTAATGATTTGATTTAAGTTATTATTTTGATTGCAAACTTTTTACTTTATTGTATTTTTGCATTCAAAGTTGTAAATGAAATGAGTCTGTAAGGTTTCAATTTGAATTGTTTACAGAACACAATTTTTCATAGAGTTCATTTTTCTTAAACGTATACTGTAAGGTATATTATCTCATACGTTATTTTCTCAATTTTTGTAATTTTGACTTATTATGTACTTTGTTTATTTTAGATCAATGCCTTTATTTCCTGAATAAATTATGAAAACATAACATCTGCCTTACTGCTCGGTTACACAATAAATTAATGTTCAGGTTTCTTAACATCATAGACAGCTGCTCTTTCAGTAAAAATGGAACGCTTAAATAAACTTACCTCGTCATTGGTCATCTGCAAAATTATTTTGTTAACATTCTCTTTGTACACACAAGTAATCTGAAGTTGATTTTAAAAAGATGCTTGAGTTTCTGATTGATATCATCTACAGTAGATTCGGAGATCAAGTTTTCCAAACATGTCAGAATTCCCATTACGCCGTTATTAACAGATCGCTTAAATTTCGATTAAAGTCATCATTCCATAAGTTCTATGGTCGATACAATGATCTTGTCGGCAAATACAATCTATAATTAAGTTACACACTTAACTGTTTACCGATTTTTTTAATTTGCCCGATCATGAGAAGGAGCGCAGGTGGCGGATGTGATCGGTCTACATGGAATGCTTACTCGTTCATGGCACCTGATCCCACATGCGGTGTTTTAGAGGTCTGCGTTTGATCTGCTCCTGACTTGTACTGTTTCCATGGACTTTGAGCTTGACTTCTTTCGTTATTTCCATATTTCATTTATAAAAGGAAGACGTCGGTTGAAAGATCTAGGCTCCCTAAATTTTGGCCCTTCTAAAATTAGTGATTTAAGGCACACATATTTTATTCCATTCTTATTCAACGACTTCAAACTTAAGTTATCATACAAACTGTGAGACAACGTATGAAATTAAATTACCATCGAAATACAAAAAAAAAAAAAAAAAATACTGAGTCCTGTAAACGAAATTAATATTACTGGTCTAGTTTTGCCATTCTAATGGTTTTAGCAAAGAACTTCAAAAGACGGCTTAATTGCCATTACCCTGATTTTGTACATGTATTATAATTTGCTGTGCAATGTGACGCTTGAGATGGTTTCAATGCAATTTAAAGGTAAATGGACATGTATAAAAATTTCTTAGTATAATTTGAGGCGAGATATATAAGTGTCATAGGTCGTAACTCTTGCGTGGGTGACGCAAACAATTGAAATCATTTTTTTAACGGAAGAGGAAGTATGAAGAATTGATAAAAAATTGACATGAACAAGAATACCTTATAACGGGTATGATATGGAAGCCTCAATGTTAACAAGATATGTCCCATCAGTTGCTCGTCATACAAGAGTCTTACGATATGGAAAGTACCATCACATTTATTTTATTTATCATCATATGGCTTTAGCTTGGGTACGAGAAACGGTGGGAAACTTAGAAAAGATTGGATTTATATGTTTTTATGAGGAGAGAGACGTGTGCCCTGGAGAAAACATTCTAGGGTCGGTCCTTCAAAATATGAGAAAAGCGTTAAAAATCGTCATTATTCTCAACAACGAATTCTTATCATGTAAGAAAAGTCTACTGAGGGCGAATTACGCAGTGCATGAAGACTTGTCAAGGGACAAAGAGGATGATCCGGATTGTTTGATTCCAGTCCGACTCGAAATATGTGAGCTTCCAGAGGTATTGGTCCTCGTTAAACCCCTGAATATTTATGACCACCCAAAAAACTGGATGGATATACTTGTTGGGTCGATTGATTCAAATGCAAAAACTTCTCAAAGTACCTCGAAACCCAACAATGACACTGCTGTAAATTCCCTAGAAGCAGCTGCAAACATATTTGAAAAAGAGCTGAAAGAAGCCCAAATAAAAGAAGTGCATGCGTTTCTTCTGACCCCAATGGCGCTTAATCTATGCCACTTTCTCAACCAAAGTGGTCGATCGATGGCTTTCCATCTCGCCGTGGAAACTTTGGGTATTCAAATCAGTGGAGAAACTGTTTCCTTGTCTATGAATGCCTTTAGAACATATGCCTCTAGGCCCTATCAAATAGCAAACATTTTCAGGCAAAACATGGGAGAATTACCAAATGAGTTAACAAGTGTAACATTAGAGGTATCTCTGGAAGATGATTTGATATGTCGAGAAACTGAGAGTGACGTTAAAGAGTTCAATGAATTAATGAGAATGGTTTTAAGAGCAAGAAGTGATCATTACTTGACCGATATAATGTACAATGTCGAGGGTATTCCGAAATCCCGAAACATAAGAGACAAATGTCGATTCTTGATTCATGACGCATTGGTGGAAATTATTCCAGAGATAGCGGCTCATCCACAATTCGTTTCCTACGATGCAAGGCTGGACAGTTTTCAAACTTGGCATGCCAGTCCGCCACCTTCCAAAGAGGAGTTCGCTGAAGCAGGGTACTTTTGTGAACAGAATGGTGTAATTTTGCGTTGTTTTTATTGTAATGGAGTGGACTGGGACTTTAAGCCACATGAGGACCCCTGGAAGCGACATGCTAAATGGTATTACAACTGTCCATTTATACGACAGAATAAAACACCTGACTTCATTTATCAGAGTAGATTTGGGAAGAGTACTCCGCGCAGGGTCTATAACTTACGATTTGTAAGATTTCTGGATCGACTTATCTCATACCAAACTTGGAACCACGGGGAACTCCCACACGCCTTAAAGATGGCGGATGCTGGATTATACTACACCAGACTGGAAGATAAAGTGTGTTGTTTCTACTGTGGGCATGGTTTTAGGAACTGGATGAAGTGGGATGACCCTCGTTATAAGCATGCTCTATTGTCTCCACAGTGTAAATACATCAGGCAAATCAATTCAACCGTATTTTGGCAAAATGTGTCAAGGGAACGAGATAAGATGCGAGCATCTGAAAAGTGTCTCTTTACCTATACCATCAAAAGGCGCCTAGCGCGTTAATATGCATTTGAGTCTGTTTACAATCAATGAATATAAAACACGAGTCCTATAAAAGTTAGGATAATACCAACGGAGAGATGGAAACTATCACCAAATTGACTATTCTACTCTTAATTTTCTTTACTTTGATATTCATAATTCTTGAAATATTTTGTTCTAAAAGCTGTATTTTACGAATCTTTCAAATTCATTGTCAACATTTCTTGCACCTTAAATTCCATAAAAAACAAACAAACAAAACTTGTATATATCTTTTCGCAAAATTATTTATTATTCGCGTGATTCAGGTAATGCTCCATTATTTTGTTTATCTGATATCCATTACATTTTTTTTTTAAATCCAACACCCCTCCCTTTTCTGAAATATGGTGACGGCCCTGTAGGAGGAAAATTCTGTTCAAAAGAAGCACTTTAACAATGATCATCATATCAGAGTCTCCATGAATTTTTTCTAGCATTTAGTCCTATTGTTGTGCAACCTGATCCTGGTATGTATTAACAATAAACAAGTGAATATGATGTGTTTTCCTGTTTATTTACAATGACATAAAAGAGTACACCTGACACAAATAACATGAATAATAACAATGTCTAGAGAGAGTAATCTACCCCTGATGATATCCCCTCTCTCATTCAAACTGATTTTTGTTCTTCAATAAATAGGCTGCGAGGTATTCTATAGGGTTAGGTGGTCTGGAAAAAAAAAAACACATTTAAAACTTTTTGGCTTTAAATTCTTCTTATTTTATTTTTAAAATTTTTCTCTTTAGTTTTTACTTACAAGTGTATTTCATGTCTGAAGTGAATAAAAAATTCAAACAGTCTTGAAATTCCAGCAATTTTCTTATTTCACTGTGATCAGTTAAATTTTGATTCAATTTTTTTCCAGTTTTCTAGTCAAAACTTTTTTTCGTAAATCTAAATAAAAATTTTCTTACACTTTTAACGCGCATTCAAATACAGAGAGAGATCATTTGAGACTCTTTACCTTTCTTTGGCTAGAACCGACATTCCACTCAGCAGTATGGGGACTACGGTGGTATCCAGATACGCTCTGGTAGGAAGAGATTGTAGGTCAACTCGTGGTCGCTTTGAGGGATTCTCCTGAAGTTCTTTCTCACTTGTTATTATTTTCTGAAATTTAATCAGGCAATATGAGTAAATTTTCATCATTAAGGACTAGCATGTATTTCTTAAGCATTAGTGCAAAATTAACTTTAAAATTATTATTTCCTTTGTTTAGATGGAATGTTTTAAAGTTTTATGAACACAAATAAACAAAAGAATTTGTTCTTGTATTTGTCATGCAGCAAAGTAACAAGGGACAGATAATTCAGATTTTTTTTTATTCCAATGTGATAATTCATGAAAATCCACCTAGCTTTACCTGGATCTATCCATTTGCTTTCCAGGCTCATGAATTGACTAGGTGAATATATGTTAGTGGCTAGTGATCATGGTGCTAAAGCATAGAAAATGTGAGCCTTTCTTCAACATTTTATGAATGTACCTTAATTCAAACCAAGAACTTAATAAGCACATTTAATACGTTATATCGCGACTACCAATGAGTACCTCGCAGTTATCTAACTTACTACCGCTCTTTTGCGGGGGAGTCGAGAAAAGTCTACATTTCTGGGGGCAAATGACATTGTTTACAGTAGTGACAATCGAATGATTCGAACAATTTAATGCCGAAATCACGATGTTTTGCCAGATATTGAACTCCAAATAGTAGAATGTCAAATAAGGAAAGTTAGAATATTTTATCTGCTTAAAAATGTGACGATTTTCAATGAAAATTTAACGAGAAGAGTCCGCTTAATTAAAAATATCGTTAAAAATGTGACAATTTAGGATTTGCTCCTCTCAAAAATATATTAGGCTGGTTCAGCGATTGTTTAGCGAGGTATTCCACCAGGATGTTTTACTTATCTGTCCTTATAAATGCTACAATGACCGATCTTGCATTGTATTGAAAAGCACATTGCCCCCACCCAACAGACGATTCCTACCTCCTTCGCGAAAGAGTTCCGCTAAGTTAAGTAATCGCGATATCAAGTATTACTCAGAGGAGTCTTGACTGTTTGAAATGAATTTTGTCTCTTCTGTAAGACATTTGCTCGACTCTTCTTGTACTTTAATTACTACTATATATACACAGAAGAAATCTCAGATTTTTGTTTCTAATGCTGTTTCAAACCACATAGTACATATAGTTTATGCTTTTTTTTTTGTAAATTGTTCTTGCTCTTAGTACTCTAAAAAAAAATAATAAATATCGAAAACTGATCATTTCTTTCATTCATTCGACGGGTAGACTTTACTTTACCGGTCCCCAGATCCGCAAGATCCTCGCGCTCATTGGACTGTGACGAAACAACTACGTCACTCAACCGAAATGGGTTAAATTTGCACACTAATAAAGGCCTAGTCTTGCACCCACCTGAGAGATTAGGGTTAGTCCTTGCACTAGTATCACTTTTTGGTTAGTCTCGCGTTCAGAGATTAGGGTTATCCTCGCACATTATTCGACTGATTAGGGTTAGTTTAGCATCTGCCCGGGAGATTTCGTCTGAACGTCTTAGTCCTTGCATACCATACGATGGATTAGGGTTAGTGAATCGTTCTTTTTGTTAAGTTAAGAAATTTAGTTGTTTCTGTAATTTTTCCAAGATCATTATTCAGATTCATAGGCATTTCTTTCGTTTGTTTACATGGAAGATTGACTAAGTCCGAAAGAAATGACACTAAGCATGCGCCGCACGCGCTTCGTTCAAAATATTCTTTGTCGATTTTTTTCCATGAATAAACAACGTTTATTAATTTTTTTCAGAGAACGAGGTTAAAAACTTTGTTTAAAAACAAAGTTTTAAACTAAACTTTTAACCGTAGAATCCAATTTTGGGGTCAAAAGGCCAAAAAAAACTCGTATTTAAAATTTTTTTCGATCGCTCACGCGATCTCATATATACTGAAGTCGCCTTCGGCGACACTACATTTTAGCGCATTTTTCTGGGGACCGGTAAAGTAAAGTCGTTCCCATTCGACTTGGTTTGCTGAACAGAAATGAGATCAAAGACCCGCTTTTGTTACCTGTACGTTTTCCGGTAACTGATCCTGTGTTGATTTGATCTGAAATCGTAAGTATGAATATCACATCAATTATTGAGGAAACTCGGGTTATAAGAGCCGACAATTTCTATTAATTTTACACAAGTAAACATTTAACATGGGCTTTGGCAATTATTTAAATACAAGAATAGTATATATAATTTTTCATTAAATGGTTTAACGCTTGTACATCCATAAATTATACGATCAAACATAACAAAAGCGTCTGTGTACAAACAAAACTTTACCGTCCGCCATTTTCAGTGTTATGGTCGCCAATAGTAATCTCGTGAATTACCGCGAGTGCACCTGTCTAGAAAGAGGGACAACTCTGAAACATGTGAAAACTACACTAAAAATAAAATAATAAAATCAACTATTAAGAAAAATAACTTTTTATATAACACTCAGAACTTTTCATAAAAAATCATGGATGGTAAAAAAATATTTTAGAGAAATATACTGGTATTTTTAAACGTGTATGACAGTCCGTTTTTTTTTTTGTTTTTTTTTTGTTGTTTTTTTATAGATGTATTTGTTTATTATTCTACAGGTAAAAATAATTTTTATGCACCATTTATGTTTACAATTATAAAAAGGGGGTTAACCAAATAAAATAAATGAATAAATATTTAAAAAACAAGACATTGATTGTATCATTCTTTTTTCACTACTGTCCAAACCCATCTTTAAAATGCTGGATTCTTATTTCATGAATTTGTACAACCCCCCTCCCCCCCCCCCAAAAAAAAAGCTAAAAATTACATGATTATATTAAGGTTTTCAAATGTTTTAAAAACTTGTTTATCTTTCAGATAATAGACGTACTACCAAAGTAGGCTTAATTACGACAATCTGTTGCGGAAAGAGAAACAAGAGGAACAAAGTTGAAATCAGGAATTTGCAAACCGCAGGTACTATATATATATGTTTGATGGATAAAATTTAAATAATGTATCAGTAATCGGATAACAATATTAAAAAAAGTAAAAAGAAAACACAAAAATCCTCAGTTAAGCTTTAGCGCTTTCATTTTCAATCTTCAGAAGCTTACAATAGTATCATAGTAACAGTGATTATGACGTCATGTTAAGCGGAACGTTAAATGTCTATTATGACGTCATAGATACAATATGACAAAAGTACGGGAAAATCACAAGTAATCGATGTTCTTGTAACAAAGGATAATACCAGCTTAAGGATGACGTTTACTCAGGTTTCAGAAATCAGAAAGGAAATTTTATAAAGTTTACAATGTTGAATAAAAAATTGTTCTAAATGGATGAAATAACTAAGTTTTATCTCAATATCAATTTAAAAATTTAATATGTTAGTACTTGAAGAAAATATACAGGAGCTAAACTCAATGTATGGCTATGCAGAGGAAATTCGGACTAAATTTTTAATTTTTGATTTTTGTCAAAATTTTTATTTCTTGCAATGTTAATCACAAAGTAAAGGTTACATGTATTTTAAGACATCATTTTGCAAATTTTATATGTGTTTAAGCTCATAAATTATTTTAAATAAATGAATGCTATGAAATAAATAAATTAAAAAATATGTACAAAAACCACTCCAGACAACATATCTCAATAATTTGATCATTGACCCCATACAATATTAATACCATGAGAATTAGGGTAACAAAAGTAACCTGAGGCTATAAATAATTTAGAGTTCTTATCATTCAGATTTTTGTAATATTTGATTAAAAATAGGAAAAAAATATAAATATGACAGAGGAAATTCGGATGTAATAATTATCACGTTTATGACCCAAACTCTACTCATTTCTTTATATAAAGCAACTCTGTTCCATTGCTATAATATTTCATTATTTAAAGAGCTTTGTTGCTTGTAATATTTTGTGAGTGAAGAAAAAATTGGTCATAGTGTGAAAAATTGAGGTATTTCCCGAGAAAAACACAGGGCCACTATCATGAAAACGAGGTCATTGACCTAGTTATTTGAAATTGAAATTTAACACAAGAATCATAGTTGTACAATGTGCAATAGGTTGTTTTTCGTTCTTATCAGTGGAATGTTTAGTCATCTGAGTAAAGGTATACCTTAAATACGGATATTTACTATAAAACAACCGACACACACCAATATCGGCATTTTGGATCGAGCCATCCCCATTACACTAAAACAGCTATACCATATAACCTCGCAAGAAGGATATGCACCATTGTGAGTAATACCAATATCAAGGATATTCGACTGGAGGAATTAAAATTGTATTTATTAAACCAAAAATATCCAGAACAACTTGTAGATAATGGTATAAAGAAAGAGGAGTGCGATAGAAGTCAGTTACTTTTAAACATACAAAATTGAAATAATTCCATTTGTGCACACGCATAACCCGAGAAATCAAAACGTGAGTTCAATTATTTATGAATTGAACAACGTACTTAGAGAGGAAGTTAAACAAAAACGTATACAAAAATTGTCGTTTTATCAACAGTAAACGCCAACCCAAAAACCTAAAGAGAATACTTTGTTCAATTCAAACCATACTTATACAGTCTCTAAGTGTAAGAACCCTCGATGCGGTACAGTGAATACATTACAAAATGACCAGCTATAATTTCAATGGGCGTGAATTTAAGTTAACATGTCATGCGATACAAAAAATGTCATTTATGTCATCACATGTCCTGGATGCAAGGAATATTATATTGGTGAAACCGGCAACACTCTCCGTGCCCGTGTACGTGTACATAAGCAACACATTAGTACACCCGAATACAGACAAATTCAATTAAGTTCGCACCTGGAGGCGTGTGGTAAAAACAATTCAAAATTTTCCCTTTCTATAAACTCAGTTGTGCAACTGATATCCAAAGACGGGAAAAAGAAAAAACATTTTATTAGTATTTTTCAGCCAAAACTTAATAGTGTTTCATAAATTACTTGTGATTTTCCCGTACTTTTGTCATATTGTATCTATGACGTCATAACAGACATTTAACGTTCCGCTTAACATGACGTCATAATCACTGTTACTATGATACAAAGCTTCTGAAGATTGAAAATGAAAGCGCTAAAGCTTAACTGAGGATTTTGTGTTTTCTTTTTACTTTTTTTTTAATATGTTTGATGGATATATCGTAGTAATTATATTCTCATGCATACAATCGACATACATTGTATAGGCTTTGCTTTATTTCAGAATACTGCTTGCATGAAGATTAAACCACTGAAAGAAATCAAGGTGACTGTCCTGAAGAAGAGACGTATAAGTTAGCAATTCAAAATGAAGTTCCAAGAGACGTATAAGTTAGCAATTCAAAATGAAGTTGCAAGAGGAATAAGTTAGCAATTCAAAATGACGTTGCAAGAGGAATAAGTTAACAATTCAAAATGAAGTTGCAAGAGACGTATAAGTTAGCAGTTCAAAATGAAGTTGCAAGAGGAATAAGTTAACAATTCAAAATGAAGTTGCAAGAGGAATAAGTTAGCAATTCAAAATGAAGTTGTAAGAGACGTATAAGTTAGCAATTCAAAATGAAGTTGCAAGAGACGAATAAGTTAACAATTCAAAATGAAGTTGCAAGAGACGAATAAGTTAACAATTCAAAATGAAGTTGTAAGAGACGAATAAGTTAACAATTCAAAATGAAGTTGCAAGAGACGTATAAGTTAGCAATTCAAAATGAAGTTGCAAGAGACGAATAAGTTAACAATTCAAAATGAAGTTGCAAGAGGAATAAGTTAACAATTCAAAATGAAGTTGTAAGAGAGGAATAAGTTAACAATTCAAAATGAAGTTGCAAGAGACGTATAAGTTAACAATTCAAAATGAAGTTGCAAGAGGAATAAGTTAACGATTCAAAATGAAGTTGCAAGAGGAATAAGTTAACAATTCAAAATGAAGTTGCAAGAGGAATAAGTTAACAATTCAAAATGAAGTTGTAAGAGAGGAATAAGTTAACAATTCAAAGTGAAGTTGCAAGAGGAATAAGTTAACAATTCAAAATGAAGTTGCAAGAGGAATAAGTTAACAATTCAAAATGAAGTTGCAAGAGACGAATAAGTTAACAATTCAAAATGAAGTTGCAAGAGAGAAATAAGTTAACAATTCAAAGTAAAGTTGCAAGAGGAATAAGTTAACAATTCAAAATGAAGTTGCAAGAGACGAATAAGTTAACAATTCAAAATGAATAAGTAAGTTAACAATTCAAAATGAAGTTGCAAGAGGAATAAGTTAACAATTCAAAATGAAGTTGCAAGAGACGAATAAGTTAACAATTCAAAATGAAGTTGCAAGAGAGGAATAAGTTAACAATTCAAAGTGAAGTTGCAAGAGGAATAAGTGAACAATTCAAAATGAAGTTGCAAGAGACGAATAAGTTAACAATTCAAAATGAAGTTGCAAGAGGAATAAGTTAACAATTCAAAATGAAGTTGCAAGAGAGGAATAAGTTAACAATTCAAAGTGAAGTTGCAAGAGGAATAAGTTAACAATTCAAAATGAAGTTGCAAGAGAGGAATAAGTTAACAATTCAAAGTGAAGTTGTAAGAGACAAATAAGTCAATAATTCAAAATAAAATTGCAAGAGACGATCCAACAATAATTAAAAAAAATCACTCCATCAGTGGCAGAGAGATACCATGAAACTAAAGCAATGTTGATGGAGATGTTAAGAAGTTGAAGATGCCAAAAGATTGAGCGCCGCGGTAGAACATAGTAAGCAGGGGGGAGTCCTGGATGAGATGGGGGATTCAACAATGCAACATTACATGATCTGATTTGCAAAAGATCTCTAGCATCTCAGGATTGCGTTTTTACTGTGAATTGTGTTCGATACAGTCTCCTCGAAAGGGAGGCTACGGCTCTCTGAAGATCCTGCATGCAAGATTTGTGGAAAAGGGACCATCATGATGCACTTTTTACCTGGGTTCTCGATTACTTACACTGATGCACGGCTTATACAGGCGGAGACATATCGTCTCGAAGGAATTGTTTGACGCGGTGAAGAAGAGAGCAGGAAAGAGCAACAGCAGCTAGAAGTCAGGCGTCCTCAACTTTGCCGGGGGGGGGACTAGACTGACGAACATGCGAAGATTGAAATCATCGGTGTTTGACATAGGAGGGACTGGAATCTCAGGGTGTATCTATAAAGAAGATTTCTTTCTGGAGATGGTTTTCACAGCCTCTGAGACTAGATAATGCATGAGATCAGAACCCAGTAGCCATAGTGTTGACATTGCCATGGAGGCGCATCGGGAAGAGTCTGAAGTATGCAGCTTGCAGGGAAAAGAGTTAGACATTGAAGTTGTTCCCTGTAGTCGGGGAAAGCGGATTTATTTTTAGACAAAACAGTTGGGAAGCTGCTTGTTGTAGACCTTAATTAGGAATGATTTCATCATTTCATCCTTCTTGAAAGCTGGTGTACGCGGAGTCGACAACTGACAGAGGCTAGGCAGCAGTGAAATCATCATGCTTAGTGTAACAATGACAAGAGGAGCTGGATACCCGGAACTGTTAGTATATTTTATTACCAATGGTGGTAAATGGTGATAAACAAACAAACAAACAAAAACACGTCTCTTTGAATGAAATATTGTACTCTCGGATCGCCTCTCCATTTGTCGAAGCGAAATATCAATTTTGCACTTTTGAAATACTGATTACCATTTTTATTTCAATACAATATAAAGGCAACAATTTACAGTAAATTCTCTCTAACTATATTGTAGGCTTCTCCGTGAATTCCAGCAATATTTAATAATTTTATACAGGCTAACAATTGTCTTCTAATTGTGTTATTTGGTAATAAATAAATGTCTTTATCCTTACAAAACATTCACATACTCAGTTACTCTAAAGGGACTTTTAAAGCCCCCCTTTTAGTACCGTTCTGTTAAGTTATACATGTATATTGGAAAGTGACTGTCCATCCGGTTCACTGGGTCTGACTCATGTTAGTCATAGTAAGTGGCGAAACATGCCCCCACGGCCCTGTATTCGGGCCCTGAGTACGATGCCGTAGCAAAATTGTCAAAGATAGGGTTCCAGAGACACCGGCTACCATATTGAAAACCCTGTCGTTTGTCTTCAAATATAACAACGTGTGTAATCAATTTATATCTGGGAATTCCAGTCGCTTTGACCTCATCTTTAATCAATTCTGCAAGACGGACGCACAAGTTTAAACAGTCGTCGTGGTTGTATGATTCGTCCTTAAGGTTTTCTGACAAAATGCGTTCAATAATTTCTGAGATTTTTGATTCATCAAAAGCAGTGTTTTTATCCGGGGATAGTTTGTACGTATTTTCATAATTAACATTATGTTGAGGTCGCACACACCCACTAGGACTTTTGATCCGGTCTAAATTCTGTTGCAGGCGATTTGGTCCTTTAAGCTTGTGGAACTTCTTTGGAAGTGAGCTGGAGACTACACTGCTGGTGTCGGATTGGGCGTATTCCGTTTTCACTTTTCCCGAACTGGACACCCGGATCTGTTGATTTTCTCTCTTTCCCATACTGGGAGTCCGGATCCGGAAGGCCTCATCATTTAGGTTAAAAGTCACACTGCTGCGTCTTCCGGTTGGAAAGTCACTCTTTGTTGTCATGGTAAAATAATGAATTTTAAAATTCCAAACTTTAATAATGAAGAATTGGTAAACTTTGTCTTGTCGTCTGCGCGATGACTAATTCGTGTATTGAGGACTGCTTTATATGTCTGATTGTAAAGAACTTCGCCTTTTGTTCATAAAAGTGAAACAAAGGTATTGATTGCAAGTGACCAAAACAAAAGCTATTTTCGCTGTCTGCGCATCGGAGATAATACGTTTAATTAGCCCTTTTAAAATTCTCAAAGCGAATGCATGTTTGAATAGTAATCTAAGAAACTGTCAATACGTATGTAAATGTTTTCCCTGATTCTAATGGACAACTCCGATAATACACTCTCCTTATCTATCCATAAATATAATTAACTTGGAACGTGTGTATATCGCCAATAATCATTCACGAAAAGATCAATATAAAATCTGATTTGTGTCAGTTCTTAATTTCGGTGGATTTTCCTTAAAGCGTAATTTCTGACAGGAAAGGAAAATAAGAAATCTAAACAGCGCAAGGATGCTCATACAGATTCAAAAGCGCGCCCTTATAACTCATTTAATTTTGCTTTCAGGTGTTAGGATGCCAGAAAGTCCGGTCATTTCTACACGTGTATTTACAATGATATTTCAAATTATCATATCTTTCACTGTATAAAAGAACCGTGGTACACTTTTAGTGTAGATTCTTTTGAAAATGACATGAAAATAAAAGTCTCAAACAGGGTACTGTTACAACGCAAAATATAATAACAACGCGAAATGTAATAAACCTGGGTTATTACATTTTGTATTATACATTATTTCAAAAAAAATATTTTTCACGCAAAATATAAAACATGATTTTAAGATTATTACATTTTTATTACATTTTTTAAAAAAAATAACATGAAACATTTTGAATTATTTTATTTTTGCACTGAAGACAACGCAAAATGTAATAAAACAAATTACAATTATTTTTTTGATTGCGTTTATCAAAAAAGATCATAATTATTAAAACTGATTCAAATATATACATGTAACCAACATGGGAAACACGCTGTACAACATGTTTAGAACTAAAACAATGAGACCAACGTTAGCGCTTTTACAGGCAAATAAACAAATGTAAATAATATTTGACATTACTTTAGTTATATTATTATATTACAAATAATAAAGCATAATTTAAATTTGATATATTCTTATTATTATATATTGAATTTTTAACCAATAACACATATTTAATTACCAAAATTTGACTATAGGTTCATTAAAAGCTCTTGATATGCATTTTTACAGATTTAATTTGTGTGTGTCAAGCTAGGGTTTTCTCTTCTCTTTGATTGGCATTAAAAAGCACGAAATGAACATGTAAATTACATATTAAAATATTTTATTTTACAAAGAAAAAATATTCCCTGACTGAGAGTAGCGATAAAAATATCAACACACATGGAGATCGGTAACGTTGAACTTTAAAAGGACAATGCTTTAATATGTACGTACTAAACAAACAATTTAGATGAACGAGTGGCATTGCTTTTCTCCCAAGGGCTGTTTCTTAGACGACCAGCAAACATTACATCAATTTAAAAGGATCAAACGAGAAGAGGCATTAAAAACCAAAAGCTCGAGTCGTTTACAAACAAATTATGATTTTACGATCGCCTTCTTAATCTGAACAGTCTCCCGGGTAACTGTAAAGTGTTCGATTTTCTCCGCTGTTAAATCCATGATTTATGTGTGCACTTTTTAATGTAATAAACATAAAATTATAGTTTTATGTCGACACGAATTAAATTTTCATGTAGATAACGTTAAGTATGTCACTTCTGAAAAGGGCTTGGTTTGACATTGGGCGAAGTGCGGATTTAAATATTTGAATTATCTAGAGTTCGATTTTTTTCCGAAAATGACTCTCCTTATTTCTATCCTTCAAAAATTTATGGATTTAAATTAATTGAAAAAAAAATCATAAGGGTTGGTATAAGAGTTACCTAAAATTATGACTTAATATCCATAAGTTAAAAAAATTTAACAATGTTACATTCAATTTTTGAAAGTTTTTTTCTTCAATCTTTTGAAAGGAGAACGCGGCTAGTGAATTTAATCAAGCAATTTTTTTTATTACAAAGAACAAAATATAAATAGAGGAAAAAATCCTAAATAATAAAAAGTAGTACATGAATGAAAAATAAATAAATAAATAAAGTAAAACCAACAACAACAGTAGAAAACGTGATGCAAACAAAAAAAGTTCACAACTCTCATTTAAACAAAGGATCATCTATTTTCTCAATTTCAGTTAAAACTGCAGGCATGTGTAATTTGATAAAAATATACCGGTATACATCAGGTCACAAACTGTAGGAATTTTTTAATTTCGTGGCGTGTCGAGTATATCCAAACAGCTAAAACATTATTCAGATATTTTTATTTAGAATTTTGATTGATTTTTAAAGATAATTGTAAAATAATAAATATTATATATGCAAATTAAACACTGACGTTTAAAACTTAAGTTAAACTTTCCATACTTTAAAACTGTATATTTTCTATAATGACATTTTATTTTGTACAAGTAAAGTATGATCATGTGTTCCAGACAGAGAAGTGTACCTCCGTTAATTAATCACAAACAGCACTAAATTCAGTCGTAATAAGTGGCAAAAACAGTTCCTATGGCAACGAAGTCAGTTCCATTGTACGTCGCGGAGGCGTAGTTGTCGAGGTTCGATTCCCAAAGACACCGGCTCGTGTAGTGAATACTTTGCTTCTTATTTTCAAACACCATAACATACGCTATCACCTTATACCGTTTGAGTCCTGAGAGTTTAACACGCTCCTTGATTAAATCAGACAAGGTTTTACACAACTGTGGAAACTTTCTCTCGTCGTAAACTCTATCCTTCAAGTACATATTAAGCACATTAGAAATGATCTGTTCTCCTTTTTGAGGATTGAATTTAGTCCCGTCCTCCGGACCCACTTTGTATGTATTCTCCAGTGCCTTCGTCGGTCCTCCCCTTTCGGATCCCGACCGTTTTGATAAAGCACCACCAAACAAGGTATGTAACCTTAACTTTGTCCGGATTCTGGAGAATCTGTTTCCAGGAACAAGGGAAATTTTACTACTTGTTTCCGAGTGTTTGTCCGATCTATCCTGACTCCCTCCTCCCCCACCCCCCAGAATCCTGCTCTTCATACTCAGTCTGGTCGTTGTTGGACCGCTCACGTTGCTGGCTGAAGATGCCATCGTGCCCTTTTCTGGTGTGTGTTCTCTCTTAATATTAGCATTGTGAACTTTCAACAAGTCCGCACTCAACTTTCCGTCCATATTTGAAATATTGCCCCCTCCAGTAAAAGGTTTGTTCGAGAGCTTCTTGTCAGTCGCTTATTTACGTTGAATCCTTTTATCGCAGAAGATAGATTGATTTAGCAATAATCGGGCCTGACACCAATATCATAAAACGATCGTCAGGCGAGGGCTAAACCACACCGATGGCTTCACTTAAACAAATTTTTACGGGGTTAGAATAAGAATGTAAATATTGGTCCTAGTGTTTAGAATACTCCACAAGGAAATCACCCGCGGATGTAATGATACGCACAGATTTTCTCTCTAAGTCAATAAAGTTATTACTAAAGCGGCCTAATAGATTTGTCCTGGTGACACAATGCCTAATTTGAAATCCAGATAGTATGTTTGAGTAATATTTGGTGAAACTACAAACAGAAAAAGGCAGCAGACTTTCCATTAAATGGCTATATACCCACACATCATTCCTCCAATCGATACAAAAGAAACCAGCTCCAATCAACAAGTAATCAAGATAAAAATGAAATTTGCCACGACCTCAGACATTTAAAACACGAAGTGAAATCAAGCACAGACAGAGGAATCTTAATGTTACAGGATAATTAGATGGAAGTGCTCCCCAAGTTTCGGAAACGTTCTGGTCTGGCGAGTCCTTTGGTTCTGAATTCCATACTAGTGTCGGGATTCTTTCTCTCTCCAGGGTCGCGGACGTAGATCTGAGTGATCAATACCTCTTCATCCTTAACAGGTGATGCAGACGATTCGTTCTCCGATCGAGAGAGAAATGTTACACTTTTGTGAAATATCGATGGATCGACAAGTTTCCCATGGTAATTAATGAGCAACTTCAACAGCCGATAATAACTAATGTCCAATAAGCCTTGGTGACGGAACATTAATTCATAATGTGCCTTACCGCAACACTACCGAATTGTTTTCCACGGTAAAATGAAATGCGAGAAATCAGTATTCTCCCAAATAATTAGCAATAGGATATTTTCTGTGACACTTCTAGGTCTTTTATTCATGTATGAAATATAAATTACAGGTATCTAATTATTCAGAAAATGTAGAGTTTACATCGCATCCCAGTGCGTGTCGATGTGAAATTATTTTCAAAAGATTTAAATACCCAGTTATTATATTTCATATAAATGGCTGTTCAAAGCGCCGATAGAAAATAACAACTTCTTTATTTCCCCTTAAATCCTGACATTAGATACTTTAATCACAGAAATGATATATCAGAATGAGCATAGAGTTAATGATCGAACCTAGCTGATCGTATGACACCCATTTTACCCATAAACTCTTTTCAAAAATATTTCAAACAAAAGCACTGCTTCATTGAAATCGTCGTATTTTCTATAGTACACGGAATCTATCTGGATTGAATTCTGTACTGGTATTTACATCAGAATGAACTCAGTAGAGCAACATGTCAACAGTCTGCAGTGTATAGAGTATTACAGAAGATGACTCACTTAGAATTTTGAATCATTTATTTTTATATTATTCACTTGTAATGACCAACATATCATTAATATATTAACTACAATTTACAATATATAACATTGGATTTACAATCACACATGTCACAACACTGTTGGCCAGTGTACAAAAATACTGCACTGATAGGCATACGGACAATATAGTCAATCTTATTTAAAACAAAGTCATGTATAGGTAGGTATACAAGGAAAAATTGAAAATATTTAGAAAAAAAACAAACAAACAAAAGGTAGAAATGTGACCAGAGAAAGTTGTGTGTTATAAATAACTAGAAAGTACAGTGCAGTTAAAAAAAACTCAAGGGAGATAAACCTGCTTCTTAACAAGAACAAAACTTCATATCCAAAGAACAACACTTACCCACCAGTAAATAACTGACTACAGTGTTATTAATATTATCTCCAAACAACTTTAAAAGAGATTCCACAGTAAATGTGCCACATTTGTAAATGTGTTTCATGCAATATACAATATGGATATACATTTACTCCAAGATTGATTGGTGAATAATGTGTGTATGACTGCAGAATGGTATATATGTAGGGAAACAAAATTGCTCCTATCCGCATCTTTCCGATGAAAAATTTTCTTTTTAATTTTCTTAATTATAAGGACTCAAATTTATGACATACTTTACATACATGTATGAAAAATCAATGCTGTTTCTTATAAGGGGAAATAGTATTTCATCATCATTTTTCATTAAATACTTGCCAAAAATTATCACAAATGTATTAAATCCTAAACATGCATATACACATTTTTTGGTTAATAAAAAGTATCTAGACAATCAAATATTACTATAGAAAAATTTACATTTCATAATTTTCAGAAATACAATCTTTTTACAGCTTAATAGGCCTTTAATACTTTAACATGAGATAATATTAAAGAACAATTACATTAATTTTATCAACAACAATGTGATATGTAAATAGAGAGGCAGTTTAAAAAAATTCTTGGACAACACTATAAATCACATTAAGATAGAGAAATCAGCTTTATATTTTTCAAGTTGAAAAAAGAAAATTGGGTTATTTCCCTTTTCAACCATATATTCCTTTTTATTAAAATGTTGAATAAAATTGATTAGTTTACCAAGTATCAAATAATATTAAGAGTAAAAAATCTAAGATTCCCTTGGTATTGATCATATGTTGACAAGAAAAATATTCCTTCAAAACATTTCTGAATTTTTGACCAGAAAAACTCAAATACTTTTCCCCCTGTTCACAATGATCTTTTGGAAGGATAAACATTCTTGGTCATCTACTACAGCAATGAGATTGTGACCTTTTCAGGAATTTGATCTGGATCAAAGATGTCATAATTCAGGTCAAACATAAGTCAACCTTTTGCCCCTTAATAGGTAATAAATAACTTTGTTATATCTATCTCTACAAAAAACTCAAGATATTGTCTTGATAAAATGAAACTGATAACATTTTATGTCTAATAATCCCCCATCAGCTATAAAATGCCTAACTCTGTGTAACATATTGTCCTGAAAACCCCTATCTTCCATTTGACCTTATATAAATGGTTATTTATATATTAATATTTTAACCAAAGACCTATGTGCATCATGCCAAAGATCCACATAATAAGAGATAACTGCTTAAGATTTGATCTTAATCTATGATGAATTGAAATTCAACAAGTATTTCATAATAAACAACAATGATTTGATAGCACATGTTAAGCAAATTAAAAAAAAATGCTAACAGAATTTTTTATGAAAAGAATACAGAAAAAACATTAATTAAATTAAATTACTATTAAATGGCAGAATACTTTATGACCCAAATTGTTTAAGTATAGTTTTTCATAAATTTCATATAGTCCAATATTTAGAAATACCATTTTCTTTTTTTATTGAAAACAGAATATCCCCGGCATATCCGAGACTAGAACCATTAATTTACAACAGGCAAGAATAAAATCAATTCTGAGTTTAACAGGATATTATTTAGGCATCGCTAAAACAAAAAAGATAAACCTTATACGAAAAAAAAGCCACAGAGCTATAACATATAGCCTATAACCTTATAAAGCCATAGAACCACTGCTGACCCGAATCAGCTCTCCATGAAACTGAGGACAGTCCGAGGCCACTCTCACAATGTACTCTATCATAAAAGCTTAAGGTATCACATTTGGCAACACGCCAGTACACATAAGAGTTCCCAGAACAATATTTATCTGCTATAATACACACGGTAATACAGTGTCTTTGATCTCCACAGGGAGTAGGAATTGTCAAATTTCAATAGATACACGCCCTGGCCTGGGTAAGCGTGGCTTCCACAATACACCTCCTCGTGGCAGTCGCGGCGATAAACCGGAATAATCTCGTCAGTTGGTGGACGGTCGTCTTTCTTAGCACCTTGCTCCACATCATTCTTTGTGTCTACAAGCAAAAATAGTACTTGTATAATATAATGTTATATAAACATAACCAAAGTTATGGCCAGATTTAAAGTTGGGAATTTTTTGGTAACAGTGGGTCAAACTCCAAGGTCAAGAGGTAAGATTTGGTGGTACCCAGAGTTTTTGAAATCCACTGGTCCCACCGGCAAAACTGGTAAATATTTCAAAAGACTGGTAATTTTCTTCATGTAATTGGTCCAAGGGACCGATAAAAAAAATGACCCTTCCAGAATTTTAACCTCTTAACCTGTGAATGTTAAGTTTTTTTTGTGAGTTTGTCAAAAGGATTGAATCTGTGTGTATGATAGAATAAACTCAAGGGCTTTTATGACAGCTAGTTTTTCATAAAATGGAGGCGCCATGGCCTAATAAATTCCATAAAAGAAAATCAGACCCATTCAAATCATTCCTGGGTGATTTTTTTCTTCAATATCTGTGTTTTTTCTATCAGCTGATTCAATTTGTACAAAAAAAGTTAACTGTAGCTTTATTTAGGATACAACATATGTCAACTTTATTATCATTTACCTTAAATATGAAGAGTAATAACCATTATTGTAACAATAAACATCTCCCCCCAACATTTAGAACTTCGTTTTCTGCGGTAGACAGCCACTTTGGGTAGCCACTGTAAACATCACACATGGTTAATTCTGTTCGGGGATGTTTGACCCTATTAATTTTTTAAGTCCCAACTGGAATTAAAATAATTTTCAGTTTTTTGAATATGCATGCTGATGAACCAGTGAATATTTGTGTGGACAAGTGAATTTCACTAAATCACTAATCCACTTGACCAGTAAATTTTTTTTTTATTCAAAAACTCTGGGTACCCTGAGAAAGATCTTGTCACAGGGAATTTCAGATGTGATACATAAAAGCCATAGTCACACACCACTTAAAAGTTATGGGTAAGATTGAAGTTTTTGCTGACAGACAGACTGAGCAAAAACTACCCCGAATCTTTGACTAAAGGGGCATAATTTAATCCCCTTAAAAAACAAAATTAGATAAAATACAAACCTTGTTCTTCATCGAATTCCTCCTCATCGCTTGACTCACTGACTGTCACACTGACAGTAGTACTGGGGGACACGGTCCACTCAAAGTAAACACCGAACCCGATGTCGTAGTAGTCCGTGGCGAACTCCCAGAACAGGCAGGTGCCGTCCTCATGTGTGGGCACTCTCACCTGATACAGGTAAAAAAAGTAACATAAATTATATACAGGATTTATAAACAGCAAAATTCATTCAAAAATGGAAAGCTGACTACCTAGAATGGATTAAAGCATATGAATCTTTAATGTTCCCCCAAATCATAAAGGACTACATACAAGTCAGCTTTGGTTAAACATTGAATGATAATAAAGACATACAGAAATTGTAAAATTGTGATATAATAAAGATGTTTGTTTATTCATTCAAGCTTTGTTTTTTTTATAGATTAAGTTCACAATCATTCTGAAGTGAGAAATTCTAAACTACAGTGTAGGTGGTGCTGGAGATGATAGTATTTACACAAACGGAAAGAGGAATCTGAAGCTACAAAGGAGGTAGGAGATCAAATGCCCAGTCTTCTAATTAAATTGAATTAAAGCAATATCTATTCTGCTTATTCTAATTTTAAAGGGATGATGAGGGTAGCAGGTAGAGTTATGAAAAAGATGAAAATAAAAAAGTGTGAAAGTTACAACAATTATTTGTATATGAAATGCATCCAGTTAGATAGATTAAGAAGCTAAAGAAGCTAAGAAGCTACTGTTAATCTAATTTAAAAACCTATCTTGGTTCTAAGTCACAGTCAAAAGTAAAATTAAGGTAATTAAATTAATATGTCTTAGACTTCAAGGATCAGCTCTGACCAGCTCTTGGTGCTGTATAAATCACATAACAACAAATCATACACTCTTAGCGGACATATAAACTGTACATTATGTTATAGGCTAAGAAATCCCCTTTAGATAATGACACACAATGAAGATGTTAGAAGTGTTTTCTTATTTAATTTTTTCACAATTAATTAATAAAAAAAATCAATTCAGTGATTACAAAAGCAGCCATATTTCTAGATTATTAGCAGAAAGCCACCATATTAAGTGCGGGTTAGGCTAATTGCAGGTTAGAGTTGCCAGGTTTGCCTACTTACAGTAACGGTCTCTCCAGACCCTATCTTTATTACTGAATCCTTATCTTTTTGAAGTGATTCTTTAAATTCTTTAATGTCTTTACGAGTCCACATTGAGGCAGCAGCAAGGGGAGGCATTTCATCTACAAAATCAGTGAGAAACGTAGCAGACCAACAAAAAAAGCCAAAGGTTTCTTCTACGTGCCTGCAAAGCCTGATGGGAAGTTCCAGAGACTTGCACCATGCTCTGCATCTCGAAAAACCAGCAAGTCTTCAGATAACGTTAGACCACAATGTACAAGAAAAATTTATAAGTTATATTTAGAGGTAACACATTTTGAAAAAGGTCCGACTTTTCAATAATCATTTAAGACTATTATAGACTGAGAGATTATAAAAAGAACATATTTATACAATACATCCAGAGCATAGTACTTGTATTATTCTGAAGACTTGCGGGCCCAGGAAACCATGCAGTGATACACCAATAAAATTCTGAAGGGCACTCACAGTCGCCGTTGCTAGGGACCCAATCTTAATAACATTTTCTTGACAGTGTTTGACACTGTCTTTGAATGATTGGATGTCCTTACGAGTCCAGACAGAGGCGGGCATTAACAAAGCAGGGGGCGGAACATGGCCTGAAAAGTTCCCAATCATACCTTACAGTCTCTCTATTGGAAATGTACAGTAAAACATGCTTATATCGAAGGCTAGGGACGGACGATTTCACTTTGCTATAAGCATAATTCATTATCTATTACACACACTTACAAAATATTTTAAAGTCAAGGGGAATGAAAATCACTTCATTATAAGCATGTTTGCTATAACCGTGTTTTACTGTAATCTGTTAAATCTCAGATTTTCATTAGAAATTCTTGATAAACTGAATGTATTGAAACATTAAATTAAAACTGAGATTATCACAAATTTGATATGAAGCTCACCTTCAGGAATGTTATCTATAAATAAGGCAAAGTCTCAAACCAAAGGTATGTACAATAAAGTCATCTTTAAAATCATTATTTAAAACAGGCCTCTCATATAATAACTTAAATAAAGAATACTTGTAGAGTCTTAAATAAAGCATCACTATATATTTCTATGCATTTCCAGATTCATTAATCATCAGCAGAACACTCTTGTACTTGGATCTTGTACCTGCTCAAAAGAATTTGACTTGTTCACTGAGGCTTATGCCAAAGGTATGACACAAGCTCAACAGTACTTATTCATTGGGAGCTAAAAATCAATACTGGTCTTCAAGATTTTAAAAGCCCAGATTTTTCTTTTAAAATGATTATTAATCAATATTATTCAGATTGGTTGCTGTAGTCCTAATCTAGATCAAGATTGGTTGCTATGGGCTATGGTCCTAAACAAAATCATGATTGGTTGCTGTGGTTCTAACCTAGATCATGTTGCTATGGTCCTAAACTGAATCATGATTGGTTGCTATGGTCCTAATCAAGATCATGATTGGTTGCTGTGGTCCTAAACTAAATCATGATTGGTTGCTATGGTCCTAACCTAGATCATGATTGGTTGCTAAGGTCCTATCCTAGATTAAGATCAGTTGCTGTGGTCCTAATCTAGATCATGACCTAACCTAGATCATGATTGGTTGCTATGGTCCTAACCTAGATCATGATTGGTTGCTATGGTCCTAACCTAGATCATGATTGGTTGCTGTGGTCCTAATCTAGATCAAGATTGGTTGGTATGATCCTAACCTAGATTAAGATTGGTTGCCGTGATCCTAACCTAGATCATGATTGGTTGCTGTGGTCCTAACCTAAATCATGATTGGTTGCTGTGGTCCTAACCTAGATCATGATTGGTTGCTGTGGTCCTAACCTAGTTCATGACTGGTTGCTATAGCCTATTTTTAACCATTAATTATGTTCCCTTGGTATGGGCACAAACATTTTAAATTCCCTTTAGTAAAAAAGTATTGGACTTAGTTTGCTTGAAATTTGGCTCTAAGAAATAAAATCCAGAAAACTTAACAAACAAAAAAGCAAACTCTGATCATAAAATCTCTTTTAAGCCTTGGGCTTTTGGCCCAGTTGAGTTTATACTTAAAGATGAAGAGTGTTTATGTAGTATACTTGATAAGACTACTATTGTATCAGTGATATTTATCAAGTTATGCAGTACCTTCTCCCTCTGGCTTTTTCTCTGTTGTCCCTTCCACTGGGCCATTAGGCGTGACATTAGAGTTAACGTTTGTCTGGGGAGGAGCCTCGCTCTGCTGACTGGCTGGCTGTTGGGTAGGGGGCGGGGCCATCTGTTGACTGGCAGGTGTGGGTTGTGTTGGTGCTGGTGCTGTGTTGCTGGCTTGTTGATGCATCTGTTGGTACTGCTGTTGCTGATGTAGAAGCTGCTGTTGATACACTTGTTGCATGTACTGCTGGTAGTGTTGCTCTTGCAGCTGTCGGATCAACTCGTCTTGCTGTTAATAAGATAAATGTACTGTATTTAGATCCGTATAGACATTAAATTCCTCCTTGAGACTTTCTGCCCATGCAAAATTTCAGTTAATCAATAGTTCATAACACTATACATGTTGCTGTTATGTAAACAGAAAGAGTAAGATTTTTTTTTTCTCTTCAATAAAAAAGAAATAAATACAACTGTACATTATCAATGATCTAATTTTGAATGTCTCTGTATTGCAACTTTCATTCACTAGAAACATTCTGTGGCCAATCAATACAGAACAGGCTTTGCATTAATACTAATTCTCCCTGTCAAAGTATTGAAATATTGAACCATAGAGTGACCTGCATGGACTTTATCTGACAATGTTATATTAGTTTTTTTTCTACATTATGTAGCATCTGAAATCAGATTGCTTCACAAAGAAGTAAGTACACAGTGCTACAGTGTTAAAGTATGTAAACAGAATGCATAAAAAACCGATGTTCATTCAACAGGAAATACAAACTTGTCAGTCAACTTATATCTCATCTCAGACGGAAGTCAGAAAAAAAATGTAACTACAACATACTGCACTGAAATATTTAAAACTGACTAGCATGATCACAATAAAGATTATCCTCAAATCACAAAATCAACTTCCAACAAAATATAAAAATCTGCCTGACCTGTGAGAATGTTTTCCTGTCACACGACTAACAGTGTAGCACGTTTACAGATTAAACACAGACTATTAAGAGCCCAGATATACAGCCTAGTGAACATTTAACTTCCCTATCCTGGGATTTGATAATTATACTGGATAAGTCAAACCAAACACTTGTCTGATCAAGTGAATCTGTAATGCTCGGACAGTGTTATACAGTCTGGAGCATTCCCATCTGATGATATTGTAATGAAATTCCATCCACCTGCATCTCGTACACTTAAAAAACGTGTACTTACATCATCATTTCCTGTTTCCAGAAGTTATAACAAAGAACTGAAGATAACAGTCTCCCTCACTCACAATGTGGAAATTACAACATTACAGTAACGGTGGAAAAAAGTCAATACAGTTAAAAAGAGGAGGAATCAATAACCAACGCACGAGTACAGAGCCAGCAAATCAATACCTGGTCCTCTACTGTAATACGGCACAGGAAACCGGAGACAACGGGAAGATAAAACAAGAGGCCCATGGGCCACATCGCTCACCTGAGTACTGTAGCTTAGAAAAAGTAGAAATTGGTTTATTATTGAAAAGTTAAAATCCAAAAGTAATCCCACGATCAATCATGGATTTGCTATTCTTACCCATAAGAATTTTCCCTAATCATATATTTCTATGTAAAACTTTGGTGACGGTTGCACATTTTTAAAAGGCCCCGCCTATCAAAAAGTAAATAAATGTTTTATAAATACAAAGGGTCATGATTTCAAAAAATTTGATATCTACACTACCTGAAGATGCTTCCATATAAATATGATGAATAATGGCTTTGTCATTCTTGAGAAGAAGATTTTTAAAGAATTTTCCCATTTATTTCTATGTAAAACTTTGGTCGGCCATTTTACCCCGCCCCACCCCCGGGGGCAATGAAAAAATTTGAATTTACACTACCTGAAGATGCTTCCATATAAATATGATGAATAATGGCTTTGTCATTCTTGAGAAGAAGATTTTTAAAGAATTTTCCTATAAATTTCTATGTAAAACTTTGGACGGCCATTTTGGCCCCGCCCCACCCCCGGGGGTCATAAAATTGAAAAAACTCTGAATCTTAACTACCTTAGGATACTTCCATATAAATTTGATGAATTATGGCTTTGTCATTCTTGAGAAGAAGATTTTTTAAAGAATTTTCCTATATATTTCTTTATGTAACAGCTTGAAGAAGATTTTCAAGGTCATTTTTCACTATATAATCAATAGCCCCGCCCCCCCCCCACACACACACACAAGAAACTTGAATCTTCACTACCTGAGGATGCTTCCATATAAATTTGATGAATTATGGTTCTGTCATTCTTGAGAAGAAGATTTTTAAAGAATTTTCCAATATATTTCTATGTAAAACTTTGGTCAGCCATTTTGGCCCCGCCCTACCCCCGGGGGTCATGATTTGAACAATCTTGAATCTTCACTACCTAAGGATGCTTCCATATAAATTTGATGAATTATGGCTCTGTCATTCTTGAGAAGAAAATTTTTAAAGAATTTTCCTATATATTTCTATTTTGTAAAACTTTGGTCGGCCATTTTGGCCCCGCCCTACCCCCGGGGGTCATGATTTTCAACAAACTTGAATTTTCACTACCTGAGGATGCTTCCCTATATGTTTCATCTTTCCTGGCACAGTGGTTCTTGAGAAGAAGATTTTTAAAGAATTTTCCAATATATTTCTATAAAACTTTGGTCGGCCATTTTGGCCCCGCCCTACCCCAGGGGTCATGAATTTCAACAATTTTGAATCTACACTACCTGAGGATGTTACCCCATAAGTTTCATCTTTCCTGGCACAGTGGTTCTTGAGAAGAAGATTTTTAAAACATGCCACCAAATTTTCATTAATTCCCAATTATCTCCCCTTGAATGAGGGCGTGGCCCTTCATGAAATTCAACAAACTTGAATCCCCTTCACCCAAGGATACTTTTTACCAAATTTGGTTGAAATTGGCCCAGTGGTTCTTGAGAAGAAGTCGAAAATGTGAAAAGTTAACACACGACACACGACACACGACACACAACACACGACACACGACGGACGACGACGGACGAAAACGGATAGCAATAGGTCACCTGAGTTTACTCAGGTGACCTAAAAAAAACAAGACACCAAGCTCTGACTTAATTCAGCTGCTTACATCTCTTAATGCAGATTAACCCATAAAATCATTTCTTGTAAATGACTGTAGCAGCAGGATCACTATTAGACTATTTAATAAAACAGTAAACACATGACTAGACTGTCCTGTAGGTTAATTCTCTGAGACATCCACGGTAAACAGGATGCTGCAATCTTTTAGTTTAAATGGTTTTGGTTTTTACACATCCACCCCCTCCCCCTTTCACTTCTTCACTTCATACTAAATTCTTCTCAACTTAAGGGGAGGCAAATTCTTGAACTGAAAAAAAGTCAATTTTTTTTTCTCATATTTTGTATATCACTAATTTAGTATGTCTCACTTTTTTTAAAAAGTAGTTTTACCACTAGTTTTTTTATCTTATTATTGAGGTATTAAATAATACAATGTCCGTTAGTGTCTAAATTGAGTTTTAATTTTCCATAATTAGAGCCAATAGTTCTGTCCATAATTGGAATTTTCAGGCATGGACAAAAGATAAATTAGAAAATAAACAAGTTTAAATCTCAGAAAGCAATTATTTTATCACATTGCATTTTGATAGGGAAAATTGTGTATTTTTTCTGACATGCAACTTTTTTAACCCCCCTCCCCCCCCAAAAAAAATTTCTTTAAAAAATCCATCATTCAATATTTAAACATTTACATTGACATTAAAGTCCTTCATTTTGTTGGTAAGTTGTAAATAAAATATCACAAAGTGAAGATTACTTCAATTTCACAGGACCTAGTTAAACAAAACATATATGAAAGCAAGGTAAAATGCAATGTTGACATTTCTCGAGTAAGACAAAACCAATTGGAACATCACACAAAAGCTTAATAGTTTATTTCAAGAAAGTTTGACCACAGACCAGGGACAAATAAATCAATCAATCAATGTATAAAAACGAAGAACCGTCTACAGAAATATACACCAGTATCCATAAATTACAGGTGTCATGGGACACAAAAGGCAGGCTATTCATCAATTATTTATTTCACCTGTTCAAGGGTGTATCAGGTTATTGAACAATCTAGTATATATATTTATGAAGGTACTGCATCTTCCTTCAAACAAGTCTTGTTTACAGATACTGAGATCTAGAGAAGCAAAGATTTAACTAGGAACAATCAATTAATGGCCAGATTAGGGGTATGGGATTAGGTTATGTAATTAGTAACTAGGCTGCTAATTATCACCCAAGAAATATGTTGCAATTGGTAAATTAATTAATATCACCTATAAATCAATGGATTATAAGCCCATTTTTACCAGGTAGTAAATCCAAGGTGTGGAGGTATAATTTTTTATCAAGATAATGTGAGATATTAGTCTATCTGCAAAGCAGTGATTGGGAAGGGCTTGCGCCACGCGCCATAGTCGCATTGAAGTGAAAAATGGCGCATTAAATCAATCAATCATGGCGCCAAGGTGCGCATTCAATTTTTAGCGATGTTATTTGGAAATATTTTGCGTATGACTTTCTTTCTTGTTTTACTTTCGTTTTAAATACAGTCAATTTAAAACAACAAATCTCATTGGTTGAACCTCGTCAAAAAGTACTTCCGGTTAAACGAAGCACTTACATTAGGTACAATAGTTCATTCATTTGTATTTTAGGGCTGTTCCCTTTCCAAAATTATCGTAATTTTAACACAGAATACGGGTTAGTTGTATTCTAAGCAAGTTCCTTTAAATTTGCTGCATTACATGCGTTAAAAATCAGATTTGGTAAATTAAAAACGTGTTTTCTCTCGTATTTCATATTTGTTTGTCACTTTGTTATTTTTTAAAATGTCCCTTCAGATTATATTGATGGCCCATTTATTTTCAAAATGGCCCATCAAAGGTGTGGACAGTATAATTTTTTATCTCATTGACCATTTTGGCCTTCCCAATCACTGGCAAAGTAAAGCATATAAACTTGGTTATACTGTAAACAGTATTCAGATTGTTGTTCGGGTATTGTTGTTGTACTTGTCATTATTTGTTGAGGATACTGTTGTACAGTTGTATTTGTTATTTGTAGCTAGTTGTTTAGGTACTTCTGTTGTACTTACTTGTCTTTATTTGTTGGGGATACTGTTGTACAGTTGTATTTGTTATTTGTTGTTTGTAGCTAGTTGTTTAGGTACTTCTGTTGTACTTACTTGTTTTTATTTGTTGGGGATACTGTTGTACAGTTGTATTTGTTATTTGTTATTTGTAGCTAGTTGTTTAGGTACTTCTGTTGTACTTACTTGTCTTTATTTGTTGGGGATACTGTTGTACAGTTGTATTTGTTATTTGTTATTTGTAGCTAGTTGTTTAGGTACTTCTGTTGTACTTACTTGTCTTTATTTGTTGGGGATACTGTTGTACAGTTGTATTTGTTATTTGTTGTTTGTAGCTAGTTGTTTAGGTACTTCTGCTGTTGTACTTACTTGTTTTTATTTGTTGGGGATACTGTTGTACAGTTGTATTTGTTATTTGTTGTTTGTAGCTAGTTGTTGAGGTACCTTTGTTGTACTTACTTGTCTTTATTTGTTGGGGATACTGTTGTACAGTTGTATTTGTTATTTGTAGCTAGTTGTTTAGGTACTTCTGTTGTACTTACTTGTCTTTATTTGTTGGGGATACTGTTGTACAGTTGTATTTGTTATTTGTTATTTGTAGCTAGTTGTTGAGGTACTTCTGTTGTAGTTACTTGTCGTTATTTGTTGGGGATACTGTTGTTGTACTTTATTTGTTGTTTGTAGTTAGTTGTTAAGGTACTGCTGTTGTATTTGTTGTTTGTTGTACAGGAACTGCCATTTTACTTATTTGGTGTTGGGGTACTCTTGTTAAACTCATTTATTGTTTGATGTTGAGTTACTGCTGTAGTACTTATTTGCTGTTATTTTTTGGGGCGCTGATGTACAGTTGTTTATTTTTGGGATACAGCTGTAGTACTTATTTGTTGTTTATTTTTGGGATACTACTGTAGTACTTATCTGTTGTTTATTTTTGGGATACTACTGTAGTACTTATTTGTTGTTGAGGTAATGGTGTTGAAATTACTTGTGCTTGTTATTTGTTGTAAGGGGTACTGGTGTCATACTTGTTGTTTGTTGTTGGGGGTACTGCTTTGTACTTATTTATTATTTGTTGTGGTACTATTGTATAATTGTGCTTTATTTGTTGTTGGGGGACATGCTGTGGTACTAACTTGTTGTTGGGGCACTGTTGTTGTACTTACTTGTTGTTTGTGTATTGTTGTTGTACTAACTTGTTGTTTGTATATTGCTGTTGTTTTATTTTGTTGTTTGTTGTTGGGGCACTGTTGTTATACTTATTGTTTGTGTATTGCTGTTGTACTTACTTGTTGTTTGTTGTTGGGGTACTGTTATACTTACTTGTTGTTTGTTGTTGGGGCACTGTTGTTATACTTACTTGTTGTTTGTTGTTGGGGCACTGTTGTTATACTTACTTGTTGTTTGTGTATTGTTGTTGTACTAACTTGTTGTTTGTTATTGGGGTACTCTTTTTGTACTAACTTGTTGTTTGTTGTTTGTGTATTGCTTTTGTACTAACTTGTTTTTTGTTGTTGAGACACTGTTGTACAGTTTTTTGTACTTGTTGTTGGTTGTTGGGGTATTGTTGTATTAATTTGTTGTTGGGACACTGTTGTACTTACTTGATGTTTGTTGTTGGGGTTCTGTTATACTTACTTGTTGTTTGTTGTTGGGGTACTGTTATAAATACTTACTTGTTGTTTGTTCTTGTGGTACTGTTGTACTTACTTGTTGTTTGTTGTTGGGGTACTGTTGTACTTACTTGTTGTTTGTTGTTGGGGTACTGTTATACTTACTTGTTGTTTGTTGTTGGGATACTGCTATACTTACTTGTTGTTTGTTGTTGGGGTACTGTTATACTTACTTGTTGTTTGTTGTTGGAGTACTGCTGTTGTACTTACTTATTGTTTGTTGTTGTGGTACTGTTATACTTACTTGTTTGTTGTTGGGATACTGTTGTACTTACTTGTTGTTTGTTGTTGGGGTACTGGTATACTTACTTGTTGTTTGTTGTTGGGGTACTGCTGCTGGGCATATTGGGCAAACTGGACAGCTGTCTGTTGATTCAATGCTGCTCTTATTTGCATTCTGAAGTGAAAAAAAAACATGTTTATTTGTACAGAAAGGGGAAAAAAATGCAGAGTCAACTTTCGAGGTAAAATAATGTTATTTTTTCAGGCTGATGACAGACTTTACAAACTGTCTGCTGATGTTTGGACAATGACCAAAAGCTGGTTGAGGAAATATTCAATGACTGCTTTATTTGAAAAAATCGACAATAGAAAGGATTATAACTTGGACCGATGAAGTTCATTGACCTATGGAAAAAGAGATTAGATCAGGAAATACAACTGGTGATGAACTGCCAACCATCACCAAAAAATCCCATTTTTGCCTATAAACCCCCATATTATAGAGGAGTCATGTTTGGAAACCTGACAGGGATTTTACTCTTGCTCCTTTATAACCTTGAGATCACTGATCCCCTCCCCTTGACTTACTCTTGCTTCTCTATAACCTTGAGATCACTGATCCCCTCCCCTTGACTTACTCTAGCTCCTCTATAACCTTGAGATCACTGATCCCCTCCCCTTGACTTACTCTTGCTTCTCTATAACCTTGAGTTCACTGATCCCCTCCCCTTGACTTACTCTTGCTCCTTTATAACCTTGAGATCACTGATCCCCTCCCCTTGACTTACTCTAGCTTCTCTATAACCTTGAGATCACTGATCCCCTCCCCTTGACTTACTCTTGCTCCTCTATAACCTTGAGATCACTGATCCCCTCCCCTTGACTTACTCTAGCTCCTCTATAACCTTGAGATCACTGATCCCCTCCCCTTGACTTACTCTTGCTTCTCTATAACCTTGAGTTCACTGATCCCCTCCCCTTGACTTACTCTTGCTTCTCTATAACCTTGAGATCACTGATCCCCTCCCCTTGACTTACTCTAGCTCCTCTATAACCTTGAGATCACTGATCCCCTCCCCTTGTCTTACTCTTGCTTCTCTATAACCTTGAGATCACTGATCCCCTCCCCTTGACTTACTCTAGCTCCTCTATAACCTTGAGATCACTGATCCCCTCCCCTTGACTTACTCTTGCTTCTCTATAACCTTGAGATCACTGATCCCCTCCCCTTGACTTACTCTTGCTTCTCTATAACCTTGAGATCACTGATCCCCTCCCCCTGACATACTCTTGCTTCTCTATAACATTGAGATCACTATTCCCCTCCCCTTGACTTACTCTAGCTCCTCTATAACCTTGAGATCACTGATCCCCTCCCCTTGACTTACTCTTGCTCCTTTATAACCTTGAGTTCACTGATCCCCTCCCCTTGACTTACTCTTGCTTCTCTATAACCTTGAGATCACTGATCCCCTCCCCTTGACTTACTCTTGCTCCTTTATAACCTTGAGTTCACTGATCCCCTCCCCTTGACTTACTCTTGCTTCTCTATAACCTTGAGATCACTGATCCCCTCCCCCTGACATACTCTTGTTCTCTATAACATTGAGATCACTATTCCCCTCCCCTTGACTTACTCTTTCCTCTATAACCTTGAGATCACTGATCCCCTCCCCTTGACTTACTCTTGCTCCTTTATAACCTTGAGTTCACTGATCCCCTCCCCTTGACTTACTCTTGCTTCTCTATAACCTTGAGATCACTGATCCCCTCCCCTTGACTTACTCTTGCTCCTTTATAACCTTGAGTTCACTGATCCCCTCCCCTTGACTTACTCTTGCGTCTCTATAACCTTGATATCACTGATCCCCTCCCCTTGACTTACTCTTGCTACTTTATAACCTTGAGATCACTGATCCCCTCCCCTTGACTTACTCTTGCTCCTTTATAACCTTGAGTTCACTGATCCCCTCCCCTTGACTTACTCTTGCTTCTCTATAACCTTGAGATCACTGATCCCCTCCCCTTGACTTACTCTTGCTCCTTTATAACCTTGAGTTCACTGATCCCCTCCCCTTGACTTACTCTTGCTTCTCTATAACCTTGAGTTCACTGATCCCCTCCCCTTGACTTACTCTTGCTCCTTTATAACCTTGAGATCACTGATCCCCTCCCCTTGACTTACTCTAGCTTCTCTATAACCTTGAGATCACTGATCCCCTCCCCTTGACTTACTCTAGCTCCTCTATAACCTTGAGATCACTGATCCCCTCCCCTTGACTTACTCTTGCTCCTTTATAACCTTGAGTTCACTGATCCCCTCCCCTTGACTTACTCTTGCTTCTCTATAACCTTGAGATCACTGATCCCCTCCCCTTGACTTACTCTTGCTCCTTTATAACCTTGAGATCACTGATCCCCTCCCCTTGACTTACTCTTGCTCCTTTATAACCTTGAGTTCACTGATCCCCTCCCCTTGACTTACTCTTGCTTCTCTATAACCTTGAGATCACTATTCCCCTCCCCCTGACTTACTCTAGCTCCTCTATAACCTTGAGATCACTGATCCCCTCCCCCTGACATACTCTTGCTTCTCTATAACATTGAGATCACTGATCCCCTCCCCTTGACTTACTCTTGCTCCTGTATAACCTTGAGATCACTGATATCCTCCCCTTGACTTACTCTTGCTTCTCTATAACCTTGAGTTCACTGATCCCCTCCCCTTGACTTACTCTTGCTCCTGTATAACCTTGAGATTACTGATCCCCTCCCCTTGACTTACTCTTGCTTCTCTCTATAACCTTGAGTTCACTGATCCCCTCCCCTTGACTTACTCTTGCTTCTCTCTATAACCTTGAGTTCACTGATCCCCTCCCCTTGACTTACTCTAGCTCCTCTACAACACTGAGATCACTGATCCCCTTGACTTACTCTTGCTCCAGCTGCTTTTGTTTCTGTAGCTCCAGTTGTTTCTGAGCTTCCTCCTCCCTTCGTCGTCTCTCTTTCTCCTCGGCCTCCCGACGTAAGCGATCCTCCTCTTCCTGTCTACAGGGGAAAACACAAGCAAGGTCTCAATAAACTTCTTATTTGTATATATTTGACTAATTAATTTGGTTAAAATGTTTTCATCTCCATTAAAAATTACAAATTAAAGTGTGCAGGGTTTGACACTAAGGTTCCTCTGACAAACCCAGACTAGAAAAAAAGTGGACCAGTCATGTAAAATGAAGGTAAACTAGACCACTTGGTGAATGGATGAAATAAATATTTAACCCTCATTTCAGTTGCTATTTTTAAAAGACAAGTCGCAATCAAACAAGCTTCATTTTGTATCAAAAGGTATAAATAGCTACCAATTAATGAATTTCTAAAATTATATTTGCGATTGTACAATTGTGATATTTACAATGGATTTTTTCCCCTAAACTTTTCAATAAAGTACTGAAGATACAAGTTGTTGAATTCAGTGATTTACTTTTTTCTTTGCTGTTCCTGTTTTTCAGCGCTGTGAGCCTCTGTGAAAGGTCTGAAGAGTGGACACAGAGAGTCTAACTGCTTCACAAACTCAGCCATAGCTGTAGTCTGGGACATGTCCCCAAGGGCCTGCCAGGCTTGCCTGTTAAAAAAGCAGACATTCTTAAAAATCATTTTAATCACATACAGTAGTAACATGATATTACATTTAGTTCAATCTCTATGGATTATTCAATGACAAATGTAGCAATAAAAATTTTATGACTATCATGATCAGTGTATCTGTAGTAGCAGGAAAAAGAGGATCGTTTTGAGTGAAATAAACATTGTCCTTTATAATTTCTTTAAAGGTCTTTTTCTAATGAAAAACAATGTGACCTAAATATTAAAAAGATGACATGAGTAGGAAGTTTGTTAACTAGATTTCTAACTATTGTAAACAAAATGGAGGGTGTATTGACAACATAACAAATGTACAACAATCCTTGTACAACATCACGTTCTGTAAACAAGGAGTTCACCTGAGGAACGGTGTGAACTCTAGATCATATATCAATAGACCATGCTAGACATCACAACCATAAGGTCTTAGCTACTCAATCAATGGGGTTAATCTATGTTAAAATGATGTTACATCCATCAGAGAATGTCAACATGCCAGCAGGCTTCCGAAGTATCTGTACTTTCACAAGTCAACACACAAAATGTTCTTCTTTATTAATAGTAGAGAAATGATATAGGATTTAATGTGTTCCTTTGAAATAAACAGCAGAGTAAAACAAGCAGTATTTGAACTAGAGCCGAGCTCGTTGCAAAGCAACGAGTAGGTCTTCCGTTGGAGCTGTGGACAGGAAGTACCGACCTTGGGTCAAGGTCACTGCACTTTCTTATGTAAACAACCTTTTCTTCTCATCATGAGCCTCCACTGAATCTTAATTACAAAGTTATGCTTAAACATTTTTTCTCTCTCAGTGACCTTGATTTGCCAGAAAGACCTTTGATCAGGGTGACATGACACAACCTCCAATCATAAGTAATCTATGTTTCAAGTAAGAGCCTCCAATGATTTTCACTTACTAGTTCATAGCCTGGAGAAGAACAGATTTCTTCTGTTAGTGACCTTGTTTTTAACAGAATAACCTTGGCTCTTTGTCAAGACAAACCCTCAATCTGAAACAACTTTTAGAAATTCATAACTCTGACAGGTGTTTTACAACTTTTCTGTCATTGGCCCTGAATTTGTTAAAATGACCTTATTTTAAGTCATCTGAAAACCGGCGGACTATAAGCAATTTGTATCAAGTATGAACTTAAACAAATATAGTCAGAATGAAAAAATACTATTTTCTGAGTCAAAATCGTAAAAAAAAAACCTTTTTATCACAAGCAATCTCTGTATCAAGCATGAGCTTACAGATATTCTCGATTACATATAAATGAATGCAACAAAACATTGATTCTTTCTCCAGTGATCTTGAATTTCCCGTAATATTGCCTTGAATAAATACAATGACACATCCTAGGATCATTTGAAATCTTTGTATCGAGTACAAGCTTCTGGTTTCTTATGTTATAGCCTGGCCTTCTGGGAAAAACTTTCAGGGACAGACAGACATATGGACAGTTAAACAGACCGTTTCATTCCCGTCCCATCCACACTACCCCCCAAAATACACAATCACTTTGCAAGGGAAAACTCTAGTCATGATTTGAAAAAAAAGTAATCTTTTTTACATCAGGAAGCTTTCATAAATATGGTTTCTCATACTTGCCCTGAAGTTCGTAAGAATAATATTTCAAAACGACCCATTCTTTTTTTTTAACTGACCGTTTTCTTCATTGTTTTCATTTTATATCCCCCAAGGTTGCCCGCATAGCGCAGTGATTAGAGAGACTGCTCTATAGTCGCCAGGTAAGGATCAGCTCCTTACGTCGTGGTTTCGAATCCCACTGTGGGATGTGGGGACCTGTTCTTCCGATGAGACCGTATAGAACAAGGTCCTGTGTCGCTTTAGGTGCTGGCACAAAAAAGATCCCTCCCTGCTCAAAGGCCCTAAGTGCCGATTATAAGACAATTAATGTTTAACTATGGTGCCGGTTATGATTTTAACAGTTTAAATTAGGAAATAAAAGTGTGTAATTACATGATAAATTTCTGATATTCAGTACATGTAGCTGCAGATTGTTATATAAGTTCTTAAATTTTCGATTCCGTACATACGAGGCGGGTTTATTACTACTTACATGTTCATTGTATAACCTGCTACTGATATTTTTAAAATCACGGAACAAAATTAAAATGTTAGCACACTATACTAATCATTTACAGATTTTGAATAAATTATACACAAATTAAATTTATTGCTTTAAAATCTTGAATAATTTTTTCAACTTGACTATTCAACCTGTAATAAAAATGGGCATTGTGCAAGCACAGAAGTCACTTATGAAGTTTACAGGTGCGGAGATACTTATCGATGTTTAGTCCATTTCATTGAGTATTTTTTTTAATTAGATCCTTATGATTCGGAAGATTTTCTATAAAAGTTTAAAACTGAAATAGCCATGGTAAAAATCTGTGAAGAAAATAAAATGTGTTTGGGAAAATTTGTGTTGAAAACAGATTTATTTGTGTGTTAAAAGCACAAATTAAGCTTGTGCATTTAAATCAATATTGATTGAAGTTAAGTAACCGCAGATCACCAGTCCTTAAGCTATGAATCGTCAAAATGAAAAGTAAAATTACACATTGAACTAACGAACTATAAAAATTGGAAGATTGATTTATGTACATATAAAATAAATACCCCAGCGTTTTGTTCTAAAGTCTAACCTAAGATATTTTAAAATATTTTTGAAAGATTCGATTTACTTACAGAAAATAATGTTTTCCGTAAGTTTGTAAAATTAGATTTAACATTCGACCACGCTGTGTAAATTAATGTCAACAAGCGATGGAAGGAATGATTGGTCGCGTAATTGTAAACAAACACAAAGCTTAGATAGCTGTTTTAGATAAACATGTATCGCAATCAAATTTAAAACAAAGATAAGCCAACATATTAATCTCAAATATCCGACAATAATAATTTTCCATTAATTGTCAAATAGTTTTAATACACCAATTATTTTGTCTATGACTACGGGGTCAATGGTTCGCCGCGGTGTGTCGCTTTAGATTTTCTTGGACACGTGTAATCGTAAGATTACGCAATGGTACACACGCTAAAAATCTGGGTTCCAGGTGAATGTGAGAATCGCGCGGTAAATAATTTTGTATTATTGGACTCTTTGAAAGTTCTTTTTATGAGACCCGGGCGTGTATGGTTTTCGTTCATATTGTTTGTGTTCATATTTTAACGAAGAAAAGATACTCGTGCTTTTTTCTAAAACTCTTTCTCTTGGAAAGATCTTGATTAATAAAAGGAAAATGATGCCATTGAATACTCTGAACGGGAACCAAAGAACACGTTTAGAACCTAATTAAATAAAAGAGATATGATACAGCATTGTAAAATATTTATTACTTACGGCAAGTTTACTTCAATTCTGCGCATAAAGACTACAGAGTTTTCCTTCAATAGCAAGATGAGAACTGTCTAGCTTTCTTTCCTATAATACGTTAGACTCAAACAAAATAATATTTTCATAGGACAGAGATAGTATTAAGATACAATTTTATATAGTAAAGAAATGAATTTAACCATTCTGTGTTTTTATTTGTGTATAACTGTGGGTCGCTGGATTACCCACCGATTGATTCCCGGTGACCGACTTTGCCCCGCGCTATCGAGGGAGGCGTGTTATATAATTGTAAACAAACAAGGTGAATGTAATCGGAAAAACGCTACCTGTTTACTTTGCCTGCTTACCACTATTCCCGGCATAATCGAACAAAACAGCATTTTCATCAGATCAAAAAGGTGTAAACGAACAATTTTGTTCGTAAGATCTAGATCGAAATATTTACCGTTTTTGAGTTATAAAGCAAAAACTTTCAAGTTCCATAGAGCCCTAATTATAGGGGCCAGCCCCTTTTGAATATTATTAAATGAAAGCCCTTGCAATTATGCACAACTATTGTTCATTATGTCTTAACAAAATATTTTTAGTTTTCAAGATAAAAAGGAAAATATGTGTAAATTTTCGTTCTTTTCGGCGTTCTAATTTTTGACCCCTATATAGCGCCATTGTTAATACAGAAATCGAAAAACAAAAACCGATGTGCACAACTTCAATCCTTCTGTTACCTAAAATCAGTAAAAATTCTGCTTCAGCCTTTGTGGTCTCTGAGCCTTTATCCGGAAACGAAAGCCTATAAATTTTCGTTTAAAGGAAAATAACTCAAAACCGGAAGTGAATTTTTGAAATTTTAGTCAGCATTCTGGTAGAGTTTATAAACGTCTATAACCCCTGAAAATTTGAGCCAAATCCGTTGAGAAATGAGTGAGATATGAAGCCTCAAAGTTGCGGTCTAGGAAGTAGAAGAAAAAAAAAGAATAATAATCTTTACCATCAGAATCAGTAGAAGGTCTTCCGTTGGAAACGGAAGACCTTAAAAAAAAATCCAGGCAATGCTGTGCTTTAATAATATTCAAGATATATTCTCAATGCACTATACTAATGAGGTACATGAAATTTTGTGTTTGGTGCACCACAGAATGAGAAGAGAGGAAGCAGAGCCAGCTTAATGTAATTAAACCAATTAGATGTCTAATACTGCACCCATATGGAAATAAATTAAAGGAATTCTTATTTAATGTGTTCTCATTTATTTTAAATAATTTTTGTGCTTTTCATCATCATCTGGAGAGACACTGTAATACCCTGGTAATTAACAGTAAAACTTGCACTACACTACATTTATAAAAAACTTGATAAGCAGCGACAGACCAGTTACAATATAGAGTTTGGGAAATGGTAACCATGGATACAATGTCTGTAAATGATGCTGTACTTACCATTCACTGGGATTGGTACTTAAACTAATGGACATAAAAAAAGTTGTCACCAATCCATCTTACAATATATATTGTAAACATTCACAGATGTGTGTACAGATGTCTGTTTTTACAGACATGTACATAGGGATAAGGAGTACATTTGTTATGTTGACATTCAAATTTCAGACTGATAAACATATGATACTAATTACAGAGATTAATCAAGATTTTTGGAAGGAAACAAAGAACTCAAAACACCATTGGGGACTTGGTTTTTCATTCTATAGCCTATATACTTAAAACAAGATGAACTTATAATCACTTTATTCTTATAACGAAATGTTTGTAGAGATATTTGACTACATTGTTTCCTTAAAAATATAACAAGGACTAAACCACACAAGTATAATGATGTCTGGATGAAGATTTTTGTTTTATGGTTGTTCTTGAACTAGTTGTAATGACCTATACTGTCTATACATAATAGATTACTATCCAAAAATGTCTTTGTAAAAAATTTGACTTCCCTTTTTGGTACTTAATGGCTCAATTAACTTATCCTTATTTTCATTTGAGAAATCATTACAAAAAATTACAGTTACATGGAGAAGAAATGATGCTGATATGAGCAATCCCATTTGAATAAATTGGAAAATGAAAGACAAAATGAACTTAAAATTTCAAAGTACAAGTAGTTTTAAAACTGGCAATGGATTAAAAATGTAAAAATTAAATCATCTCCACATGGAAAGAGAAAATCTCTCTTTATTGAATCTTGATTCCTTGTGTCAAAGCCTAAGTTTGGTTAACATTATACATTTATTGACTGAGTTTGAGGGCAACATGTTTTGTAGGACCCAAGAACCAAACTGTCTGCCTGAGGCCGTTAAGCCGAAGGTGGACACTTTGGTTCAAGGGTCAACAAAAAACACATTTTGCCCAAGAACATAGTCAATAAATGTTTTGTTATACCTTTCATTTTATTTTTTTGACACATGTTTTTGTACTGTCTTTCTTGATGTAACCTCAGATCTGTCAGTGTTGAACACCAACGAATAAAAATGAGATTACGCTCCGCCCATTCTGTGACGTAAACGGTCCAACATCTCATCGACCAGTCCAACATCTCACTATCTTGTATAGGAACAAATTTTCAAAGGTATAACAATAGTTGTTTATCCATTTCAATTATCCGTCTCTTGTTTTTTCCCTTTATTTCTCCTTACCTTCTATCATTCCCCACGACATCCAGGAAGCCGACTTCCGGAGAGACATCATTTCGGTACTTCCCGTAGGTAGCCTGCTTTGTGTAAGCCACTAATCGAAGTTTATCCTTGTATGTCAGCTTCAGAGCTTTCCCATCTTTCTCTACAAATTTCAAAATATTCTTATTTAATTAACTCATTATCTCTGAATAAAAAATAAATTGAAAGGTTCATAAGATTATTGCATTTATTTTATTATCATTTTATTTTTAATGGGGAGGCTGGGAAGTTCATTTGAAAACCTAGTTGTTGAAATGCATTGCAGCTGCTTCATTCAATCATTGGTTGAAATAAAAAAAAATAACTGTTGGCATGTATTGTAGCTATTTCATTCAACAATACTGGGGTAGTTGGTTGAAATTCAAATCTAACTGTTGAAATGAAACTTCACCAAATCTTGTTTTTCAGAACCTGCCCAAGGCACCTTCGGCAGGTTTACTTACCAATTACAGTAGCCCGAACAAATATTCACATACCCTGAATTTTATCATGTATTTCATCATTTTTTATCGATCTATTGCCACACTGTTATTGTTCTGGTGTAGGCTTTGTTTTACTCCAATGCAAAAGCATTTCTTGGTAATTGGAACAGAATAAACTGTTGAAAAATTTCATTTTTTCCTTCACTTTAGGTGAACAAATTTTAAGCATATTTACTAATATTGGTGTTGGTAGTAGGTGCAGCTCTTAAAGCAATGCCTGGACGAAGAGAAAATCTGGACTTTGCATATTGTTCCAAATTAATATTTTTCCACAGTTACTCTGGACCCAAAATGCATCGCTTGTTAAAGATATGTTCTGGTGAGAGTAATGCAGCTTACATATGAGTTCATCTGACGTCAGAGTCTAGATGCACAAAATGTCACGTGCTGTTTGACAAGCCCAGTCTAACTTAAAACTATATGAAAGAAAAAGTGAGCAAGCTCACATACCCCAGACTCCCGCAAAACTCCAAGTGCTGAAATTGCCAGGAAAAATAAAAGAATGGGAATTTCCATGTAATATAGGAATGGGAATTTCCTGGTAATATGCATATCTTCAGGCCTAAAATAAAAATAAGTTTGTTTGCAGTTGCCGACAGACCCACTGAAAATACACCCGACCCAAACTTTTTTCTTAGCCATTTTGTAATTTAATTTTTTTTTTCAATTTTTCAGAATATTGAAACTGTATCTTTTTCAAATTTTGACTTCTGTTTTATCAGTCAGTGGTTTAATGCAAGAGTTGAGCTTATTCATGTGTAGTAAGTCTATGAAAACCTCTTTTATTTCTTATCTAACAAAAATCCATTTTTTTTCCAAAAAAAAAAAAAAAGAATGCCTACCTACCGACCCAGTCTAAAAATTATAGGTCGGCAACTGCAAACAAAGAATTTTTTAAGCTTGGCCTCACACATTGTACTAAATATCTGCAAAGTTTGACAACATTCTGTGTTGCAGTTTAAGAGGAATTGCACTGAAAAACTGTTCATCTCTATATTCGAGGCATGGCCAAAAATCTAAGTTGAAAAGTGTAGAAATTCCCAGAAAAAAATTAAGGAATCAGAATTTCCTGGTAATATGCACATCTACACATTGTGTCCTAAATATCTGCAAAGTTTGAGGAAATTCTGTGCAGTGGTTTATGAGGAGTTGCGCTGACAAAAAAAAAAAAAAAAAACAGGACTGATGGACTGACTGACTGATGGAAGGGTAAAAAACATTATACCTCCTGCAACTTGTTGTGTGGGGTATATTAAATATCTGCGCTCGCACAAATGATCCCACCGTCAACATATTACTGTCATTTAATTTTTATGTACTTCATGTTAGTGATGGGGAATCGGGAAAAAATCATAATCGATTATCGGTAATAATCGACTGGGCATAATCGATTAATAATCGATTATAATCGAAATTTTGAACTTTAATGAAATTAATATAGAAAAGTTAAAACTTATTCAGATTTCTGTCAGACTTTTACAAAAAAATCATTTACTTACATAAAATATTAAAAAATGTTAATGAAATTTCTTTTTTAAAAAGTGGAAAATAGTATTGTGTTTACTTTAAACAATATAAGACTATTGAAACAGAATGGGAATTTATTTTTTTTTTATAAAGTCCATGCAATGGGTATTTTACTGATATCAGCCCCACCTTTCATTTAAATACATGTACGTATTTATTTCTTAAAATTAGTTTTAATTAGTTAAAATTGCAAGTTGTAAAAGTAATTATCCAGAAGTTAGACTTGTATTTATGGTTATAATTACGTTTAAAGATTGACTAGACTAATTATGTTTTCCTTTACTTGCAATATTACCGTTTCCTGGTATTAGTCTAACCCCATATTTAATCATGGCGGTAAAAGTATCAACAAGACACGGGATCCTTCCATGTTTTCAACATTCATCACTACTTTTATGCTCTTTGCACTTGGATTTGGTAATAAAATTAAAGTATGACAATTTTATTATTTGTTAGCGATGTCGGCGACATTTATTTTATAATCGATTAGTAGCATCGAAGAGCTTCTAACGACCGACAATCGATTGTCGCCGACAATCGTTCCATCACTACTTCATGTAAATGAAACATCCTATGAATGAATTCTTCATTCAAATCAAAAGTGAAAGTACGTCATATTAAACAATATGAAGGATAATCCTCTATATTTACATGCCCTTTTGGCTTGTAAGTGTGCAGTTTTCACAAGCGTACTTCCAACTTTACCAGGTCCCAGGCATCGGACTCGTGGGATTTGTCAAAGACTGTGCATTATTTTCAGAGGAATTCAAAAGTGTATATCACCACTGTACCAAGATGTGACTTTTTATACATGCAGAGAAATTAACACATTTAAGAAAAAAAGGTGATGAAAAGGCTAAATCAAGCTATCTTAGTATAGCTAAATCAAGAGATTGTGGTATACTGGACCTGCATGTATTAGTTTGAGAGAGTTTAAGCCCTACATTTGTAAATGCATGTTTCTGATTTCCATGAATAAAATCACACCTTAATGATTAACTATTGTCTACAGCCTGAATCACAGATTTCTTGCCATTTATTTTACCCGAGAGGGGTTAACCGGGTTAGAGTCAAAAGCGAATCTGATATTGTCAATGTATAGATATAGTACCTTTAAAAAATCGAACAGCAAGTTTGTAGAGCTCGGGGAGACTAAATCCCCAGCCTTTTGCAAATTCATCTCCGCCCTCTTTGCCCTTATCATTGTCATTAACACTTAAATTGGTGACACCATTCACAAGCGACTGTTCGGCGTCTGCCATCTTGGATTTAGCCACGTCGGGACATTAGTAGATAAGTCGTGCTTATTCTAGATTAAAACTAAATGGAAACATTGCAAGCATAATTTTCAGTGTCTATTTTTCCGTTTTCGTCAATCAAATTAAATAGTAAAATTTCGATTGTATGCATTTTCAAACAACAAAAATAATATCATGAATTAGTTGATTTGAAAAATTTATGTAATCGAATCGAAATTTCTTTTCTTGACTTAACTTTTGAAAAATTCGCGCGAAACATCAAAAACTGCTGCAGCAGTGAAAAGGGCGGCATTGGAATATCGAAGAAGGTATCTTATTAATATGCAAGTTACATGTTACAAACTGGGTTATTTTTAAAGGTGTTTTGTGTGCGTGATTAGGAAATGGATTTTAAAGGCACGTAAATGCATTTTAATCCGAAAATTAAGGAAATTATATGCAACAGAACTGCTATAGTATGCACAGACAGCACTAGCAGTTAGAGTTGAATTCTGAATAATTGCTATATTTGTAAGTAACAGCAATTAAGAGCTACTTTCCAATGATATTTTTATGAAGTGTGTGGACCTAGGGTCAGGGGTTCCTGTGGGGTGGGGGCAGTGATTTGGGAAGCCCAAAAAGGTAAATGGGACCATGGCGCAACTGTCAACATTTTCAATGGACCATTTTGAAAATGAATGGGCCATCATTATAATCTAAGGGGCCATTTTAAGAAATAAAAATGACTAACAAATATGAAATATAAAAAAAAACATGTTTTTAATTAACCGAATCTAATTTTTAACTTATATACTCGATTCTCATTATATCGCGGGTTTTTTTCATTGTATCGCGGTATATTCCGAAAAAATCAGATACATTGCTCATATGCTTTTTGTTGAAAAAAAATATCAGTCTGTCATCTGAATGTAAATTTTTGTGATGATTAAAAATTATGGAAAATGCGTTGGAAAAAAAATATTCAAATAAAACATAATTTTACAGAAATCGGTCTCCGTTTTTATTATTTTAGCCCACTGAGTTTATAATCTAGTAACATTAAACGCATAAAATCCATATAAAGTTCATGTTTTGAAAGTCTTTAGTTTGTATAATTGTTTATTTTCTTATGTAAAATTACATGGTAAAATAGAAAATAAGAATTGAAGTCCATGTCAACCTCAAGTTTCCATGTTTTCCCATACCGCGATACTATGAGACTCTCCAATTTAGGAGGTAAATGAGACTTCCTGTTTTAAAAATAGAGTACAACTTAGATGATGCAAGCTTGGGAAATAACTTGATACTAAAAAGTTAGGCCATAGTTTGCTTTATTAATATCATTTGATGACAGTTAAATTTAAAAAATCAAATTACACTTTTTTATGCAAAAGATTTAAGTACCGCGATATAATGAGACACCTGTATACATTGCAAAAACTTAATGGAACCTGCATTGCATATAATTTACCTGTATTTTGTATTACATTATGTCAAACTTTGGACTGAGCACCACCCTTCCCTAAAAATAAATGTAGTAATGTACCAAATCTAGGTGTTTCCTTAAACCGGAAGCAGTTTTAAAACTGACTGCATTTAAAACAAAAGTAAAACAAGTAAGAAAATCATACGCAAAATGTTTTCAAATAAGATCGCTAAAAAGTGAATGCGCACCATGGCGCCAATATGGCTCGTGGCGCATGTCCTTTCCAATCACGGGGGGCACTACTGATTATTGTTGAATATTATACTGATTAATTTGAAATGCATAAATTTTTGTTACCCTACTCTGCCTCTGGGTACCAGTATTTAGTAACCAAACTAAATATGCTAAGTGTATAGTTATGATGAGCAATGGTGCCACTTTCAAAATTGAAAATGCCATGACCTCTGGTTTATAACATAAACCAAATTAAATTGTTGGAAAGAAGTTGCATGATGCTCAGTTGACCTATAAGGCTCTTGATCATGGGCCTCTTGCTCATCTTTTAAAAAGAATTTTATCTATCTTTCAGATGGCAAGAACTAAGCAGACAAGCAGGCAGAATTCAAACAGAAATTCATTTCCACGGGCAACATTTCAACCAGTAAGTTTAATGTCATTAAGTATGACACTTGTGTAGAACATACTTGTGAACTCTATATAGGCCTTTATATGGATTTTTTCTTTTATCAGGCCCGTCAGAGAAAGCGTCCTAGAAAACCGAGAGCTGAGCGCTTATGGATGACCGAAAGAGAAGCGAGAGCCCCCTGGCTTTATCTGCCATACCGCTATGATCCGTGGAACAAATCCGACTCGGATTCGGATTCAGATGATGAGATGGGTCACGATTATTTGGATGATGAAATTCTGTTCGGCAGTCTCCGTGGTAACATTGTTGGGATTCGGTATTATACAGGAATCGTAAGTTTATCATTTACAAATTATTTTATAACAGTCTTAGAAATAGATAACCTTTCTATGGAATATTGCATAACTTTAATAATACTAGTTAAAAACCAGAGTTGTCCCTGTGAGCCAGATCCAGTGGGTTTCCCCCTGTTATATTGTAATCAGGGTGGAACTTGAGACCTTGTCCTCTGGTTTTAATGTCCCCTCTTATTTTAGTGCTGGAATATTGTTTGACACACTGTATTAGGCCAAGCTTAAAAAATTCTGTGTTTGCAGTTGCCGACCTGTAATTTTTAGACTGGGTGTAGGTAGGCATTATAATTCTTTTTTTTTTTGAAAAAAAAATCAGATTTTTGTTAGATAACAAATAAAAGAGGTTTTCATACACCTACTAGACATGAATAAGCTCACCTCTTGTTATAAACCACTGGTTGATAAAAAATGTGTCAAAATTTGAAAACGAAACTGTTTCAATATTCTGAAAAATTGAAAAAAAAAAAAAAAATTACCAAATGGCTAAAAAAAAAGTTTGGGTCGGGTGCATTTTCAGTGGGTCGGTAGGCAACTGCAAACTTAATTTTATTTTAGGCCTTAGACTGATGATTTTACTTCTAGGTGAACAATAATGAAATGGTGGCTTTGGAGAGAGAACCACAAAATAGGTTTGATAGAAATGCCATAAAAGTGGTCAATGTTGTCCGTCAACAAGTAGGACACATTAAACGAGAGCTGGCTGCAGCTTTAGCACCAATTATGGACAGTGGTTGGGCCAGATTAGAGGGGTAACTTATTCTGTTATGATCAAGAAATATAAAGAAAAAATGTACAATCTTAACCAGCCAAGAAGATACTTAAAGTTAAACATCTGATGCTTGTACAAAAAATTGTAAAGTGAAATATCAAAATTTTAAAGTTAAAAGAAGGTAAATTGATTTCATTGTTATGAAAAATGACAGGATCGTTCCGTTTGGGAGTCAGAACCAGTTCAGCATGCCTGTAGACATCACTCTCTGGGGAAAACCAGAACACAAGCAGCAAACCATCGCCAGGCTAGAGAGAAGTGGTATCAAGATGAAGGTAGCCAGCGATCCTGTGGGTGGGGTCGGTGGTTCTATGGGTGGGGCCTCAGCACCAGGGCCCAGTTCTGGTATGATGTATGGAGTGGTGTCAAACAGGAGAACATTCCTCACGCCAGCAGAGGTAATAGTGGCAGTGTCCAGTCTTTAGCTTACTTTTGGTTTCTTGAGAACTTTATTTTATGTCAAGAGGGAAGAAACCATTTTATACAGAAAATGCTGTCTTTTATTTATTTATCTTCATTAAAATGACATTTTATTGCATTAAACTTTTTATACTTTTGTTTGAAATGAAAAAAAAGATTAAAAAAACATTTTCAGAGTGTTTTATTCCACAAATTCATTAGAATCTTTGAAATCTTGTGATCAGAAAGTTTTATCTTATTCCTGAATCTTATTCCTTTTTCCTTGTACATTACATCCAACATGCATCTTTTTTTTTTATATGTGTTACACTAAATCATGATCACTAAAATTTTCACTTCATATTGTACAGGTAAGGGTCGAATTGACTTTGTATTGCCTACATACCCACCAAGAAATTAGAAAGCTCAAATGCATTTAAATAAGATGTCAGTAGTTTATTTTGTTTACCAAGAATTTTTATTTGTCTGGTCATGTTAACCACAGATATTATTATTTAGAAAGTATTTAGTCTGTGACTTAATAACTGACTGATGTTAATGTCCAACACTACAAGTGGCAAAAGACTTACCACACTGACTTTGCCAAGCTAATAAATGATAAAAAATGATTTTGTTTTTAAAGGTGAAGAATGAACTTGACAAATTGTTTGAGAGTTTGAATGAGGGTGATAAAACAACCCCATCTGAGCCAACAGAGGTACAGTGTAATAGTGAATATTGGTAAATTGGTTTCATAAATGCACACTAGAAGAAATTTGAAGATGGCTGCTTAATGGCATTGAATATATTTTGTTTATTGATTGATTAAAAAGAAATTTTAACTTAAGGACTTGGATATCGGCAATCAAATCTTTCTGACAATACTTCAGAATCATCATTTTTGTGGAATTTGTGGCTCACCTTTCCATAAATTTACATCTCCTTAAATTGTAACTTTTGAACAAATCATTAAACCTATGGAGAACATAGCATTCTGAGTCTCATTCCCTATGCTGTAAAATATATTAAAAAAAAAAATGTAAAATTGTTCTTTATAAGCATAGTGACCCTGTTTTTGAAACAAGTTACAACAACTTACAACATGCTCCAATGAACCTATAAAATGTGAACTCTACAGATTAATGTGAATCACAGGATCGATGGATAGTACATTTCTTTTGAAGGCGATATCCAGCGCTATGTATAAACACCAGAAGCAGGCTCTACACTGGATGATTCAGAGAGAGAACGGGAATCAACTGCCGCCTTTCTGGGAGAACAGGAATGGACAGTACTTCAACTCGGTGACGATCTTCACAACCAAAACCAAGCCGAAGAGTGTTTGTGGAGGTAGGTATACAAAACTAAACCAAAGAGTGTGTTGGGAGGTTGGAATAGGTCTCATTTAGAAGTTAATTTTAAACATGAAATCCCACAACAACAACGACAAACAATGTAGACTTTTGTAATCTTACACATGTATTTGTTAAATCTAGGAATACTGGCTGATGACATGGGTCTTGGAAAGACACTGCAAACTATTGCTTTGATCTTGACAAACTTCAAAGATGGAAAACCTCTTGCTGTTCCAGTGGCTGGGAAAGTTCGTCAGTCCAAGATATTACGATTGCAGCGCAAAGCTCAGGTGAGACATACCATATATACTCACCTACAAGTCAGATTTGGGGGAGTTTAACTTTGGTCATAAACTCTATGTCTGACTTATAGGCGAGTTATTAAAAGACTGGTATTTTAAAAGGTCAATCCCTCTAATATTAGCTTCAAAAGTACAACCGACTTACAGGCAGACTGACTTATAGCGGAGTATATATTTGTTAAGAAATGGGTATAAGATATTCAAATGAGTACTGTATTATACATGTAGTACATGGAGGCAACATATCAATAAGAACCTTTTAATATTTGTCATTGTTGTATGCTATATGTATATCTTTGTACATGTACATGTACAATATGAAGGACATAAAATACCCATATACACGGCCTCATGCGTCCTCCGAGGCACGGAGAGGATAAGTAAGTAAGTATACAGGGTTCGACACTAACGGTGGACCGGTGGCCCGAGTCCACCAAAAAATTGAAAGGTCCACCAAACGTTCTGTAGTAGGTGGACTGTCGGTCCACAACTTAAAATTTAAACACCGTATTTAAAAAACAGTGAAATTTCAGGGGTTTTTTTATTTTTGTCTAAATCGAAATCCGTAATTCAAATTATTAATTCCTCCATATCTGTATTTTACAAGAAATAAATATACTTGTAGATAATGTTTTAGGTAATCAGGGGACCTAGCAACTCGATATATTTTACATTATATTAAATTGATAACTCCAATATAAACAAAAGAACATTCAACACGGACCTTGAACAAGAAGCATGAAAAAACCGTGCAAATTAGCCAGTCTCTCCTCTGTTTACGTAATGCACAGAAAGGTGTGAAAATTACACTGGGTAACAGGAAATCACTTCACGCCTGAACGCACACTGTTAGCATGGTTAGAGATAATTAGAATTGATTGACAGCTGAATTTATGCATTTTTTTTTAATGAACTATTAGGCCTATTTGCAGTTTCATTTTTTTCTTGATATACATTTTATTACTACTTATTTGAATGAACAATAAATTTAGAAAATAATTAATACACATACATGTACCTATGTCAGTTTTGCATCGTAGTAAAAAAAAAATGATAATCATAAAGCCATATATACATCAAAAATTCATTTGTTATATATTTGAACAAATTAATTATTAATTGGAATTTTGAATTTAATCTTCCTTTGGAACCAAAATAAATGCAAATTTTCACCATTGTAACTTAATGATAATTAATAATTTTTTTTTTTTGGTTTGTAGATTGATAACATTTTTAGCTCACCTGAGCCGAAGGCTCAAGTGAGCTTTTCTGATCAAAATTTGTCCGTTGTCTGTCGTTGTTGTCGTCGTCGTTGTAGTCATTGTCGTTGTAAACTTTTCACATTTTCATCTTCTTCTCAAGAACCACTGGGCCAATTTCAACCAAACTTTGCACAAAGTATCCTTAAGTGAAGGGGATTCAAGTTTGTTCAAATGAAGGGCCACGCCCTTTTTCAAGGGGAGATAATCATGAATTTGTTAAAAATTAATGGCATTTTTAAAAAATCTTCTTCTCCAGAACCGCTGGGCCAGGAAAGATGAAACTCATGTGGAAGCATCCTCAGGTAGTGTAGATTCAAGTTTGTTCAAATCATGACCCCTGGGGCAAGGGTGGGGCCAAACTGGCCGACCCAAGTTTTACATAGGAATATATAGGAAAAATCTTTAAAAATCTTCTTCTCCAGAACCACTGGGCTAGGAAAGATGAAACTCATGTGAAATCATCCTCAGGTAGTGTAGATTCAAGTTTATTCAAATCATGACCCCCGGGGCAAGGGTGGGGCCAAAATGGCCGACCCAAGTTTTACATAGGAATATATAGGAAAAATCTTTAAAAATCTTCTTCTCCAGAACCACTGGGCCAGGAAAGATGAAACTCATGTGGAATCATCCTCAGGTAATGTAGATTCAAGTTTGTTCAAATCATGACCCCCGGGGCAAGGATGGAGCCAAAATGGCCGACCCAAGTTTTACCTAGGAATATATAGGAAAAATCTTTAAAAATCTTCTTCTCCAGAACCACTGGGCCAGGAAAGATGAAAATTGTGTGGAATCATCCTTAGGTAGTGTAGATTCAAGTTTGTTCAAATCATGACCCCCAGGGCAAGGATGGGGCCAAAATGGCCAACCTAAGTTTTACCTAGGAATATATAGGAAATATCTTTAAAAATCCTTCTCAATTACCACTAGGCCAGGAAAGATGAAACTGATAGGGAAGCCATCCTCAGGTAGTGTAGACTCAAGTTTTTTCAAATCATGACCCCCGGCCCTGGGGATAGGGTGGGGCCAAAATGGCCTACCCAAGTTTTACATAGGGATATATAGAGAAACCTTTTAAAATCTTCTTTTCAAGTACTTCAAAGCTATGATTAGTGATACCCGGGGTATTTATATGGAATCATCCTCAGGTAGTGTAGATTCTAGTTTGTTCAAATGATGAACGCCTGAAAGGGGGGGGGAGTAAATTCAAGCCCGATGTGCTCAGGTGAGCGCTGTGGCCCCTGGGCCTCTTGTTTTTTAAGTTTTACAATATTCTTGAAAAAAATCTGACTAGTCCCATATCGATTTGATTCTGTTGACTGGTTAGATTTATGCTTTATTAGGCTGACTGGAATCGTATATATATTAAAGGTAGTTTTAATTAATGTCTTATGTAATGATTCATTCATTAATTAAAGCATTTTTTAAAGGTCCACCATATATTGAGAAGGTCCACCAATAATTTTTGACGAGTGGACCTGCGGTCCACCAAGGTAAAAAAGTTAGTGTCGAACCCTGATATGGACCATTATTTCTAACAAACAGCATTGAAACAACTTTCCCTTTCATTGATTTCAGAGAATAGAGGATTATAAAAGCACTCCAAGTAAAGCTAAGAAGTCCTTTGTCATCAAAGGGGAGCCCAGCGAGATGTTAGATGAGAAGAAACCATCATTCAGTAGAAAACGTAAAACTCTAGGTGACCTGTCGCGGTACAACAACAACGCTGTGGACGACATCACGGACGAGGACAGCACTGACCTTGCGGAGGAGGAGTCTGAGGAGGAAGGTAAAGCCATGTTCATACATTAGAAGGTAGGCAGGGAATTTTCAGCACATGAGAAGGTAGACAGGCATGTTCAGCAATGATTAAAAGCATGCTAAGTAAATGTATGATTGAGGCAATGTTATCATGTGATCCTTGATTAAAAATTGTTGCATAACATCTACAACAAGGTTTACTGCAATAAATAATACATCTGACTGAGTCAGTCCCTCCTGTATCAGCACATACATGAGTTGGCAGTTCACTCACGTATATCACAGCAGAGACAATTTTGTCTATGATTTTAATACTGGGTAAATGTATATGAATTTTACTTTTAGTATTTCAATTTTGTAGATAGAAATGATGAGCAAGTCATGTTAAAAAAAGAGGATCCAGAATTCAAGTTAGCAAAAGAGGCAAAGAAACTGGAAAAAATTGCATCTCCCATTGCAAGTAGGAGACCTAGAAGGTACAATTGTTTCACATGACCTTGAGAACGAAAGAAAACAATGATTTTAATATTTTCACTTGTCTGTTAGTAATCATAATGTTCTGACCCTGTATGAAAATGAAGTCAAACCTCTATGTGATATTGTCTATGATCCAAGCATATATGAAACGGTTAGCTGCTGATCTGTAGCTAGCTGGTCATTGGGATGGTTGGCCAGAGAGCTGCAGTGCCATCCACTGAAAAAAGGGTATATTTATTGTCCACAAATATTGTCATATTTGATAGCAAAACACCTCCAATAATAGCTGAATTCTGATTGGTTCCAGTCCTAGACTAGGAACAGTTAAAATAATAGCTTTCTTGCCCAGCTTTTAAATAGTGACATGTCAGGGGTTTGTGTGGAGTTCCGAAAACACAAAACCATGACATTGTGAGGATTAAGGAGTGGAATCAATTATATAATTTCTAGACTAGACATGATAATGTACTAATTTTGTTGATCTGTAGAACTGTGAAGAAGCCCACAAGATATACCTACAGTAGTGAGGATGAGGATAAAGAAGTCGTAGAGAGTCCAATGAAAAGAGGTACTTATACTCGGAATTAAAGAGTTATCAATGATGTCAAATGTTATAATCTCAAAGAAAATAGAACCTAGATAAAACTGAAATATTGAGGTAAAGATACACATATTGGAATGAAATTAGGTATAGATTTATCATTAGAATATATAAGTCAAGTTTTCTTTGGAACTATTGAGCAATTTTTGACAAAGTCATACTCTTTGACTTAGAAAAATTCCAATTATTTACAGTTTCTGTTCATTTTCTTTGCATGTAATGTTCAGAGGGAGGGGGCATACATGTTTAATAAACATCTCTTGTTTCATGTTTACAGAAAATACATTTGCCATGCAACTGTTTCTCATTCTAGGTACATGCATACCTGAATTCTAAATATGATTTTCACTTTCAATGATTATAGCTAAAGTAGTCCAGATAGACAAAGAAAATTGTCTGCAGATTGAAACAGCAAGAAAAGGTCAAAGACGTGGTAAAGGGAAGGGGAAACAACTCCTAAAATCTGGTGGACAGAAATGTGAGGGACAGATGGATAAACTGATTGAGGACACGATAAGGATTGACAAAATCTCTACAGGGGATATAGGAAAAGATCAACAGGATCTTAAGGGGGAGGACACTACCAAGATTGGCAGTGTCTTGGTAGAGGGTGGAGGCAGGGGGCAGCAGGTACCACTGAGGAAAGAGGGGGCACCTGTACCACAGATGGAGGAGGGGACACCTGTAGCACGGAGGGAAGAGGGGGCACCTATTTGCGACAATAAGGTACAAGAATCAGAAAGGAATCAGAGCAGCCCCATTGCAGATGGTAAAGATAAGGCATCTTGTGTAGCAGAAACAGGAAATCAAAGTACTGGAGGGACTGTAACTAATGCTGGTATGACTATCTTTTAAGAAATTTTATGCCCCGCCATGAATATGGCCGGGGCATATAGTGTTTGTCATGTCCGTCTTCCGTCCTTCTGCCCTTCCATCCTTCCGTCTGTCCTTCCGTCACACTTTGCGTTTAGCTCTGTTCAAAGCTAAGTTTCAAAGAACTATCCAAGATATTTTCATCAAACTTCATATGCTGATACATATTGATGAGAGTATGCAACTGTATCAACATTTTTGACCTTGATGTTTCCTTTGACCCTGACCTCACCTTTCTTAAATAGGTGTTTAACTCAGTTTTAAACATACCATTCAAGATGATAATAATAATGTTGATACATACTGATGAGAGCTATTCAACTGCATCAACCTTTTCTTTGACCTTGATCTTACTTATCTTTAATTAGTGTTTCGCTTACTTTTAAAGATACCTTCAAAATATTTTTTCAAACTTCTTATGTTGATACATATTGATGAGAAATATGCAACTGCATCAACATTTTTGACCTTGTCCTTTCCTTTGACCTTGACCCCACTTTTCTTAAATCTTTTTCAAACTTCATATGCTGATACATACTGATGTAAGCAATTCAACTGCAACAACAATTTTGACCTTGATCTTTTATTTGACCTTGACCTCACTTTTATCTAATTGTGTTTAAGTTTTAATTAAAGACATCATTTCTAGATATTTTTATCAAACTTCATATGTTGATACATTTTGATGAGAGATATGCAACTGCATCAACATTTGACCTTACCTTTGACCTTGTCCTCACTTTTCCTTAATCAGTGTCAAACTTCATATGCTGATACATACTGATGTAAGCAATTCAGCTGCATCAACAATCTTGACCTTGACTTTTTATTTGACCTTGAACTCACTCTTATCAATTTGTGTTTAAGTCAGTTTTAATTAAAGATATCTTTTCTAGATATTTTTATCAAACTTCATATGTTGATACATATTGTTGAGAGATATGCAACTGCATCAACATTTTTGACCTTGACCTTTGCTTTGACCTTTGACCTCACTTTTCCTAAATCAGTGTCAAACTTCATATACTGATACATACTGATGTAAGCAATTCAACTGCATCAACAATTTTGACCTTGACCTTTTATTTGACCTTGACGTCATTTTTCTCAAATTGTATTTTTATCAAACTTGATATGTTGTTGATACATATTGATGAGAAATATGCAACTGCATCAACATTTTTGACCTGGACCTTTGCTTTGACATTGACCTCACTTTTCCTAAATTAGTGTCAAATGTCATAAGCTGATAGATATTGAGGTAAGCATTTCAAGTGTATCATCATTTTTTTACCGTGACCTTTCATTTGACCTTTACCTCACTTTTATCCATTTGTGTTTAAGTCAGTTTTAAAGAAACCATAATATTTTTTCAACTTCATGTGCTGATACTTACTGATGAGAGCTTTTCAACTGAATCAACAGTTTTTGACCTTGGCAAATCCTTTGACCTTGACCTCACTTTTATGAAATTAGTGTCAAACTTCACATGCTGATATATACTAATGTAAGCAATTCAACTGCATCACTATTCAAGATATTCTGATCAAATTTTATACACATACAAATTTTCATCTTGCTTTACTAATATACTCTTGGCGGGGCATTCATGTCCTATGGACATATTTCTAGTTTGAAACTTGAATAGGGGAAAAGATTTCAAGATTAAAAGTTTTATTATGGAATTATATGCAGTGTTTTGATTTTTCAGATAATGAGCAAATTAATGCAGTCTTGTGCCCAAAGTTGAAAACGGAGGGAAAAGGATGTGGACAAAAGCTGGAGAAAGAGTTTAAGTTTTGTACCATGTGTGGATGGAAGATTAACCCAGACATATTTATAGAGAATGCCAAGATGTGTCTCAACAAAATAGATGAGGGGAAAATTTGTGAGAACATTGTCTACCCTCCTCAGAAGTTTTGTTCCAATTGTGGAACACAGTTGTCATTTACAGGTAATCCTATTGCTCTCTTGGAAGATGGGAAATAATCAAGTGGATATGTTCTTACTTATGCATGCAAGTAGATGAATGTTGCTTTGAAAAGTGGACCCACAGATGTAGGATATAAGCATAAACAAAGATACATGTACTAAATGAAACCAGCAATTAATACAGATGATCATAACCATGGAAAAAGTATTGTGAAATCACATATCAAAGTTCATAGTTGTTATCTAACATGTAAACAGGATTAAAATTATTTCAGAAGTATGTATTAAAATTGTTAGGTTAAATTGCATAGACTTTGGTGAACAAATATTGCATTTTTGTGTCTATATTTTACAGAGAGGACAGTCATTGGAACAAACTTGGGACAGGTTTCTTCACAAGTAGAGTCTAAACCAAAAACAGAAAATGAGAAAAACAAAGGAGAGGAGAGGATACCAACAGCCTCAGCAAATAAAAAGTTTTATCATATTTAAACAATTTGTTCTTTTATAATAAGAAATTTATTTAATTATTCGACAGTACTTTTTTTGTTTTTCAACAAATGAATGCTGCATTGCTGCAATTTCTATGATACTGCAGCTTTCTTTGTATTCAGTATCTGTATAACATTTTATGGCACACTTGATGTGATAATAATCTCATACAAATGTTTTACAGTTTTCCCAGTACATCAGGACTGAACCCAGAGGCCAGGCCATTTGTTCCTGTAAGTTTTACTCAGTTATTTGTTTTGATTAAGATAGTTAAGAGATCTTTAAGTCAAAATTCTTTGATTATTTGATGTTTGACTTTTCATTGTCTATTTTGATTACTGTACAGGGTCAGCCAGTGATGATGACTCCAAAGAAAATGAGAATTACATCTGTATCAGGTAAGTGTAGTGTGTTCATATAATCCTGGTACTGAAAATTCCCTCTCACTTCAAGTATTTGATGGACTATTTTTTAAAGATACTAAAAATTTTAAAGCTGCCCCCAAGTGTTATTGCAAAGCAGTTTAATCAAGATGATTCTTTGGGTAAAAAAAAAAATGTGAATTGAATTTTTTTCCCCCATTTTATTAACACAGCACTTTAGTCTCAGATTGGAAATTTTTTTCTGGAAAGCTTATCAACAATTGTGAAAAAATAATGTGGGGAAAATATAATCACAAATCATACAGTAATACCTATATTTGGCCATAATGAGATGTCAAGGAAAAATTTTGTCAGAATGAAATTTCAAATTTGTTCAAATCTTTTGAAACAATTGTAACAATGGGACAAATTAAAATAAAAAAAGAAGTATTGGACTAGATGTCCTTGTTTTCTTGCCCTTTGATTTGTCTTTACAGATGACCTTCCTGACCCATCCTTACCTACTTTACCTGGACAGTCTACTACAAAACAAAGCAGATTTTGCAAGGTTTAAAATTAAAGTTTTTCCCTGAAACACAGTTAATGTAAAAAAAAGCCGCTTTGAAATAAAAAATTGTTGTAAGGTCCACAGAGATTTTGTTCATAAACCATTAGCCCCTTGCCTGTTACAACTGATCTCTAACCCTTTACTTTGAAATAAAGGGAAAACACTGAGAAGATGATATGAGGTCTGCCAGAGAATATTGTAACAGGACTCCTATAGGGGGAACTTCAAAAGTTTTTCCTCTTTATTCATTTTTATGACCGTATTTTGAATTCATTGAAATAACATGGTTTTATATCAATTGACAATTTGTTCAGTAATGTAGTATGTACATACAGCAAGAGCATATCTGATCATGTGAAGCTTTTGAATATAGACTTGGAATGTACTCACCTTGACCTACTTGTTTGTTACATGTATATTCCAGGTGAGGAACTACCTGATATACATGGACCTGAGGAACTCCCCTCTTGCTCAACACCAGGTATGTATATTGTAAGCAGTCTGGAGAACTCACAGTAAATAATCTTTATAGTGAAATTGATAAACAACTGTTAGTTTAATACTCATAGTTTTAAAGTTGAAACAAATTTGTGAAGATCCCAATATTAGACTGAACTCAACGTGTTTGTAAAAAAATAATTCTTATTTTAATTTTAACAATGAAAAACTATTGCAAGGAAGCCTTATAAGTCTTATATGTCTTGTGTATGTCTTTACCAGGGAGCAGTAAATGTGGGAAGTTCTCAGGAAGAACCCCGACAACAGGAGCCCGGGCCACACTCATTGTCTGTCCATTGTCTGTGTTAAGTAACTGGCTTGTAAGTTAGGTGTCAAGAGAATTTGTGTTAAAAAATTTTGTTGCTTATACATGTACCTTTGATTTTGCATTTTAAATAGAATTTTACGGACAAACTCGGATATAAATTTCAATATTAACATTTTGTTTTCCGCAATACATTTTTCTTTGACAAATCTTTTTGTGTTGATGTAAATCCCTGATGTTACTTGAGTCTAGGATCAGCTGGAGGATCATATTCACGAGAACATCCACCTGGATATCTACACGTACTACGGATCCAGCAGAATCCGCGATCCAGCCGTGTTATCCAAACAAGACATCGTGCTCACCACCTACTCCACTCTCTCATGTGATGCCAAGGTAAGTACTCACCAGATTACAGAACTCTAGGATATATTATGATTGCTTGATTGCACTAGAAAATTGATGGTTGTAAGACAAAGCATAGAAGTAATGCAAAACAATTCAATGTACGAGCTGACCATGACAAGTTTATTTTCAGGGTGATGGAGCTTTGCAGAAGGTGAAATGGCTGAGGATAGTCCTGGATGAAGGGCATGCTATCAGAAATCCCAATGCCCAACAAACCAAGGCTATATATGCCTTACAAGCAGAGAGGAAGTGGGTTCTTACAGGTAAAAAATATAGCAACATATAATTACTCACAAATTCATTGTTATACCTGTTTGTTTCTCAATTATTCAAAGTAAAGAAATACAATGTTATGTTTGACGTTGCAAAGAATTCTACATATACATTATATTTTCCTATACGGAAAAATGCACATTGTTCATATTAAATGTTGAATCCAGCCTGTTCACAAACTATGTGATATGTAACATCTCTTATTTTTTTGGCTACTGTATATACTTGTATTACTTAAAGGAACACCCATTCAGAACTCTATAAAAGACCTTTGGTCCCTGGTAAACTTTCTCCAGATCAGTCCGTTCACTGACAGACAGTGGTGGACCAGAGCCATAGAGAGACCGCTGGAGCAGGGAAATGAAAGTGCTATCAAGTAATGGTCAAACTTTACTCACGTTATTTCATTCTGTAAAAATAATTCTGCTAAGAACAGCAAAGCAACATTAACATGCACTTTCAAAATTTGTTTCACTTGGAATTCTATCAGTTGCTCTTCCTTGAAAAATTAAAGGTTTTCACAGGTTTCTTCATTATAACCATGTTTCTTTGTGTATTATACAATTTAAATGCTATATTACTGCTGTAGGCGTGTTCAGCATCTAATGGGTGCCATCGCCCTGTATAATACAATTTAATTGATGTATTACTGCTGTAGGCGTGTTCAGCATTTAATGGGAGCCATCGCCCTGTATAATACAATTTATATGCTGTATTGCTGTAGGCGTGAAACAGCATTTAATGGGAGCCATGTGTTAATACAATTTATATGCTGTATTGCTGTAGGCGTGTTCAGCATTTAATGGGAGCCATCGCCCTGTATAATACAATTTATATGCTGTATTGGTGCTGTAGGCGTATTCAGCATTTAATGGGAGCCATCGCCCTGTATAATACAATTTAAATGCTGTATTGGTGCTGTAGACGTATTCAGCATTTAATGGGAGCCATCGCCCTGTATAATACAATTTAAATGCTGTATTGGTGCTGTAGGCGTATTCAGCATTTAATGGGAGCCATCGCCCTGTATAATACAATTTATATGCTGTATTGCTGTAGGCGTGTTCAGCATTTAATGGGAGCCATCGCCCTGTATAATACAATTTATATGCTGTATTGGTGCTGTAGGCGTATTCAGCATTTAATGGGAGCCATGCCCTGTATAATACAAAATATATGCTGTATTGGTGCTGTAGGCGTATTCAGCATTTAATGGGAGCCATCGCCCTGTATAATACAATTTATATGCTGTATTGCTGTAGGCGTGTTCAGCATTTAATGGGAGCCATCGCCCTGTATAATACAATTTAAATGCTGTATTGTGCTGTAGGTATTCAGCATTTAATGGGAGCCATGCAGTATAATACAATTTATATGCTGTATTGCTGTAGGCGTGTTCAGCATTTAATGGGCAGCCATCGCCCTGTATAATACAATTTAAATGCTGTATTGGTGCTGTAGGCGTGTTCAGCATTTAATGGGCAAAATCAATTTAAATGTCAGTAGGTAAGTGTACAGCATTTAATGGGAGCCATTGCAGTAGGTAAGTGAACCAAGGCCATGAAGGTGAAGGCAAAATCATTGTCAGAGGAATGTGTTTGTGGAGCACGTCAAGCTGTCAGAGGAAGAAAGATCTGTGTACGAGGCCATGCAGAATGAGGGCAAGATCATTGTCAGTAGGTAAGTGTACGAGGCCATGCAGAATGAGGGCAAGATCATTGTCAGTAGGTAAGTGTACAAGGCCATGCAGAATGAAGGCAAAATCATTGTCAGTAGGTAAGTGTACGAGGCCATGCAGAATGAAGGCAAAATCATTGTCAGTAGGTAAGTGTACAAGGCCATGCAGAATGAAGGCAAAATCATTGTCAGTAGGTAAGTGTACGAGGCCATGCAGAATGAAGGCAAAATCATTGTCAGTAGGTAAGTGTACGAGGCCATGCAGAATGAAGGCAAAATCATTGTCAGTAGGTAAGTGTACAAGGCCATGCAGAATGAAGGCAAAATCATTGTCAGTAGGTAAGTGTACAAGGCCATGCAGAATGAAGGCAAAATCATTGTCAGTAGGTAAGTGTACAAGGCCATGCAGAATGAAGGCAAAATCATTGTCAGTAGGTAAGTGTACAAGGCCATGCATAATGAATGCAAAATCATTGTCAGTAGGTAAGTGTACAAGGCCATGCAGAATGAAGGCAAAATCATTGTCAGTAGGTAAGTGTACAAGGCCATGCAGAATGAAGGCAAAATCATTGTCAGTAGGTAAGTGTACAAGGCCATGCAGAATGAGGGCAAAATCATTGTCAGTAGGTAAGTGTATGAGGCCATGCAGAATGAAGGCAAAATCATTGTCAGTAGGTAAGTCAGTGTATGATGCCATACAGAATGAAACAATGTTTTATCGTAAACATGTGTCAATATTTCAACTGTTTGTACTGAACTAATTTCTGCTTTTCTCTAATCAAAGTACTCAGTAGAAAGTTGTGACCCATGACCCTTTTGTCAATTTAATTACAGATATTTCCAACAAGGCACTCTGCTGCATCACTATGGAGACGTGCTGGCTATTCTGATGAGACTCAGACAGATGTGTTGTCATCCTCTTCTGGTGGCCAAGGCGGCAGCTGCCATGAAGGAAATCATAAGTAAGAAAGAAGCAGGGGAGGAAGTCATGTAAGACAGGAGAAGGAGGGGAGGAAATTATTTGTAAGATAGGAGGAGAAGAAATTATATAAGATAGGAGGAAGGGAGGAAATTATACGTAAGATAGGAAGATGGTAGGGAATTTTATCACATATTTTTACCTTTATCCCGTTGATATAGCTCATGTGATATCGTTTTCGTATCAACACTATGTGTTCCTACGCCGCGTGACGTAACGTAAATAAACAAATACATGTGTATGATGGGGAGAATGACTTAATTTGTCAAATTTCACTTTATTTGATATATTTTAACAAATTATCATTCATGAATTAAATAAATATGAGTTGAAATACTTTCTTTCTTTTAATTTTGTACGAACTGTTTCATTCTACGTAATATTATTTATTACGTTAAAAGACCACCACACAGAGAGAGTAACCAGTAAAGGACGTTCAGTAATAAAAATAAAGACAAAATACACATAAATATGTGATAAAAAGAATCTCACACAGAGAGAGTTGTGGTTTGATATGATTTTTATCCAACTCAATAGACCACCAAACAGTGTGTTTGGAAGTCCCCTCGCCAAGGCTCGGGGATAATAAACCAAACACACAACAGGTTGGATAAAAGGTATGTACTCCTTCAGTAATAAACCACCACAAACCACCACACAGAGAGAGTGGAAGTCCATATATATAAGATGGGAGGAAATTATATGCAATAAACCACCATCAGAGAAGAAACACATGGATGAGAGGAAATCATGAGATAAAGGTTTGAAACCATCAGTAAGATAAGTACCATCATAGGACCACACAGAGAGAGGGGAGAAATCATTGATGGATTCAAGAAGGAACTTCTATTTGTAAGAATTATAAGTTATGTTGGTAACAGTCTGTGAAATTAAAACATCTTTGGACCTCTCAGAACTATTTGATGTGTTTAAGATGAGGCTGAATCCAGTGGTGGGATGAACGACGCCCTGAGACAGAAGTTGGTGGACACTCTGATGATGGTGCTGAACTCGGGATCGGACGAGGAATGTGCTATCTGTCTGGACTCACTCAAGCGTCCTATCATCACACGATGTGCTCACGTCTTCTGTAGGGGATGTATCGAGGCTGTCATCAAAAATGAAATGGTATACATTATACAGTAGTTATGCATCATAAAATCATCAGTTTTAAGAGTTTGAAAAAAAAAAATCAAGAGGTTACAATAAATGCTACAATCTGCTAAATGTGAAGTGAACTAAGTATTTTTATGCTTTATTTACATTACTCAGGAATGTGTGGGATTTTTTTTTTCAGATAAAATTTTCAAAAATTAAAAGATAATTCTTTCATGGCATGGACTACAATATAAAGCAAGCTTTGTTTGTAATAGTTTTTAAGACATACAAGAAATTTTCACGGATAATTAATTTTAACATCGTAGGATAAGGTTTGATTAGCTCATGTCTGAATATATAAGAGAATGACACCTTCTTTCTTTTTATATATTGAAATATGAACTTGGATTCTCACACAGGAATATTTTATGAAACTACTTAATTAATGATTGAAAATAAACCTTAACAGCTGCATGCCAGGTGCCCCCTGTGTCGTGGGGAGGTGTCGACTGAGACCCTGACTGAGGTCCCCGCAGAACAAGTACAACAGAGTGCTGCAGAGGCTGCCACACAGGGGGAGTGGAAGTCCAGCACCAAGGTATGTACTCCCTCAGTAATAAACCACCATCAATAGACCACCACACAGGGGGAGTGGAAGTCCAGCACCAAGGTATGTACTCCCTCAGTAATAAACCACCATCAAAAGACCACCACACAGGGGGAGTGGAAGTCCAGTACCAAGGTATGTACTCCCTCAGTAATAAACCACCATCAATAGACCACCACACAGAGAGAGTGGAAGTCCAGTACCAAGGTATGTACTCCCTAGGTAATAAACTACCATCAGTAACCTTTGTCAGTAATAAACCACCATCAGTAACCTTTGTCATTAATAAACCACAATCAGTCACCACTGTCAGTATTTAACCACAATCAGTAACCTTTGTCAGTAATAAACCACAATTAGTAATCACTATCAGTAATAAACCACCTTCAGGAACCACTGTCAGTAATAAACCAACATTATGAATGATCTTCTGTCAGTAATAAAGATAACTTGATTATCAGGACATTCCTAAATGGTGGAAAAACAAAGAGTGCATGATAATGTTGTTGTTTTGAAGGTTGATGCTCTGATGAATGGTTTGGTAAAGCTGAGAGAGGAGAATCCCCGTATCAAGAATCTGGTCGTGTCTCAGTTCACCAGTCTGTTGACCCTCCTAGAAATTCCCCTTAAGTAAGTCTGTATGTTAAACCAATAATATATGTGTGCTTGTCAGTGAAGAATTCTAGAATGACTTTATTTTTAGTCTTAATAAAACATACACTGAAGGCATGTGTCTAACCATTGTCAGTGTTAAAAGTAGAACTAGCCTTATTTTAGAACTCATTTCTAATGTTATTTGTTGTAAAGTTGTGCTTGCCCTGGATGACACAGTACTACTTTGCAATGTACTAACTCTGGTGTTCTGTTTTTAGTGCGCTTGGCTTCAGCTTTGTACGGTTAGATGGGACGATGTCAATGAAGCAGAGATTGAGGGCGGTGGAGGAGTTTTCTAACCCTGCCCCAGGGTCACCCACCATCATGCTCCTCTCCCTGAAGGCTGGTGGGGTGGGGATCAATCTGGTGGCAGCCTCAAGGGTGTTCTTAATGGACCCGGTATGCTAACAGTCAAAATAATATACTGCTATTTTTTTTAGGTTTAATATAACAAAAAATGATTCTAGGTAATGTAGTTTAATTGATAAGATGTCAACAAATTATGCAGTTTCTGCTTGAAAACTAAAGCTAATATTTTGTTAGCAGCATGACATTACTCTTAATTGATACAATTAAAAACGTGGACTGAATATTATTAATTAAAAATTGTGAAATTTAGCTGTACCCACAAGTATACATGTAGTTAAGTTTAATGTTTTGTATCCTTTGAAGGCCTGGAATCCTGCCTCAGAGGAGCAGTGTTTTGACAGATGTCACAGACTGGGTCAGACTAAAGATGTAGTCATTACAAAGGTACTGTGTTATATCAATCATTCATCAACGTTACCTTCTTATAATCACATTGTTTATCTGTTGTTTTAAATACATGTTTAAAGGGAAAATGAGCATTCATTAACAATTTTCCAATCATTAAAAATGTTTGTTTATTGTTTATTTTCTCCTCTTGAGAATTTTTCACTCATATGGAGATGCCACCACTTGTCAGTGGAGAGCTGATAAGTTTGACCTATACTTGGTATTTGGCCACTGAGCAGTGAGGGTTTTTTGTAATGCCAGCATCTACTGCAACACAGGTTCTCGGTATGTAAATATGGTCTCATCCCAAGGACCAGTCTCTATGCCCCACATTGGGATTCAAACCGACAACAAAAGGATCAACTCCTTACTCAAAGACTCTATAGCTCTAGAGTCATGAAGTAAGGAGTTGATCCTTGCATCGTGGGTTAATCCCATTGTGGGACGTAGAGACTGGTCCTTTGGTTGAGACCGTATAAACTGAGGTCCCCTGTCACAGTAGACATGATAGACATGACACAGCTGGCACGATAAAGATCCCTCCCTGCTTGATGGCCTTGAGTGCCAAGCATACGATAAAATTTGCAGCTTTCCACCAGCAAGTGGTGGCATATCCATATGAGTGAAAAATTCTCAAGAGGGATGTTAAACAAAAAACAATCAATCACAACTCTACAGCAGATGCCCTACCACTGAACCACATGGGCAATTTTGTTAAAGCTAATTTTTTGTGTTTTATAGACTGTGGAGTGATCTCTGTCTAACTCTTGTCTTTACAGTTTGTTGTTGAAGATTCTGTGGAGGAGAGAATGATGGCTCTACAGGACCAGAAGAGGAAACTCATGCAGGGGGCATTCGGTCAGAATAAACAAAGCGCCGAGGAAAAACGCACCAATAGAATTCGAGACATTAAAACACTTATGGATCTGTGAAAAGTATACATCAGATAGGACAGTGAACAGGATGATAAATTTGATATTTTTTTTTGATGTTTGGGATCTGCAGCTCAGTTTTGGGTGCGTTAAAGACTTTAAGAAACATAGGATACTCACCGCTTAAGTTGTGCGTCAAGCAGCAAGGACTATTTCCTGTGTGTGTTGTTTTTGGAATTCTTGAAATCAAACTCAATATTTAAAAGCATTAATAGAAATTCCTCCAGCAATTCAAGTTTTTAGAAAATGGATGAAACTAACATTTCAAGTTCATTGCAAAAATATACTCTAAATAACAATTTTTTTCCCGAAAAATATTTCTGAAAATAGATTTCTTACTAGAAAGGATTTCATTCTCTTACATATATGGCAGCACGATATATTTAAACAAATGACACCTGATAAATGTATGAATGAAGGGGTAAAACAGCACTCTTTATACCCCCCGCAAACGAAGTTTAGGGGGGGTATATTGGAATCACCATGTCCGTCTGTCTGTCTGTCTGTCTGTAGACGAGATTTTGTCCGGACCATTACTCAGAAACTATTGGAAGGATTTGTCTGAAAATTTATACACATATTATTCACTGTATGAAGGTGTGCACCTGGTATTTTCATCTTGATTGGATGATTATTTTGAATTTTATAGGTGTTTTTTCATTTTTATTTTGTGGTCTTGTGCAGACCGTTTCTCACAAACTATCGCAAGGATGTTTCTGAAAATTTGTACACTTATTATTCACCATATGAAGGTGTGCACCTGGAATTTTCAACTTTATTTGTCCATTTTTCTGCATTTTACAGGTTTAATTTTTATTTTAATTGACTTGTTCATTTTGGACTCATGTATAAGGTTTGAGACATAGATTCTAGAATATCAGTTCAAATTGTGAACTACAGCTTAAAACAACTCATTAAAACTAAAAAAAAAAAAAAAGAAACATCATCAAGTGTTTAAAACAGTTTTTGCATTACACAGAAGATAATGTAAATTCATTTGTCTCTTGGGATTAATGACTGGACATGCATCCAGTTAAAGATAAATTAATGAGTTTGTTGTTGGAAGTTGTTAAGGCATATCTCTTATCAAGCGTGTGTGTGTTATCTAATCTCCAGGGAATAAGGCACAAGAATTAAAGATCTCTCTTCTCTTATTCTCTTAATTGTAATTTATTGTCTGTCAAAGCACTTCATTACTGGATGACCAGATCTTTATTTTCAAAATGAACTTGATATATCAAGATTAATTTGATTTTGTATAATAATTTGTTTTTCAACAATCTTTTTGCAGAGTGTTGTAACACATAATTGCAATATACATGTATTTCTTTAATGCGTTTTTCAACAATCTCTTTGCAGAGTGTTGTAACACATAATTGCAATATACAGTCATGTATTTCTTTAATGCAGAAGTTAAAAAAAAATGTTACAATGGAATTACGATGTATTAATATTGATGTTTCATTTGGTTGCACTTTTGTTTCATTCATTAAGAAACATAATGAGCAATTATATTTCACTGCAAATTTTTGTAAGTAAATAGTGAACACCTCTATAGATCCATAAAGTATATGTGAATTGGCACCTTCTCTGAAAAAACCCAGCGGGGGGTATTTGTCCCTATTGGACAGTTCTAGTTTGTGTTTTGTTTAATAGAATGATATGGATTCATGTATTAAATAATTCTTGTGAAAATCAACTACTCTTCATTGAAATTTACAAAAGAAAAATCTATTTGTTAACCCATTATTTCTTGCTAAACTATGTTTTTTTGTTTTTTTTAAACATGTTTTTGTTGCTTTTTGCAGCTAAGATAGGTCTGCACATTTTACTTTTTGCTTTGTATCAACTTTTATTTCATCAGTTGTGATGAAAACATTGGCTCCATATGTGTATGTTCTAGTGCTTTTATTTTTCAATTTTATTTTTTCAGCAAAATTGATTGTTCCATAATAGTGCTTTAGAAAATACTTGAAAATGTCCATTGGTATCCTAAGTTGGTGCTGTATCTGTAAAAGTGATCTAACATGGCTCTGGTGTTGTAATAAGGGCATTCATTTTAATACCTGGTAGTATCAATTCAACAGTTGACTTGTTTTATACTTCATAACAAAAATTATTTGGGACAAGTTTATTTAAAAAAAATCAACTTTTAGCCAATTTGTAATAAGAACTTTGTCTTAAAATCCATGAAGCATTGAACTATGTTTTTTTATAATGTACACCAACCAGTCATTAAATTGTAGAACAGTTGTTTTGTTGATGTTAATTAAATGCATTAAAATATTTTATTTGCATTTTTATTTCATGTAACCTACTGAAATTTTTAATCACTTCTGTATTGAATGAGGTTTTTTTTTTTTAAGTAAAAAAAAGTTAAAAGTATAAATTTTTAAAGTTGCCTTTTGTAAATTCAAGAAAACTACAGTAAAACTCGTTTAGTACAAACACAGATATTACGAATTCAGGGATATAGCGAATTCATCTTGTATCCCCAGCTATATAAATTTAATGAATTTCTTATACGATTATAATGAATTACGGTTATAGCGAAGTAATTTCATAGGTCCCAGCGACTTCGTTATAACCGAGTTTTACTGTATTTATATACCAGTAATACATGTAGGTATGGATATGATAGCCTATTTAATCATTGCTGTAAAGGTCCTATTAAAAGCTAGGAACTAAGAATAAAAGTTTTAAAATCACATTAGAAGTATGGAACAGCAGTGCAATTAAGCTACATCCTTATATTTCTATCCCTCTGTAGGGCCATTGAAAACCGGTCGGTTTTCTATTTTTTAAAGATTTATGTAATTGTAAATTAATTCAGAAATTTACAATTTATCGTGTATAGTAAGATTTCTGAACAGGTGAAGTTCAGTCAGGTGTAACAAATGCGAAGAGTATATCCAGGTACCCCTGTACTGATATCATAAATCTACAGTATAATCCAAATATGTCTATGTAAGAGACACATTCTGATTAGAGGAAATGAAAATGAAACTAGTGGTTGCTTAAAAACAAAGTTTTGATAAAAACATAGCAGGTTATCATTAAATTTATGCATTGCAATCAAAGCATTTCAACTAATAACTTTGAATAATAAGATGTTTGGAACCATTAAAAATAAACTCTTGTCAGTTTATGCTTCCGGGGGTCTGAGTGTGAGTCATAAAAAGTAGGTCACAGTGACCTACTTTAAGAATGTGCTATGGAATCTTGACAATCCTGGACACAATAAGTGATAGGATCATCAAGCCCCGGTTGATGCATACATGGAGGCTTTTTGAATCATCAAGTTTTGTTAGTTGATACGTCTTCATACACCAAAGGTTTGTCAAATCAGAAGTAGGTCACATATCATGAAACTTGTGTTATTTTATATCAGAAGAGCCATATTTGTCCCTCTTGCTAAAACTTTGTAGTTCCTGAGTTCTTTTAATTCATAAATTGTTTTCTGTTAACTTTCCACATATATGTATATTTGACTTTGTAAACATTGGAACAATTTCAAACAAACTTGCCTTTAAACTAAATTTGCTAAGTAAGCGTCAAGTAAAGTTAAAAGTTACAAAACGCCAGAACATAAATAAAATTGTCTTCTTGACTATGTTCTATGTTTATTTGTTGCGTAGGTGAGCGTCGTTGAACAATGGGTCTCTTGTTATTGTCATAATTTGGGGAGCCCCCACCCCCGGTGTTCCTTACCCCAAGGGGGGTCCCGTCCCCAAGCACCTGTACCTTTATTATGACAATAGCAAGAGACCAATTGTTCAACAACGGGAAAACGGGAAACTTTTGTTAAAAAAAGGAACTTGGAGACCATTGTATTTCCTTCTATATAGTCGTATTTGAAGATAAAATTGCAAGTGCAGTGTTAAAGGGGGAAATGATATAAAACGATAAGAAACGTTGATAATGCCGAGCTGGCGTACCAGAATGCTTCTATGTTACGCATATTTATTATTTTCAACTGTTAAAGTGCCTTTATCGGAACACATGATTGGAACTTGAAAGAAAACTATTAGTCTTTGGAATTTAGGAATGATTCTTTGAGTAGTCCTGTAAGTCAGCTATCCTCTGTTGGATGTTCATATATGTACGTACGTACGTTGAATAATTTTCTTTAATGACGCATTGTGTTTTTACTCCTGGCTTAAGATTACAACTTTTTTTACCATTTGTTATAATTGATACGAACCATGAATGAGTTAGGTATATTAAAAATAATTTGCACGCAAAATACTGATAGTCTCGCATTTAATTAAGTGTAGGGTATATATTGTGTGTTCCTTCCTTATTTGAAAAGACCAAAAAAAATCTATATTTAAAATCTGTGTTTGTATTTTCTTTAGTCAGTATAAGATACTAGTATGCTGAACAACGTATTTAAATGTTGTCGAAAACAAGTAAAATTTTGTATTCTTAGTACACGGATATTGTTGCTAAATGTTGGTTTATTGAAAAAAAAAATCTTTTAAAATTTCTTAAAATTTTCTTTTAAAGAGATGGTAGATAGTTATGCATAGTGTGGGCGGATTTGTATATATTAAATATATTAAAATATTGCATTTTAACTACATTTGTACATGTTTCTAAACAATTTAACGATGTCATTAAGAATAAAAGTTAAGCTAGTTTGGGTGCGCAGGTGGACTGAGTTGGTGAACTCTTTGATTTACTAATGGATAAGAAATTTCATTGGCTATTAATAAAATGAACTATCAAATCAGATCGTTTCTTAAGCGAAACAAATCTGAATTCAAATTACTGCATGCAAACCCGGCGATTTCTGACTGTAGACTACCACCTCACACAAGGTATTTTATTATATATATGTATTTTATTTTTTATTTATTCACCAATCAAGGGCCCTCAGGGGGCATATACAATTAAAAACAAACAATATAATTATGATGTGTAACAGGTAATGGTTGCATCAGGTGCAAAATTGACTTGATCCTCACTTGTGTAAAAGTTCTCAGATTTCACAATGAAATATAAGCACCACATATAATGTAATAATAATACAATATAAGGGCAAAGAAAAAAAAAACTAAGCTACTTTATACTGAAATGATCAGAAGGATAATAGCAAACAAGTACATGTAATCATATTATTAATCGATATTATTACAAAAAGTATATATCTTATTATATGTTTTAAATAACTTTGGTATATAAATTTTTTCTTAGTAAATGAACGACTAAGATTCATTTTTTTTTATAGTAATAAAATTTGGTATATTTAGATGTCATGTAATGGCTTATGCATTACTATGTATAAATTGTATATACTTACATGTACTTATATTTTTTGTAGAATCACCTAAATATATTTATGTGAATAAATATAGAAACCACCACCTACGCATTCTATGTATCACTCGGTCACAATAGCCAGTAAACATTTCGGAAAATTCTAGTTTAAACTTAATTTACTTTAGTTAAAAATTTAGGACAGCTTTTTCTTTCTGTGTTTTTTAATTTTTTTAGAAAAAAATAGGGGAAAAATAAAAGGCCAAACTTCTTGGAAGCTAAAACGAAACTAAAGTTATCAAGGCCAGCTGTCACACAACATGATCTTTGTAAACTTGTATAGGCATACCCGAATACTCAACTAATTTTTAACGATTTCGATTTGATTTGGACGAATTTTCACAATCATAAAGGTACGTAGGAACATGTAGTGAAGTTCGATTATTAACTTATTCCCTTTTATTTTCGTCATTAACAACTCATACCCCTAAATGAATGAAAGATTAAGTTACAGTTATTATGTACTAAAGCTGTATAGTAACTATCGCACCAAGAGATGACGCAATTGTGCAATAAAAATTGGTGTGATTACATGATGGAGCAAAACTGGACATTGATTCAACCTCATCGCATCATTGTGTCATCGCTGTCGAACCACTGCGTTGTTTTATCGTACCATCATCATCGCACATTGCTTCATAGCATTATCGACCTAAAACTCTGGTGTTGCGATGATGCGATAGTGAGAACAAGGTGGCCCTAGTTGCACAATTATACTCTGATATGCTGTTTCTGGAAAGAAAAGAAATAAAATTTAGTCAAAACTAGTGCTCGTTATAATCAGTATCATCATCATTTGCACAGGAAAATATATTTGCTAACGACCATAGGATTTCCGAAATGCTGACTTAAAGCAAGTTGGTTGTTGAAATCCCTGTAACATCAACTTATATGTGAGTAGCAAATCCCAGCTTAAAAATGATCCTACTCGGAACATGCTCTGAAGTTTTGAATTAGTTATTAAACATAACCCCATGCAAGTGAAAGCTGTCTATTACTGTCAATTACAGTATACATGTAATTGCATAAATAAGGAAAGTTTTACGATGGAAGGTTTTACACTGATCCTTTTCGTCTATAGCCAGTAAATCATTCAAATATGACACAGATATGGTAGACACTCTACCAGTGACTTTTTTCCACGGCTTCACTGGGTTATATAGATTTGTCACATGAATGAAACTAACTACATTGATAATGTCAAATCGAAGGCCACATTATTCTAGTTTTTCTATATTTTGTTTTTTTAAGCCACAGATTAATATGACGTCTTTTAAGAAAAGAAATGATCTTGAAAATTTAATTTCAATATTTTAGCATTCATTTGAATTAAATGTAAAAGTTTTCTTATCAGAGCAATGGTTCATGAAAACATACATGAATAAACACTTTAACGCATCCAATTTACTTGTATGCAAATTTACTTACACAGACCGTTGGTGACTATAAAGTTATTAGAATGTTCCACTCTATAAGGCAAGGATGGCTGCACAAGTTTTATTGTTGATAAAAGTATACATGTACTATGCCAACACTTAAGAGGGCTGGGTGGTTGTGGCCATTTTTAGACTATATTGATCTCCTTTAGAAGAAGAGCGTCATATAAAGACATGTACAAAGATGATCAAATTTTAAAACTAAAATGTATGAAATTTTTCTTTACCAAACGATGGTTGACAAATTAAGATATCATATCTAAAAGATGAAGTTATAACTGATGGGTATTTGGCCTCTTTAAACAATAATCTCGATACTACAGTAGTAATGTATAACTTTTTTTCCTACAATAACTAGCAGAAAAGAAAAGACAATGGAAGCAATTAACACATTCTCCCCATCCTTTAACAATTTATGGAATACAGAGGAGAGCTTAAATCAGGAGGAAATCCCGGACTCCGTCCTGTATGGTACAATAAGAGGACTGATTGAATCTACTCATACCTTCCCTGGAAAGGTACTCTTCCTTACTGCATAAGTTTAACGTTCTATCATATTTTTTTTTAAAGTTCTCTTTTCAATTGCAGTTATGAAGATTGCATTTTGCAGATATAATTTGAAAATAGCTAGTGTGACATACAGGTTAGCGTTATGGCTCAAGGGCCTCTTGTTTTTAGGTTGAGGCGAATGAGGCAGTGAATTTCAAGAGAGGTCAAAGAATAAACTCTTTGCTGATCGTCAATCGTTATGGCCAAGAAGTTGGGTATCTTCAATCCGAGTTGGAAGACATTTTAACTAGACGAATGGACCGACGGATAATTCAATTTAAGGGGTGTGTATATTGACTAAAGATGCATTTACATTTTTTTTTAGATACGCCTGCTTTGCGCAATGTTTCGACCATCAATTTAAGGTGCGAAGTAAGGTAATGATCACTATGTCGCGGGTTCGAATCCCAACGCCTGACATGGAGACCAGTCTTTCTGAGGAACTGTACAAACCGAAGTCCCGTGTGACAGTAGGTTCTGTCACGAAAAAACCCACTGCTCAGTGTCACCGAGTGTCATGCATGGGTAAAAATTTGCAGCACTTCATCAGTAAGTGGAAAATCTCCATTTGAAAAATTCACAAGGCGTTAAACAACAAACACAAAAAAATCATTTAAGATTTTCAGCACTTTTATTTCTGAAAGTTTAATAGTAAAAATTTTTATTATTTAACTTTTTAACTTTTTAAAACAATACAAGGACAGAGCAAACCGGACCTCCAAATCATCGGTCTTAGTTAACATAATTTATCTTAATGTACATGAGATAATTTAAATCTGACAATATTCAAAACACGCGGTTTGATTATTTTTTTAAAAGTATCCCCTGCCAACTGGTCACACCCGCAGTGTGCTCTTTGTCATGATCGGGAAATAACAGAAAAATCTGTCGTCAATTCAGTGTATAAATAATGAACTAACAATTAGTATGAAAAACGTTCCAGTGGTTTTTTGAAATATTCAAACTGCTTAAGTTAATCCATCAAATACATTTGCACACTCATTTAACACAATGATAAATTGCAAATGACCATGACACAAGTGCTTTCTTTGACAATTTATTATACAGAAGGCGTCATTGCGCGACTCGACTGCCACGCCTCTCTGAACTTACAAGATGATTACTTTTAAACTTTTAAACTTTTTAAAACAATACAAGACAGACTCCAAAACATCGCTCCCCTGCCAATGTTGCTCTTTGTCATGATCAAATAACAGAAAAATTTGTTTGTCATAAATAATTTTAGTATGAAAAACGTCTTTTGGCACAATGATAAATTGTATGTGCTGACAAAATCATTGCATCGACCAATGAACTTACAAGATGATTACTTTAAACGAGACTGCTAATGTTCCTGTTTCATTGATTTGTTTGTCAATAATTTTCCTTGTTTTAGAAACTGCACATAGAGCATGCTCATATGTATCGAATCAATTGAGAAATATAATCCAACCCCCACCCCTATGTAGGTAATGAAGGTATATTGCTGCATAAGTATGAGAAGTTGACGATTGAAAAATTAACGTCACGTTTATCAATAAGCTTGGTTGTATGTTTACTATTAACGTCTTATTTATTCAAGTAAAATATCCAAATATAAAACAGAAGTGTCAGACTCTGTGGTATCTTTTATCTCAAGCTCATTGATATATATTTTATCCAGATAAGAATGGAAATAGCCATTGTTAATTGATAATACGTCGTCGATATATCTAAATGTCGAGTTGAAGGCCACATCAAGTGTTGTCTTCTTTTCACATTTAAGATTTTGGACAAGTTCTGCTTCAAATGAATACATAATGGTCTTCTAATAATGGGGCGCAATTAGTACCCATGGGAAATCCAATAGATTTTGTTGGAAGATTTGGTGTCCAAACACCACATAGAAATTGTTAATCAGAAACTCAAGCATCTTTTTGATGTCGACTTCAGAGTTCTTATGTGTACAATTAGAATGTTTTTTTAACAATCAAAATAATTCTGCAAATGACCAATGACAAGGTAAGTAAATCTACGAGTTCCATTTTTATTGAAAAAGTAGCTGTTAATGATATTCTCAAACCGGATGTAAAACAACATACTATCATTCAGTCAATAACCCTTTCACCTATTGCATCTAACTACACCAGTTATTTATAAGTAAGTTGAATATTTAGATTATATTCTAAAGAAGAAGACATATATGCTTGGTACTGTTACCTCGTAAAACACAAAAGTATTTTCATCTATAGTAATCGTTGCAGAAATTGAAAGTTCCAATTTTATGATTACAAATAGTGACATCAGGAATTGTCAACACATTTAGTTTAATATTTTTGAATTTAACATAGCGTTACACCATTTGCAAGTGACGGATCTTCTAGATATCTGGCCATTGATGTTACCATTTGGGGAGTGCAGAATGAAAAAAATCAAACTTTATTAGAACTGTCTGGATTGAAAACGCCGTTGAATATAAATGTTAATCCAACAGAATCAGAAGAGGATATAAAAAAATATATTTCATACAAGTCAGATCAACGGTACATCACTTTCAACGGAAACCGATTCGAAAATCTGAAAGAGGTATTTGTTATCACAATTTCTTGTTCTCTGAGAAGTATTTTCTTTATTCCTTATGCTTTTACTAAGTAGAGTTGTAAAACGCCAGTCAGCATTCGACTTATATAAATTATAGATTATTATTATTATAGAACACAATATTTTGAGTTAAAAAGGGTTTCCAGCTTTAAAAAATGTACAAAGGGGTAGGATTATATTTTTTCCCCAGAACTCTTTTTTATGGCAGTTTTCTGGCAATTCCATTTTTTAATGAGGAATTTAGTTGATCATATGACGGGACTCTAATTTTTATTCTTTGATTTCAGTACCAAATATATTTTCTAAGATGGGACTCTTCTCTTTTAAAAAAAATATTGTAGGAGGGGTTAGAATTAGACAGATTATTTGAAGATTTAATAGAAGGGAATAAAGAGGGCATTGCAGAGCCCCCAAAGGTTCGAATTTTTTTTTTCAATTTAACATTTTTTATTCTGAACTACATTACGTTAACATGAATGCTTTTCGTTTATGTTCATTTCTAAATTATTTTTTCTTTATGTAAATTTTTGCTGCTTTGACCCCTTATATATCGTCAGATATTAGTATCGTCAGAAAGGACACCATGAATTTTTGGTTTTTAAAAAACTTGCTAGATCTATGATAATTATGTTGAAATTGTAAATACATTTTCTTTATATGAATAGACAATATCAACACCCCTCCATATACATCAGAAACAAGCTCTTTTTTGGATGAAGGAAAGAGAAAGTGGGGAGCTGCTGCCGCCATTTTGGGAATACAGAGATGGCGCTTACTTCAATCACGTGACGTTACGCCAAGAAGTCTCCAGACCACCGAGTGTTCGGGGCGGTAAATTACAGTTTACACAAAATAAAAAAAATTCAGACTGGAACTAAACAAAAGCATTATCTATAAAATATTTTTTTTTCTATACTAGTATTAAATTATAAATCAGATATAAAAGAAATATTGGAGGTTCGTGTTTGCTTTGCTCCAATTTTGTTTTGTTTAATGGACTTTTGAGCTTGAATACTATTCGTTTTCTCCATATACATGTACTAGTATGCCATTAGCTCTATATAGGCTCTAACATACTGCTAATCTTCCTCTTATTACCAGTTTTGCTAAACCATAAGGATTAATGCAGGACATTAATCTCTTTCGATCCATCATGCATGTTGATATCAATTTTCTCCAAGTCATTGATAGCCATTATTTGATTCACAAATAATGGGCGAATTATATACATTTTACATGTGAATGGAGGTAAAATAAGGTAAAATCTGATATGATGACGACTGTTTATATCCCTCCTCTTCGATCTCTACAGGGATTTTGGCTGATGACATGGGTTTGGGGAAAACTCTGACGATGATTGCTCTTATTATGGCGGACAGAGAAGAAAGCCAAGAGGAAGTGGGGAATGATGAAGAAAAGATGGATACGGAAGACGGAGAATCCAGCAACAATAGCCAGGTTATTAACGACTTAACCAGTTAACATTAACATTAATTTCTGCCAAAACAAGAAATATAGAAAGTAAACAGTTGCTTTATTGGCATTTTGGAAAAGGAGATAAAATTATGATACATATATAAATATATAGAAACAAAAACACTTTTCAGCATCAGTTTTTTGTGGAAAATGTTTATAAAAATCTTTGTAATTTGTAGGAAGATTCAGATGTCATTTTGATTGAGGAAGGAAGCCATCCGCCTGGTAAATTAAACCATTATTTTAAAAAATATATATTTTTGTACGGTTTATTTAAAGTTTGATAATTTTGAAAACATTTTTACAGTATATATATGTGAATGTATTTGCAGTGATTCTCATAGATTCGGATGAATCAGACGATGAACTTTCAGAGAGTGAGTATTACACAGTCATATACTGAATATAATTTTTATTACATGTGCATTTTTGTAGAGATTGACAAGAAATATTTTTCATATCATTTTGTACGTTTCTAGTGATCTTGATAGATTTTGATGATTCTGACGATGACTCTACAGAGGGTAAGTATTAAACAGACCTGCGTGCTATTCCGCCATTTTAAGATTTTCAGTGCCTAGAAGTTCCACTGATTTGTTTATATTAAGGCAAGACAAAAAATTGAAGAAAAAAATACTTTTTTAATTTTCACTTCTTGTTTTTAGTGATTATTTTAGACTCTGACGAAGACGACGGATCAGAGAAAGACGTCGATGATGAGATAATAGAAGTAGATGATCAAAACTGTAAGCAAACATCATAAATACCAGGAATAAAAGTCATTAAATAAGTGAAAACTTTAAAATGTCTTGTGATCTACATTTGTATACCCTTGTGTAACAGATTTTCATCAGACAGATGATCCAGAGAATGAAGATTATACTGGACATGATACACGTCACTATCCAACCTTAATTATCGCACCACTGTCCATCTTAAGTGTGTGGCAGGTATGATATATTTGCAGTTGGTTTTTGTTCGTGAAGGAAGAAGCTAGGTTTCCTCGCAAATGTGCAGCTGGTATTTCATTCTACTAGATACATGTTATAGTTAAGGAAGTATAGGATTTGAATCTTTGAACAGGCTCAACTACGAGAACATGTACATAACCAATATCATCCAAAGATATTTTTATTTCACCATGATAACGGAAATCGTTATAACAGCGCTCTGAGTGAACAAGACATCGTATTAACAACATACGGTACTACGCTAAGTGACTTTAATGTACGTGGGTATATACATTTATTTAATTAAAACTGTATTGTCATGTCTGAGCACTTATAATTATTAATTAAGTGTTTCATCAATTTGCAAGCTATTTACTTATGTTAACATTTAATTTGAGGGCGTACAAGCATTGCAAGGAGTTAACTGGTTTAGAATAGTACTGGATGAAGGCCACAAAATAAAAAATCCTAATGCTGGGTGCAGTCAGGCCATCTGTAATCTTCGGTCCGAAAGAAAATGGATCATTTCAGGTACACTGATATTGATATTTGTGATGCATTTTATTCACTGACAATTAAAATGGTAAAATTTGACCTTTGGGTATGACCGACCAACAGGGGATGGTTACTCTTCCTTGGCACCTGATCCAAGCTCTGGAATTTCCGGGGGTCTATTAGATTTTAGAGATCTATCAGTGTTCGTTTGCTTTACCTTTTTCATCATTAAATTTCCAGGGACTCCCATCCAAAACAAGATTGATGATTTGTTTTCTATGATTACTTTCCTGAATATCGACACATTTAACGACTACGAGAATTGGTCACGAATTATAGAAACACCACTGAAGTCTGGTGATGTTAGCGCGAAAAGGTAAAACGTTACTTAAGGATTTGTGGTTCTCTGTTGTCATATGTGATTTTAATTTTCAATGTATAATCTTGTTTCTTCATAAGTTTGGCATCGGTAGTACTTAATAGAATTTGATCCCTGGTATGGATGAAGTATTCTGATGAGTATCCTTTGGCATGTTTATGGTCATCTTATTTTAATCAGTGTGATATTTTCTAAGCCTTGCTTTCAAAGTTGCTGCTGCATGATCTAGAACTTAAAATCAGAAAAAGAAATTACCCAATGGGATCATAGTACAATTACCTTTATAAATGTACATAGAGTCGCCCGCGTAGCGCAGTGGTCAGAGCATCTGCTCTAGAGTCGCGAAGCAAGGAGTCAATCTTTACGTCGCAGGTTCGAATGCTACTGGACGTGGAGACCGGTCTTTCGGATGAGACATTATAAGCAGAGGCCCCTTGTTGCAGTAGGTGCTGGCACGAAAAAGATCCATCACTGCACAAAGGCCCTAACCTCCGAGCATAGGACAAAAGTTTTAGCTCTCTACCGGCAAGTGGTAAGAGTGAAAAAGTCTCGAGAAGGACATGAAACAAAATACAATCAATTATATATATATATATATATATATATATATATATTGAAAACCTATATATATATATATATATATATATAAAGCACAAATTACAACAACTCTTAAACTTTAACTGCCCTAAGTGAAGAAATATTAATATAGAAAGCACAGAGAAATTCACTTTGACAAATAAAATTAATTTCATCACAACATGTATTGGTAACAATCCTCTAAAAACTAATGTCCAAATAACTGTATCTCACTTCCATTCTCAATGACCGTGTAGTATAGGGCAGCGTTGTGGGAATTCCATCGGCATCGAAAGCAAATTTTAAACTTGCCTAGATAGCTAGCGGTCTAACGCGCTGTTCTGCACTGCTAAGTATTTAGGTCGAGAGTTCAATCTGGGCTGGGGCGGAAGTGATTTTCCTTGTCAAAGTGAATTTCTCTGTGCTTTCTATATATATATATATATATATATATATATGTGAAAATAAGGTTTTTCAAATATTGGCATAGGTAGTAACGTTGACCTATACGCTTGACCATAATATTTCCTCCAGCTTTGGTCCTCTGCCGATCCAGGTTGTTTTAATTTTACCTTTAACGGTGACGTACACCTCTACATTATCATATTCTGACGTATGGTTTTAAAAATTGTTTCAGGAATGAAGCTTATTTCAGCTTCGCGGTTTATAAAGCGTAAACTGCCCCAAGTTTTGTTATATCGTATAATATAAGTTGAAATATGCTTCATTCCTTATGATTTAATTTCAGTGCAGACAATGAGACATTTTTCCCTCGAATAAGGCTTCACAGTGATTAAATTTTGAAAGTAACGTCAAGCGGAGTAATACGTTTTTTGACGTAACTCATTGTGACGTAGGCAAGTTATGTTATACAAAATGGATAAAATGTTTTATCCAATGAAATCAAGGCCGTAACTACCATTGAGGCAAGTGAGGCAAATGCCTCACTAAATATTTAGAGTTTTTTGAAAAGTGAAAAAGCTTTACATTGTACTTATGTGTGTCTTCGTGCAAAATTAATATTTTCAACTTTTATTTCCATTTCTGTAAATCGTTCATCTCACCAGGTGCCTCATTTTCATTTAGAGCGCATGTAAAATTTAATTCAAAATGTTTATTTTGTAAATTGTTCAATTATTTAACACCCCTTCTAAGAAAATTTCTCATTTTTATTGAAACACTTACCGATGGAGGGCTGCACGTTTTAAATCTGTACTGGGCTTTCAGGATCACCGAAGATGATTGAACAGTGAGAGGTCTTTTTTGTGCCATCACTTACCATGCTTACTGTGACATAGGATCTCGGTTTTTACGGTCTCATCCGAGGAACCTGTCTCTACATCCCGCAGCGGGATTTGAACCCGTGATGTAGTCTGCGACTTTAGAGCATACGCTCTAACCACTGCGCCATGCGGGCGACAATTCAAAACGTAAAAACTTTTTAAGATTAAATATTTCATTTTCTAATACCCAGGTTTCAGGACCTCCCTCCCCTTGGAAACCTCAATCACTCGTCATGAGGTACTATCCTTGCCCCGTCTGAGACTAGGAATGCCCAGCACCCTTGCCTCACTAAAAATTTGAGCCTAGTTACGGCCTTGGAAATGACGCGTTACAAGTAAAATTAAATTATTAGATGATAAAAGCAGAGGTATCATTTAGTGAGCTCATTCCTCACAGTACCTATAGTTTTTATATATGATTAATATAGGTACAATACTCTTATATCAAGGGGGTATATTTCTGGCTCAGTTCTTCATTTAATGACCAGTTAGTGTAGGACTTATGCTTACTCCTCCATGGCACCTGATCTTACCTGTGATGTTTTGGAGGTCCTTGTTTGCTTTGCTCCTATTTGGTATTGTTTTTTGGGTTTTTGAGCAAGGATGCTGTTCGGTATCTCCATATATTTCATCAAAACAATTGAACTTTTAATCACTGAGTTTCGAGTACTTGCAATACTGTCATAAAGTTCTTAACATTTGTAAAATGTTTGGTAACTTTATTTTTGTATTATTATGATGTGTTTTGATGTTGAGATTTCTATTCCCAGACGATTATACAAGCTGATGAGTTCTATTGCTCTCAGAAGAACTAAAGGAACAAAAATAGATGGAAAAAGACTTGTAGACTTACCAGAGAAAACCGTGCAAATTAAATATATTGAGTTCTCCAAATGGGAAAAGGACATTTACGATAGGAAGTATCAGTATTATAGAGAATGTATTTATAGGTGAGTTCACAAAAGACAACAGTTTACTATTCAATTCCTTTGGCCGAATTTGATAATTACAGCTCTGCCTGCGCACTTTTTAAGCTAATGTTTTTTTTTTGCACAAAGTTAGGTTACATTCTTCTTGCAAGAAAACTTAACATTATCGAAACTTGAGTGCGAGACATTACCCTAATATGCATTAAATACCTCATGGCAAAGTTACATATTTTTAAAACTCAGAATCTCAAGTTTTCCGTTTTCAAAGTAATTATAGTGTATGTTTAATTACTGATGAAGATCTGTTTTGTAAATGATGTTATATACAGTGATATATTTAAAATATATTTCAAAGTATTTTTTAATATAGCAAGAAAAATATCAATTTAATCGCAATATATTAGTAGGTAAAAATCTTGAAATACTTTTATTCAATTTTTGACATCATCGATATTAATTGATAAATCTTATTATGTTACATCTATTCTATCATACACATTCAGAAATTAATTTGATTGCCCTTTCTTTGATACTATTTAGCTGAAATTTTCAATTGATTTCTTATAGATGAGCTATCCTCTTGAATTTGTCGAAATTAGGCGCCGAAAAATGACAATGCTGCCTAAAGACATTATGCCAACAGATTGAATGATAAAGTTTTGTTATCCCCGAAAATAGTAAATTATAACTATTGGATTGAAAATTAATAATTTTACACTAACGGTTTGAAATTTAAATTCAATAGTGTGGCATTTTAAGAAACATGCTACATTTCAGAAAGTAACTCCTAAAAATGCTAGCTTTTTAACATGGAAAGCAGTCGAACAGATTAATTAGAACTACTCTTATCATACTGCGCTATATAGAGTCATGTTTATGTATGTATAGAAAATACAGAAGTTACATGAGCTGCTCTGTAGCTGTGTCCAGAAAAACCATTTGAGAACTATCACAATATATCAGCTAACAACACTTCAAAATCTAAACAATTTGGCAAGTGAAATAAAATAAAATTAAAAGTTAGTTTTTTGTAAATACATTTATATTTTGATGCCTTGTTACACAAATTGGCATTGTAACAATGTGACTTTATAATTTGTGCGAAAAAATACGTAAGCTTAAAAAAACGCGGAGTTGTAATATTTAAAGTCAATATTGATTGGAGTAGTTGAGTAGTTATTCGGTAGTTTATTTATATTATCTGACGTTCTTAACCTCTCGTTAGGTTTATAGAGAGAAGAAAAGCACCAGAGGAGTACCGTAAAGTGTGTTGTGCTCTTCTTCGACTTCGCCAGCTTTGTTGCCATCCGTCTCTCTTTAACTATCATTTTGAAGGTAAATTATTAATAAACTATTCTGAAATGTGCATTTAATTTGAAAATGTAGCAAATATTTTAATTCACATGTTCCCGGTTTGCAAAAAAAAAAATGAAATTCACGTGTAGAAAAAAAATTACAAAACCAGAAAGACACGATGTATATTTATTTGAAAACATCCTCAGTGAAAATACAATTTTGTTGATAACATAAAAGGTAAAGAGTTAGAGAAAAAATATCTTTTGTGACAAGTATTTAAAATTCAAAGTTTTTATTTTTCATTCTCCACTTGAGATGGCTAAGTAGACGATTAATTATTTGAAAATACATGTAATTCATTTACGCTTAAAGCGTTTTTATTGAAGGGGATAATATAAAAATATTTCTTTTTTAAGACAAGGATTTAAAATATTTCTTAAAGAAGAATGCATATATATTTTTAGATAATGTAGAAAAAAGTGAAAATTAAGTGGCAAATTTTAAATTCTCAATTTCCTTAACCAGTTAAACTTATATTTAAGCATCTTCAATTTAATTATGTGTTCAAATATATAACATGTATATAGCAAACAGTATTAAAAGTACAAAATCAATTGAAACAAATGAAATTGTTCTCTAGAGCTGCAAAGCTATGATTGATCTTTTTAAATGGAATGCATTCTTAGGTAGTCATGGAGTCAAATTTGTTCAAACATCCCCTTTATGAATTTTCCAACACTTCATTACATCTTTCCCATTCAGATTTCAGTGAAAATGGTATTACAGCTGACAATATTGTAGTGGATGAACATCAAAACACAAAGCGTCTTATGTCATTTCTTCGGTTTCCTTTAAATGAATGCAGTATTTGTCTCCAAACTCCCGACTCTCCGATAATAACTAATTGCAAACATGTGTTTTGTAAAGTTTGCATTTTACAACATATGTCTCAGGTACGTTTAATATTCTTTTGTCTTGTCTTTACTCATAATACTAATGTTCAATCGATGTTTTATGTTGATTCCATGACTTAGAATAGTTATGAATTGCATGGTAATTATCTTAAGTGATATTTTTTGTAAAAAGAGTGGACCATCATTATGCCCAAACTGTAGGAAACCGATACATAGAAAGTCATTCTATGAAATACCACCCGACGAAATTAACCTGCGGCTGACAAAACCCGAACTAGACACATGGGTTGCAAGTGCAAAGGTATAGAAATTATACAATACACAACTTCATTGTTATACTGTATGGTTAAAAAAATTGTTATTTTATTAAGATAAGACTTGGTTGATTGGCCACTCTATGATATTGCATTTGCCATATATATTAAAAAATGGCGATGTAGACTGTTACTCTGGCAGGTGCCCGTTTAGATTAAGCAATTTCCTGTCGTTCTAGACCATGGCATTGCTATACGATCTGATTAGGCTGCGGGAGAATGATCCTAAAGAAAAGGCCTTGGTTGTGTCAGAGTATACAAAACTCCTGGATCTTCTGGAACCGCCTTTGAGGTATGTGGATGTGTGTATGTGAAGTATACCTAGTATTTTCAAATAAATACATTGTAAGTATTTCAAAGCTATTAACTTGATTATATGACAAGTAAATATTATCTCTGCTGTAGAAATTTGAATTTCAACTTTGTTCGTTTTGATGGAACAATGACACAGAGGGCGAGAACAAAAGTTATCAATGAATTTTCAAGCCGAGAGGAAAACTCACCAACTGTGATGTTGCTGTCTTTGAGAGCCGGCGGAGAGGGCATCAGTCTTGTAGCTGCAGCACGAATCTTTCTTCTTACACCAGTAACAAACCGATACATTTATTATCATTATTAAATAGTGTCTTTTATGTCATCTGCATACGGAGTGTATATACCTCAGTTAATTCGATGCACAAGAGCATGCATTACGTATGAACAATATCTAAAACGAGGTAAATTATTGACAAGCAAGTTGATGAAACAAGAATATCAACAGTCTCGTTTAAAGTCATCATTTCGTAAGTTCTATTGTCGATAAAATGACCAGATCATATTGAGTCAAATGCTGGCTGACGTTTTTCATACTGTTATTACTTTAATCATTTACTGAATCCACGACGTCCATGGCACCTCTGCTCCTATTTTGTATTGTTTTATGGACCCACTTCTGTGTATGTTCTTATGTTGAAAAGACGAAGATAGCGAACTGTGACTAATTTCATATATTCTGTGTTTGCTCTGCTCCTATTTTGTATTGTTTGATGGACTTTTTTTTTTAGAAACATGATATTAATATTGAATACTATAAAATTATAGTTATCTCAAAGGTTTCATGTCTTTCCGATATGTAACTAAAAATAAAAAGAAATCAAATAGTCTCCATATACGTCAACAGAAACCTCATATAATTCTTACAAAATTCAAGAACATTTTCATGAAAAACATTTATTTTGTCACTTTGTGTATTTTTAGAAACATGTTACATGAAGAAATATTGGTAATACAATAAAATTATAAATATAGCAAAAATAAAATACAAAGGTTTCATGAAAAATGACGTAACTAACTACTTGACAATTTTTTTTTACCATCATTTGTTTCTTCGCAGACCGTTCAGGGTCCAATTCCAAGTAACTGGAAATAAAAAGAAATCAAGAGTTTGTTTTAAAGGCCTCCCGAATACAAGGCAAAATTTGATCGTATATATATTTCATTATGGATATTTAAATAGAAACCGTGTTAATGATAAAATAACAACGCAACATTATGTTAAAATCGTGACTTAATTCGTATGAAAATAATACAGCCATGTCAATTGAATATGAAATTTGTGTTTTGAATGACGACATTACGCCTTGATCACAACGCAACATTATGTTAAATTTTGTGGCATATGAAAAGAATACGGATAATTTGTTCGAAAAAACAAATTTTTTAAAAAGGCAAACTAATGACAAACAAATTGCTTTAACATGGAAATCATCAGTCTCATTTAAAGGTCAACACTTTGTAAATTCTATATTCGATATGATAAGTCTACATGTACCACTTAGTCAAATGCTCGTACCAATCGATGCCCCATTTCTTACACACTGCTACATTGTCTACGGATTTTCCATTTTACCCAATTATGGATAGAAAACACCACGGACATGACCGGTCGACGGGGGATGCTTACTGCTCCAGGGCCCCAAATCCCAAAATCTGATGATCTTAGAATTCCAAAATTACTCTGCTCTCGATCTGTATTGTTTCAAGAGACTTTTTGAGCTTGATAAAAGATCGTTATCTCCACATTTCATATTTTAATTGTAACCAGATCAGTAACTTCTGCACTCGGTAAAACAATTTTTAATATAAAACAGATTCGAAAAAAACTCCACGGTCTTTTATTTTGAGTCCACTTAATTATATACTGATTTGACATACAAAAGAAAATAGTTATATTTATATAGTGATAAAATATATTGTCGATTTTCGAAATGTTAAAGTGAAAGCCACAGCAAGGGATTTCTTTTCATGTAGAAGTTTTCGAATAAATTTCGCTTCAGAAGAATATGTAATATATTTGTTAATAAAAGAGCAAAATTAGTGTCTCAGCAGATTTCTTGATTACCTGGTCTCGTAATACTTCATAAAGTCAATTGAGAACGCCAATTCTTTTATATCAACATGAGACTGCTTTTGTTAGCAACAATGTGATTTTTCAACAGCGTAATTCTTAGATGGTCAAACAAAAAATATGAAAACTATCAGTATATTAAAGTAAAACATGTATTTAGTAATACAGCAGTACAAACACAAATTTGCCAAAATTATACAATATTTATTTAGCATTAAAAATGAGTTCACCCTTCCTCAGAAATGAATGTTTAAATCATACAATAAGTGTAACATACGAAGATAACGAACAGTATTCAAGATCATTCCATAAAACAATACTAAATAGGAGCAGGGCAAACACGGACCTCTAAAACATAAGAGATGGGATCAGGTGCCATGTAGGAGTGAACATCCCCTGCTACCGGTCACACCCGCCGTACATAAAGGATATTGTTTTATTATCAGCACTGGAATCCTGCCACAGAAGAGAGTGTTTTGATAGATGTCATAGATTTGGACAGACCAAAGACGTCTTAGTTACTAAAGTAAGTGGTATTCTTATGCTAGATTATTTTGTATATTATATCTGTACTGTTACTGGCAGTGTTGTACGAGAAGACAGATATGAAATATCTTTAAAATAATTCTTTACATATGCTGTTTATTTTTGCAGTATGTGGTCAAAGATTCGATAGAGGAAAGAATTATGGCTCTTCAAGAACAAAAAAGGAAGTTAGCAGACTGTGCGTTTAGTTTCAGGAAAAATTCCAGGAAAATAAACATAAATGAATTGAGAATTCTATTTGATCTCTGAAAGCAACTTTTGTCAGAGAGAAAAAATGTATGATTCGAAAGTAAGGCAGGAATCGCTATTTATATTTATAATGATAGTGTTTCCTATATATATATATATATATATATATATATATATATATATATATATATATATATATATATATATTTATATATATATATACCGTGGTATTTTGGAAATGTGTAAAAATCTAGCAAGTACTTTTAAGAGAGTCATGATTTATCATTAATATCGCTGTTAAGCAACATGATGCTAGCAAATCCATAATAATACCCTTTGAGTGCCCCTTAATTCATGCAAAATGAGTGACCGGAAAATTGAAAAGAAGCAATGAAATGAAATTGTTTTTAATTACAGCGGCAGCAATAACAACTTTGGGGTTTTATGACACCATGTCTTGTTTTTGTTATATTTGACTTGACATTTTAATTTTTTTTTGTTTGCTTTAAAAAAGAATTACAAATATACAGTTCATATAATCATTTCATTTAAGACAGTGTTCTATATGAGCCAGTTTCCCCATTTAACGTTTGTTTTCGTCTAAATATAGAATGATAATCCACACACTTATTCGAATTATGCAAAAAGATAAGTGAGGGGTTGAAAATTAGGCCTTATTTTGAAAATTTTGGTCCCCAATTTCATTTGTATATGTGTGTGTATACAAAAGTCGGTAAGGGTCAGATTGATTGGATAAATGTTGTTTTATTTCTCAGTCGAGAAGTCTCACTGATACAGAGACGTCTACATGTAGTAAGAGTCAGTGCTCTCATGCAAAAGTCAATGCAACCATACCTATACTCCAAAAGTACGGACCTACCTTCTTCAATTCGAGAATAATTTCTGAAAACACTTTATTGTTGTAAAATATCAACGTAATTAGTTGTTTTACAATTTTATATTGTCACTAACTATCCTTAATAATTATTTACACATACATGTAACAGAGGTTGTCCTTTCTTTAACACTGCCTACATATGAAATACATCTTTTTTATTCTTTAATTCACTAAAATAAATACCTAGTTTATTTTTAACTAGTGTGCTCAGTAAAGTCTTCGGCGGGATTAGTAATAACTCTGTTTTCTAGCTAAGATAGTGAGTAGTAGGTGTCACGTGGAGCAGGGGTCGTATAGATACCCATTAAGCTAGTGAAAGTTACTTTTAAATTGTAGCTTTACTAATGTTAAATTTACTCAATACCTACTGAAACTACTTTTGAGGTAGTGATTGTGTGGACAGTAAATTTACTAGTCTTAGTGACTTTCACTAGTTATTGTTTCAGTGTTGTACATTCAAACATGCAAAATCTCTTTCAAATGTAAACTTAAAAGTTAATGAATGCTCCGATTTTTTATTTAAATATTTTTTATTCTTTTTATATACTGTATACAGGGAAATTTTAGCCCCCGTTTTATTTTCGCCCCTTTCGCACTCTTCCTGATTGGGCAAATTTAAAACGGTGCGAATTCAAATTACACAGCATAACTAGTGCTAATTGTAACGGGGACCGTTACAGATGTTCCCCAAACGCTCCCCTACTCCCTTTTGGTGCCATATTCCCTATAAGCTTCATTAAATAAGACAAACTCTATGCATTTGAGACTTTAACAACGTTTACCCAGAAGTGTACCAATTTCATTCAAATTTTAGCATTGCACGCGTGCGCATGTGAATGCACGTGCGTAATGACCATATAATCTTGTCTTCACAATTTATAGATTTTAATATACTAAATATTGAAGTATTTAATCCAAAAGTATTAAAAATACGCTACTTCAAGTGTATTTTTTATTTTACTCATTTCACGTACACGCACGTGCTCACATGAGCATGTCGACCATACTTTCTTGTAGAAGTCCGTTACATCTATCTATGTTCTAATTCCCACCCCGTTTGGTTGAAAACCAAGGGAGTTATAGCTGTTCAAAGTTTCAGCCAATCAGATTGCAGCGCACGTACATGCACGTATATGCCTGTGCATGGTTACCATATCTTCTTGTAGAAGTCCATTATATCTATCCATGTTCCAAATCCCATCCTGTTTGGTTGAAAATCAAGGGAGTTATAGCTATTTAAAGCATAAGCCAATCAGATTGCAGCCCACGTGCATGCACGCGTTTTCATGATAATTGCTATATATCTTATTGTAGGATATTCTAATACATGCCTAATTTAAAAATTTCAGAGGATTTCGTCAAAAAACAAGAAAGATATTGAGACTTTAGTTTCAGCCAATCAGAGCGAAGCGCACGTGCATGCGCGTGAGATCTCGCTATTTTGACCATGTCACCATGTCTGTACTACTAATATATCCTCACATTATCAGTTTTAAAGCATTTCATAAAAAGTAGAAAAATTACATATTGGTCATTTCACGTGTTGCACGTGAGCGCTCTTGCAAGCACGTGCGCGCAAAATGACCTTGACTAGGCAATTCTACATAACATGTCTACTGATCCTAAAAAGGTTTTACCTACATCGGATGAACAGTTTACAAGATCATTCCCGGACAAAAAAGTACCCAGGAAGAAGAAAAATAATAATAATAAGAAACAGAGTAAAAACAATATGTTCCCCAACTTCGTTTGGGGAACATAATTACGTGAACAAAACTATGACTGGGCGAATTTAAAACGGGGCAAAATAGTTCGCAAGTGCAAATCGCGAAAATAACCCTGTATACAGTACATGTATTTCGCTCAGTATGTAATGTGATTCTCATACATTTTTTTTTTCATTGCTCTGTACATAATTCTTCAGTGTTTATATTCATTACATATTAAAAATATTGCCTTATCATAAAATTCCTAGAGGTTGCCTAAATTGTTATGTGTACATATAATTATTTTAAACTCAAACTGAAAATTCATAAATAATGGAAATTAAAGTGTTCTCTGTTTTCTGAGTGAGTCGTTTTGTCCTAGAAATTATGTTTATCTGCGCAATATGATTAAACAAAGATTAGTAAAGAACATGTCATTTCTTGGAAGGAAACATGAGAAAAAACTGATCTTTAAATTGTTGTCCGAAACCGAAAGGAGGCAAATTTATGACGGGTTAGCTGCATTTCACATTCATCGTCATGTGGTTTAGAAGTATTAAGAAGTAATTAAAAGTAAGTACGTCAAATTACAATCATGTGGATGTTTAAAATAATAATGGTTTCCTTTAATACTCGAACCTTGACAAAGGAAGGAAAGTCGTTCGATTTTTAAAAATTCAGGAAGTTAGATATTCAAAGGTAAGTAAATGTTTTAATACTCATATTATATACCTCTATCCGATAATATTGTTTATATATAATTTTTTTTATCTTAACAGTTGTAGACAATATATGAACGATGGATTTTTTCAGGCATTAGGGAGATATTTATGGGTTTTTGATTTATACCAGGAAGAAGTCTATAAATAGATATTAGTAATCTTGTGTGCACTTTTTAAAGTTGTAAAATCTTTATGTTTAAGATACAGAGAATATTTTTTGTAATAAAATTCTAGATAAAGAATAAGGTAACTAAATAAAATACCTTTGTTTCGTCTTTTAAAACAATTGAATTTGAAACATATTAATCTATATTTGGTAAAACCTCATGATTATTTCAAGCATATATTTCCATGACGTGTCTTTAATATGAATGCCTCTAATGCAACTGAATCGTGTAAGCTACCTTTCACGTTGTTTTCTTTCTGATAAATAACGATAAATAGCATAGTAACAATGATTGATATATATTGTAATGTTGTATACATTTTTTTAAATGTCCTTTTCATAAAACTGATTTGAATATTATAAGAATAAAAAAATCAAATAAACAATCAAAAGGCAGCCTGAATAATAATAATACTTAAAACTGGTCCAAAGCAAAAGGAAATGTTGAAATGCCTTACTTTTAATGTACTTTTAATTATTTAAATCAAATCGATTGATTGTAAAAAAGGATTTCCTACCTTAAATATATTTGCTCCATTGTTACAATTTTGTACAAGAAAATACCGAAGAAAAAAAAATTCGGAAATTTTCATTTCTAAAAATAACAACAGCAACAACAACAACAAAAAGGAAATAAATCGGGCTACTATATATTTTTTCTTGTATAATAAAAAGTGTTAAACTGCCTTAAAGCAAAACGAGATTTTTCTGCAAATATTTAAAAGATTTGGAAATTATTTTGTTGATAGACATATTAACCGTTGATGAAGAAATCGCCTAACCACATAAAGACATGGACGAGGTAAGGATTGTTTATTTAATTATTTCTTTTGAAAGTGAATATTACAACGTTTGAGTATGTATGTTTTTAACATGCTCAACAGAGACAGTGCCTTAACTTCATCAAGTGAAAAAAAGATGTCTGCAGTAATCAATTAAATTTTTATTAAAATAGTCATTTAAACTTTGTTAAGGTTAAATATTTGAAATGTTTAAATAACGTATGGGAAGATTTCGGAATCGCAAAAAAAAGATCATTGCTTAATTTGATTTTACTGGATCGTGTTCATCTGTTATCTTGGTGACTGAAAATAACGTTTTGTATTTTTGTGAAGCAGTTAGTATTTCGGGAGCCATGGGGTGACTTCTGGCAGATCAATCAAGGTTATTCTTCAACCGGTCAAGAAGAACCACTGAATTTGGTAATTATAACCAAATTTAAATATTTTAAACACATTTAAATAAATATTTACTTATAAAGAAAATATTTAAAATAATTTGAACATCTTTATTCCTTTCAAAGAAGTACGCAACATATTTTTAAGATTTTTTCCTATTCCCGTTAAAATTAGAGTTTTATTAATAGAAGGAAATATGGAGATGATAAACAGTAATCAAGCTTTAAGTCCACTGAAACTATATAAAACGGAAGCTGAGCAAAACCGAGCTCTAAATTAATACATGTTCATGCACCACTGCTGAATTGAATTATAAGAAATACCGGCCAAAATATTTTCTCAAATGGTAATTTATGATAAAGCAAACAAATTATGTTTATCATTTGATATTTGTTTAAATCTGTAGAAATGTATGCTATTATTTTTTGTTTAGGAAAATTTGACGGTAACATGATTAAGGATGTATTTGAGGTACATTGAGTAGTAAATGTATCTGTTCGTAAGAAACAAAGACTATGCCATATGATACGCGGCTGAAACTATTTATATCGACAGCAATTTAGTTTTGATCGAGTTGACTCATGTGTTCATTGTAACGGCATGACTCTTTATCATATTTAAACAAAAAAGGAAGTTTTTATTTAAAGAACTATATGCGGTATATTGCATATGTTTGCCCCCACAAAAGTCAAATTTTGAAAACTTCCTGAAATGTGCTGAATTCAATAAATTGTACGAGAAATAAAAGTTAACAGAAAATATTATAGTTCCAGAGCAGTGTATTCACAATTTCTGTTTTTATGACGTCACAAACTAGTCCGATTTTATATCCTTTTTCAGAAAGAGGACAAAATGGACAAAATTTCAACAATTTAAGCTTTAAAATTTATAGAGCGCATGTGTGTTCAGGAACAATATTGACATATTTCATTGATATTATCATTCTACACATTATATCAAAATATTTATCCTGAACACACATGCGCTCGGTAACTTTTATTTAAAATATCGACGAAATGTGTATAATTTTCTGCAAAATTCATAAAAAACTGAAATTTACGTCATATTTGTGACGTCATTACGTACATATGACGTCATTACTTATAAAATTATTCAGTGCTTTGAAGTCAGCATATACTCCCCTGTTTAAGGACTTAATTAAATATTACTCCATCAAAGTTTGATTTTGGGGGGCAAATGTTGATTAATACCGCATATAGTTCTTTATATGGTCTGATTTTTGTTTGTGTGTTTCAGATTGAAATCAAAAATAGGGTTATTATTTTGTTGGAAACTTTTTAAAAAAAAAGTCATTCGAAATAAGAAGCATTAAACGAGCATGTTGATTAATAATTACGACATTATTATTGAACATCAAAAAGCCTTGAATGACTAGGTTTGACATCTTGCCAACAATCTTTTGTTTAGCTGACACCTCTGACAATCGCTTATGATTTTTTTTTATTTTAAAGTTCTATTTTACAATTTAGTGCAATTTATATTGTTTATATTTAACATATAGTCGGCCCTTATATATGTTTCTTTACCTACAGCAGAGGTTGCAAAACTGTATCACTGCATCGTATATGTTATTAATTAATTAATTTTTACTTTCTTTGCTTCTTTTTGGGAGCGGTAGTACATGTAATAGGTAAAGGCTTAACAATCGCTAACATTGAATACTTTACCTCATATGTTTATTTAACTGGGCGACTCTAAACTGGTAAAGAGACCTTTAATTCCTTTGTCTATTTCTCAGAAAACCAACTCATAAAAAGATTACATATAATTTATTACTTCCTTATTATGTACTTTACAGAGTTCAGCTCGGATGGAAAGTTTCGTGCCCCAAGAGTCTAATTGGAATGGAACATTGAACTATTGTCCAGTTGAAATACCCTTGTATGACTTCAGAAATGACCAAACGAATGTAATTTTGATAAATAAGTCTTTCTTTTTAAAACGTATTTGTAGTCTGGTATATTTTACATCCATTAGATTTTATCAAACATTATTTATATATTTATAGGAACCTTTAAACAGTTTCCCATTGTCAATAGCAGCGGCCAACATAGACACAGTTAGAGTTCTCGAAGATATTAGATTTACACCGCCAAGTTCCTACCAACAGGATAGAATAACACCGTCTTCTTTCGACCATGATAGAATATTACAATTAAGCTCTAATGACCAAGAAATAATACCATCGCCAAGTTCTAACTACCTAGATAGAACATCACCTCCACGTTATTTTCAACAGGATAGAATAACATCACATAGTCCCTACCACAATGATGAAGACCACGATAAATACCTGGTATTAGATATTTAATTGTAAAGAAATATCAATGCTAAAAAAAGAAAAGAAAGTATTTTTGATAATAATACTTTTATAAAGATTTTACTTGTAGAAAATCTAACTTTTAAGTCATTTTGTGCATATCAGCTGAACTTCAGTATCTCAAATATCGAATAATAATAATAATAATAATAATAATAATAATAAAACTTTATTTAAAGCCATCGATATGTCGGTCTAATCTTTTTTTCAATTCTTTGATACCTCTAAAAAGTAATTCTTGATCGAAATGAGTTCGAGATAAGGACATTATTTTAAATATATTATTTTAAATATAGCATTAGTAAAATGATCCTGTACTTTGTGTCTGATCTTAGAAAACAGTTGATGATTAAGCTCTTCTTTGCTCCTAATTCACACCTTTGTTTTATTAGAAATACGTGTCACAAGTATCTTTTGCTGCTTTTTTTTTTTTTTTATTTTTTTTATTTATTTTTTTTTCACAAAATAAAACATTATTTTAATACACCTCTTTTTTGACAAATCTGATTTCTTTTATAATGATAAATTGTTTGTTTGTTTGTTTTTTTTTTGATGAAAGTAAGTACGCAAGGCGTTCAAACATTGGGGTAAATGAAGCATAATAATTTGTTACCTTTAAATAAAAAAAAAATACGATTCTACATACTGAGCTAGCCACATTTGTTTTTTAACGGGGTGTAAACTTAGGGGTTATAAGTGATAATTTTCATTATAAATTTATAAATATTAATGCATTCCAGCCACCAAAGAAAAGGAGAAGAGTACATGAAAATGATTTTAACGCCAATGTTGTGCCTTATATCAATTTGGATCCCGATATTCCAGAGGATATTATAGAAAGCCGTCTACCAAATCCGGACTTCATACGATATTGTACTGCAAGGGTGTTCGTCGTTGGCTTGAATAACTTCCGAGGGCAGGTAATATAATAACGTAATTTCTGAGTCCAAAAAACACACAAAACATCATTCTTTAAACAAAAGTACTTGTGGAAATTTTCGCGAGACGCAAATTTAGTATTTTGTCCTTAAAAATGATATTTTATTTTTAGCGAAATGTAATTTTAGCGATTTTAAAATGCACACTTAAGAAGCTATTTCAAATAAAACGCAATTAATTTTTAGCGATCTTCAATTTTTGCGATCTCAACACCCTCGCTAATAATGCCAAAATTAAATCCTCGCTAAAAATTCTGCTTATACGGTATTCTGATTGTAACCTGCGTGGTATCCATATATCGGTCCATCCAACGAAATTTGTTTTTTAAAAATGTATTTTTGAATATAACGTATTTCATCATAATACAGTAACAAAATCTATTCAGAGGAAAGATAATTATTCAATAACTTATATAGGCTTGGTGAAATCAAATAGTTTTATAAAGATGAATAAAGATAAAAAATAGAAAGGAATATTAAATTAAATTCATTCATAAAGAATTACTATCAAAACCTGAAAACAAAGGTCAAAATATTTTTCAGTGAATGCTTTCCTCAAGAAGTACAGATTAAAATTTAATTAAAAAAAATCATCCAAGGAGTCATACATGTACAGTGAAAAGGGATGTAAGTTCAAAATACAAATATAAAGATAAAATCTTCGATGTATCCCAGTATAGTCTGCTGCATCTGTTTTATATCATTTATTACCGATTTTCGACAAGGTTCATATAATATCTAAATTGTATGACAAACTAGATGACTCCAGCTTTTCTATTGGCATTTTAATTATTAATGAAGGACCAGTCTGCGTCTCCAAACTTATCCGATACTCAAGATCAAGAGTACGAGGCATTTGAGCAAGGTTGTTCAAAGAGTTTCGGTTGTTATATTGACTATAATATATTAATTCAAATATATCATTGGGTCTTATTTAGGCTGACGCACTTCATATTCATATCATGCATCAATTAACTCAAATTAAAATTTTGATACAACATTATCAACATCTTCACCTCTCAGGAGGAAAAAAAATGACAAATTGGGGTTCAACCCAATGATCTTTTATCACAAATAAATTTCCAATTAATTGTAGGTTGAATCAGGAGAGGAAGTTTCCTTGATTAAGGATGGCTCAAGCAAAACCAGTATGGTGGCAACAAATCGGTTTGGCATAGAAGTAGGATATCTGAAATCTGATGTTTCAGGGGTTATCTCGCCACTAAGAGACAAAAAAGTCATAGGAATAGAAAGGTAAGAAAATAATCGTATATAGATACCCGGTATATTGAAATCAATCACTGTTCGTTATCTTCACCTTTTAATTATGGTTAAAAGAAACATCAAATTTTAAAGCTTTTATGTAAAATTAAAACGGCTTTTTACACGAATATTCATATGAACATTTAGCTCAGAAGAGTTGGGTCTGTTCATTATTGGTTTCAATCCTGCTTAAAATAAATGGTGAACAAATCGCTAAACTTTTTGATACACATTTGTTGGACATGAGCGAGTATGATGTTTATACGGTGTATATTGTAAACATATCTGGCACCTTACATGTATTTCCTTTTGTTCGATTTAGCACCGCTATACATGGAAGTCAGGATGCTCTCCTCAACAGCATAGCGATATACCTCAAAATATTTGGGAAGGAAGGTTACAAGCTTTCCACTTTGAAAAAATTAATTGAATTAAAGGTGCCACTTAACATTGACATCGGCCCCACTGAATCTCAAGAAGACATTATGGGCGCACTCGATATCAACGAGAAATCTGAGGGCATATTCTTTAACGAAAACCACTTCTTAAACATGAAAGAGGTAAGTTGATTAGATTACTTTCTGCAAATTTATCTCTTATCTTACATACTTTATTTTTGTCCCTTTATATGAAGACAGCTTGATATGGAATAATTGATTTTTGACTGTCTTGTGTTGATCAGAGGAATTTGTTTTTGAGATATTAGAAGTTTTTTCCCTTAAAAATCTTATGCTAAAACGTTTGTTAAATGGCTAAACTGTATGAAAATACTGTTTTTCTTTCTAAAAACTATTTTATGGATGCACAATTAAACTTTATTTTAATAATAGGAATCGGACGCCATTAATACACTTTTCGAGAACCTTGCGGAAGAAGACAAAATGACCCCTGCAGAACCATCAAAGGTTTTAATTTCTATATATATTGCAAAACTTTTCAATCAAATGTACTTGTGAATTGAATATGACATAAAATTGAAATGAAATAATTCTTCAACAATGCTTTGTTCACTAGGAAATAGTTACACCGTTGCATATGCACCAGAAACAAGGCCTTCACTGGATGATATTGAAGGAGAATGGGAGTCAACTTCCCCCTTTCTGGGATCTCAAAGAAGGACTGTATCATAACAGTATAACATCAGTTAAACAAAAAACAAAACCTCGCAGTATCAGGGGTGGTACGTATGACTTAGTCAAACATAAAAAATAAACTAACCAATTATATATTTCTGTTTGAATAAATGATTGTCTACAAAATTTTCGGTATCTATGAAATACGAAATAGCAGGGTTACAAATTTGGGTACATTAGTCATTGAAAGAAGACATACACAGAAAAATCTTAAAAGCAGAAATATTAATGTTGTAAAATAAGCCTCTTGTTGCAAGTACAACCGTATATTTTTTAAGAAGATGTCTATCTGAAAGGTTGACATCCATCATGATAGAAACATGATATGGAAATAACTAATGATAAAACATATGGATCTGACTAAAAAATTTCTTCTTTAGGCATTCTAGCTGATGAGATGGGACTAGGGAAAACATTAACAGTGATATCTCTTATCAAGACGAATTCAAAGAATGCTGGAAAAATACCATCTAAAATTAAAGACACAGAAAATGGTGCTGATACATCTTCTGACAAAGGAAACCCGGGGAGTAAAAAGAACATGCATTGTGACCCAGAGGAGCAAGCAAGCAATGAAGAAATGCTCTCAGAAAATGAAGAAGTAGCGACACATTATGAGGAGATTTCTGACAATGAAAATCCACACGAGATTTTAGACATTCAGTCTAATTTAGATGAGCAAACTATACATAGGGATGAAGCTTCCAACAACAGCCTGTTGAGGGAAGAGGGAGAACTTAATGGTGATATTGGAGAGACGACCAAAGATGAAAACATGGATATAACTGTACATGGGGGTGAAGCTTCCAATAGCGGCCTTCTGGGGGAAGAGGGAGAACTAAATGGTGATACGGAAAAGACGACAAAAGATGAACACGTGGGTATTTCTGAAAACCTAGCAATAAATAAAACTATAGTTCGTGAGACCAATGAGGGTTGGAGAAACGAAGATGAGTCTAAGGATGCAGGCATACTTGAAACGAATCCTGATCAAATTAAAAATGATGATATGTCCCCAGAAAACGAGGATCCAGTGACTGATACAAAAGAATCTCCTAACATTGAAACGCAAGATGAACATGGAGACTTTCACTCCGACTTAGATGAGCTTACCAAAATTGGAAACGTTGACTCTAAAGTTAGTTATATAAATGAAGAGGGAGAAATAACATTTGATGCAGAAAAAGGGGAAGATGAAGGTATGCGAAAAGATGCCCAGTTAGGTCCTGTCACAAAAGAGACATTGACGGACGAGGAAGAATCTACAGGAAAAGAGGAACACAATACAAACTTAGATAACCCGAGTGAAAATAAAGATTCAAAGGATGAAGATGAAAAACCACAGGTAATTTGTTGTCTTTATCAATTGATATGGAAATAATCTTGATTTTATAAGATATTATAGCAATGATAAAAATACTTTAATCTTTCTTTGACTTCTCTAAAACAAATTTGATATAATTACAGTCTTTTGTGATATGACACGTAAGAAATCAGGTTAAAATTATTAAAGGGTTACATCTTACACTTTTGAAATTTTTCTGTGATTTGTTGCTGACTGCCACGTTTGATTCTATCTGAAGCATTTGTCAACAGTCACCATTTTCGTGCTATGCTGCAGCGAACTATAGTCTGCTTTGCATATTCCATCTTTATTCCCCATATTTTACCGTGATACATGTGCTGAAGAGATATTTTTCTACGTATTTAGTTTGTGAAATATAAATGTGAAGCGGTTACAAACATATATTTCATATACTTGCTTGTGTTTTTATTTTACTTCAGTCTTTTTTCATGTGAAAAGGTTATTTGTGAAAAGGAAAAAGAATTGCTTATATTTAGGGTTTGCCTTTTAAGTTTATGATGTTTTGCTCACAAAATGCTTTGCTTTGCAGCTCTTTCTCACCAAAATAACAGATGAGACAGAAAAGAAGGAGCCTGTGAAAGGTAGTTCATTTATTTTGAATTACATTATAATAGTTATCCTTCTGTTTTAATTTTTTATCATTAAGTGTCATATCCTATTTCATGACCAAGTTTTTTTTTCATTGTCGAAGGAACCAAATTAAAGAAGACAAAGAAAAAGAAGAAATTTTCAAAGACGACACTGATTGTCGCCCCTGTTTCTGTCATCAATGTCTGGGAAGTAAGCGGATTCTACATTTAAAACATATGAAAAAAGAAATGAAAATTATTGTAAAATTTAAAATACATAGAGTACTGTTTTAATTGTTTGTTTTATATGCCTAATTGCTTCTGATGCAATCATGCATATTAATTCTTAAGTAACTGCAGTAGATGATCTCTGTAAAAAGTAAATGTTGTTTTGTGTGTAATATATAAAAACATAAAGAAACATTGATATTCCTGATTAAATGAATAAAATTTGCCATTAAACTAGTTTTGATCTTGTACTTGATATAGACCCAGATTATACAACATGTGGACGATAGGTATCCACTGAAAACCTACACTTTTCACGGGAGGAAAAGAGTAGAGGATGTGTCCATCCTCACCCAGAACGATGTCGTACTCACGTCCTACGATACATTGAGGATTGACGCAAAGGTAACAATATATAAATATATATGTGTAATGTATTAGCATTTTGGGGGTTTATAACATTTCCTACAATGTAAAAGTAAAAAGTGCTTAAGTATATTAATAATTTTTACCATAAGCTTTAGTAAGCAATTTTGAAGAGTTTTTTTAAAATTCATAATCTGAAATTTCTATGATTAACTTTACAGACAAACCGCATTCTCCAAGAGGTAAATTGGCTCCGTGTGGTGCTCGATGAGGGACACAAGATAAAAAATCCCTCTTCTAAACAGACACAGGCTATCAACAGTCTCCAGTCAGAAAGAAGGTGGATCCTAACAGGTATGAAACACGCACGCTAACTCTCGATTCCCGCCTACATTTTGGAACCATTTAAATCAATATGAATAGCAATTTGGCCATAAAATCTTTGTTTAATAAAAAGAACAGTTCAATGGTAATTGATAAACTGTCTTAATACCAGCGCTAAACAGTAAATTATCCATAATTCCAGCTCTTGAAAGAAGGGGGGTAGACGATATTTTCCATTGAAATCGGAGTTTCAAGCATCACCGTATTTTGAAATAGTCTTGGATATGATTAAATGTTCCTTACATCTTTTCTTATGTTTTAGGCAAATAAATAAAACATAAATATTTCAATAAAATATAATGTTTCAGTTGTATATCGCTTTGAAATTGGTGGAAAATAAGCATTTTTATCGTTTTTTGTCAATAAACATATGTTCCCCCCGTGTCACACAAAAAGCTTTGGTATGAATTTGTGAAATAACATTCCATATTACCTGTAAAAAAGAATTTTTGTGACAGGGGGGAAAGATGTTTTAAAAATATTTTCCGTTTTCCATTGATTTCTGTAGTGAAAAACACAAGTTTTACCAAAATTTTAGAGTTATCTATCTTTGTTTTCCCAAATAAGTAATGTTTTATGTAAATCCATATAATTATCTATAAAAAATATTAAAAATTCCTCGAATATGTTAACTTTTGAAAATTGACTTGGAGGTAGGCTGGAGAACAATACTATCGTTCGCAGTTCTTTAAAAATCATCCTGGATGTATCAACATAATTGCAGTAACACTTTTCAATCGATTGTCATAGATGCAATTACTATCGTATGCTTAAAATGTCAAGCGTTACCTTTAAACTACATAAATATCCTTACAGAAGATACCTTCCTTAATTGACTCCATTCAGTAATTAGAAAAATTTTCAATAAAGAGGATAAATAAAAACAAAAAATCACTTTAAGTGTATCAAACCAACTTTTTATAGGTACTCCAATCCAAAACAAAATCGAGGAGCTATGGTCCCTTATATCGTTCCTTAAAATAGACACATTTACTGATGTAAATCAATGGAGAAAAATAATCGTGGACCCTCTGGTGTCTGGGGATGAGAATGCCAAAAGGTATATTTTTATTTAAAAATGCCCATAAGTTTGTGTAAAACTTTAAAGCGATTGAAATTTTTTTGTTACCCTTTGTGCACACAATAACATAAATTCATTTAAAACATAAACAGAAATCATTGTAGGGTAGACTGTCAAATGCGGACAGTTTTTCACACTAATTGTAAGCCCATTATTTAGGACAGGGGATGCTCACTCCTCCATGGCACCTGATCACACCTCTGATGTTTTGGAGGTCCGTGTTTGCTCTGCTCCTATTTTGTATTGTTTTATGGACTTATGAGTTTGGATACTGATCGTTATCTCCATATATTTCATTACACACTGAATTGTCGACAGATTTTCCTTTATTTCCCGATCATGACAAGGGCACACGGCGGGTGTGACCGTTCGGCAAGGGATGCTCACTCCTCCGTCAAACCTGATTCCACCTTTTGATGTTTTTAAGAAAGAGGTTTTCCTCAGCCGACCGGTCACACCCACCGTGCGCCGATCGGGAAATAACGGAAAAATTCGTTGTAAATTCAGTGCATAAATAATGTACATTTAATTAGTATGAAAAACGTCAGGCAGCATTTGACTCAAAGATAAATTGTATTTGCTGACAAGGTCATTGTATAGACCATAAAACTTTCGTAATGATGATTTTAGATAAGACTGATATTCTTGTTTTATCAACTTGTTTGTCAATAATTTACCTTGTTTTAGAAATTGTTCATACGTTTGGACTGGTTTGAGAATATATTATTTATATCTTTTTAGGCGGATATTTCATCTTGTAAATTTTATTGCATTAAGAAGAACGAAAACTTCTACCATACGTGGAGAAAGAATACTTTCTTTACCTCAGAAAACTGTGGTTGTGAAAGAAATCCGGTTTAGTGAGGAAGAAATGGAGGTTTACAGAGATTTTGACAGAGGATGCAAACAGCTAATTCGACGGTATCTGATGTTCTATTGTTGGCTGGGGACAGGTTGACGTTTGTCAGTCGACACTTTCCATATGTTCTAGTGTTGACCAGGGACTGGTTGCTGGTTGACAGTAGACACTTCCCATGTGTTCTACTGTCAAACAGGGACAGATCGACAGTTGACACTTTTGATGTGTTCTAGTGTCGACCGGGGACACTAACCCTAATCACAGCTATTAAATTGAGACTAACCCTAATCACGGTTATTAAAGCGAGACTACCCGTAATCACAGTTATTAATGCGAAACTACCCCTAACCACAGTTATTAATGCAAGACTAACCCTAATCACATTTATTAATTCGAGAATAACCCTAATTACACTTATTTATGACAGTAGAAATGGTAAAATGACAACTGTCCCTGGTCGACAGTAGAAATGGTTAAATGTCAACTGTCATCTGTCCCCGGTCGAGAGTAGACTAAGAAACGGTTAAATGTCAATTGTCAACTGTCCCAGGTCGACAGTAGAAATGGTTAACTGTCAACTGTTCCAGGTCGACAGTAGAAATGGTTAACTGTCAACTGTCCCCAGTCAACAGTAGCACCGCATCACCCCCTCTTTTATATATGTATAAGTTTCTGTATAGTTTAATTCTATTAATTACAATTATTATATTTATAATCTGCTTACGTTTTAGCTCACCTGAGCCGAAGGCTCAAGTGAGTTTTTCTGATCACATTTTGTCTGTTGTCCGTCCGTCCGTCCGTCTGTCCGTCCGTAAACTTTTCACATTTTCGACTTCTTCTCAAGAACCACTGGGCCAGTTTTGACCAAACTTGGTACAAAGCATCCTTGGGTAAAGGGGAATTTAAACTGTTAAAATAAAGGGCAAGTCCCCTAAAGGGGAGATAATCAAGAAAAGACAAAAATAATCACAAAAATTATTAAGAACCACTGGGCCAGTAAAGCTAAACTTATCACAGTTATTAATTCGAGTAAATATCATAACCCTAATCCACAATGGAGAATCAAAGTTTTACATAGAAATATATAGGAAAAATCTTTGAAAATCTTCTTCTCAAGAACCACTGGGCCAATCACACTTATTTATGACAGTAGAAATTGTTAAATCACTACCCCTGGGGGAAGGGCGGGGCCACAATGGGGAATCAAAGTTATACATAGAAATATATAGGAAAAATCTTTGAAAATTTTCTTCTCAAGAACCTCTGAGCCAGAAAAGCTGAAACTTATGTGGAAGCATCCTGGGGTAGTGTAGATTCTAAATTGTTCAAAACATGACCCCCAAGGGTTGGGCGGGGCCACAATGGGGAATCAAATTTTTACATAGAAATATATAAGAAAAATCTTTGAAAATCTTCTTCTCAAGAACCACTGGGCCAGAAAAGCTAAAAAAGCATCCTGGTATAGTGTAGATTCAAATTGTTCAATCATGTCACCCCCCGGGGAAGGGCAGGGCCACAATGGGGAATCAAAATTTTACATAGAAATATATAGGAAAATTCTTTGAAAATCTTCTTCTCAAAAACCACTGAGCCAGAAAAGCTGAAACTTATGTGGAAGCATCCTGGGGTATTGCAGTTTCTAAGTTGTAAAAATCCTGACCCCTGGGGGAAGGGCGGGGCCACAATGGGAAATCAAAGTTTTACATAGGAATATATAGGAAAATTCTTTGAAAATCTTTTTTATATATGTGCACATGGAGTTTCTGCATAGTTTAAAATGTCTAAATTATGATTTCAATTATTATATTTAAAGAACAGAATAATCTGCTTGGCGTTTTTTTTTATTTGCTGGAATTGAACATGTCAAGGTACCCAAACCACTTTATTTCCTTTTCTTGGGGGAGAACTAAGGTTTTTCTGGTATAAATACCCAAATTTGCTACGTTGAATCGTTTTTGCCTCATTTTACTACTGCTTGATTTAGACTAATTGACGAAAGAAGGCACCTTCAGGAAATTGGCCTTTTTTATGCAGCACTTGTACGACTGAGACAGCTGTGTTGCCATCCAGAAATAATTCCAACAAAAGCGAAAGGTTTTTGTTTTGTATTTTTTTTGTAAAAACATGATCTTCATATATGTTTCATTGAAACCATATTTTGGCCATATCATATACTACAATTAAAAAATGATTTTAAAACATGAAAATTATTTATGAATTGGTGTATACTTCTTTTTTAAGAAGATTTTTGTGTTTTGTTTTAGTTGGAAAAATAAAAGTGGGTAGGTCTCTCAGCGAACTGGAGAGCAAACAGACTGGAATAGAAAAGCTTGCTTCACTACTGAGACTCTCTGAAAATGAGTGTTGCAGTGTTTGCTTAGAAGAAATAAGTGTGACTGAAGGTACAAACGCTCCCGTTATTACAGACTGTGATCATATCTTCTGCAAGTCGTGTATTGTTGGAGTAATTCGGCAACATGGCACCTGTCCAAACTGTCGAGGAATTCTGACAATGGATTCTTTAACGGAATGTCCTCCTGGTGAACTTGCCCTTCGCTTACAAAGACCTGAACTAGACAAATCTGTGCTTAGTACCAAGGTATATTTTTATTAACATGTTAGAAAATAATTTTCTGTTGTATAGTTGATGTTCCGTCCAATTAATCTTTTTAAGTGAAATCCAGATTATGTGTAATTTGACAGAAAACATAAATAAAAAACGTATTTTTGTTTGTTTTAAAACAATTATAAATCGGCTATATATTTTCTTCAGACAACGGCATTGATGGTAGATTTGCATCAATTACGAGATGAGTTTCCGCGGGAGAAATGCGTTATTGTCTCAGAATTCACCACCCTTTTGGATGTAATCGAGGAGCCACTTAAGTGCGTGCAATGCTTGCTCTGATTTAAGTATATATATACATGCATACAATTGAAAAATTAAGAAAAAGCAAATAAATAGCATATGACGTCATTTTGCAGAAGTTCAAACTTCCGATTCGTCCGACTGGATGGTAAAATGACTCAGAGGGCTAGGGCTAAAAGCATCGAAGTGTTTTCAAGTCCAGGTGATGACTCCCCCACTGTGATGTTGTTGTCGCTAAAAGCTGGAGGAGAGGGCATCAGTCTTGTAGCAGCATCCAGAGTCTTCCTCCTTACACCGGTCATATAAATTCTCTTTTTAAGAATAGTATTTTTAGACGGTGTATATATAAATTTTGACCTATCATTAAACTAAAGCTATACGTAATAATGATTGGTTTACTCTCTGTAATGCACTAGTCATGACGGTAGATTTAACGTTAACAAAGAAGAGAATACTACTCATTTCATGATATTATTTTTAATTTTATTTATAAACATTCTTGCTGTATATTCTCCCCCAGCCCACAAACACACACACGTGCAACAATTTAGATATTTCACGATATATTTAAATGTTTTCTGGATGAATTTTTACATCAATCTAGCAAATTTACAAACAATTCACAAAATACTAGTATTACGTATCAAATGATAATTCAGAATTTGGTTGATAATTTTACATCTTACAAGATTTCTATAATTTTGAATAGTATTTGAACGTTTATTTGATTGACTTCCAGCACTGGAATCCGGCTACTGAGGACCAGTGCTTTGACAGGTGTCACAGACTCGGTCAAACCAATGACGTCATAATCACTAAGGTAGGACTTGTGGTACTTCAGATAAAACTTGTACAATAAGAATGTTAAACAAAATATTATCATTGAAAAATCTGAATGTGCCCTGTTACGGGATGTTGAAGAACATAGATGATATTAAGGCATCTACACAGAGAGACGAATTGATGTTTCCCTTGAATTTATTTTATGGTATATTATGTTTAAATTTGAAAGTATTGTGTTTAAAACTGTGAGAGATATTGCGTCAAATGTAAAGGATATACAGTCGAACAAAGAGATACAAACCTCTAGTGCATTTTTCGTGAAATAAAAAAAAAACTTCAAAACTTTAAAATATTACGTTAAAAATAATTTGCGTTATCATGTCAAAACAAAAGGACTTGAATATATACTTAAACAAATTATACAGCCAGACAGACAAAGCGGTCTTAAACTTTTAGATGTCTTTTTTCTATAGTAAAATACTCATTACATACACATTTGGCTAACGCTTTGTCGAAAATTATTGGAGTTACTATGTCAACATAATTGTAATTGACGGACAAAGAAAGTTAAATATCGTAAAATATGTACGAAACCAGTAAATAACAGCAGTGGATAGAGAGAAATGTGATTCCTAGAGGACTCTGGCAGTTTCTTTTTATTAAAGGATTGTTTTGATAACATTTAATTTTTGTCCCTAAAAAATCAACATTTCATAATGTAATTCAGGTATAAGATAAGAATAATGGCAATGCATTTATATACTCCAACTGTGTGTATATGACGCTAAAACGATGCTTTTTGTAATCAAATCAAAATTGGACTTTAAAAATGCGCTTTATATTCGATGTTTATACTTTGAGATCCAAAGAATGCGGTTTTGAACACGATTTTTTTCTATCAGTGTTCAATCTTCAATACATACATCTTTTATGAAAATTTAAATCTGGTCTCAATATTTTCTAAAGAAGATGCAAAATATGATAAATGGTGGGAAAATGCGATTTTCATGATGTCAAATTTCTAAATTAATTGCATTACGATCATCTGAAAATTACAGATAAATGACAACCGCATAGCTTGTGTAAAGTTATTATTTAAGGCAATACATGTATTAAGTTATTCATATAATGTGACCATTTGAGACACTAATCGCATATCGTTCTTTTTTACTTTTAGTATGTAGTTAAAAATACAATAGAGGAAAGGATATTAAACCTTCAAGAACAGAAGAAGAAGTTAATGGACTGTGCATTTAACTACAACAAAAAGAAAACAGAAAAGCCAGGAATCAATGAGATCAGGGCTCTTTTAGATGTATAAAGAGGAGTTATCGCCCGTGTTTTTGTACCGAGACAGGCAGCAGTATCAGTTCACATGACTTTTAAGACACAATCATGCCATTTCGTACTAGGATTCACATAATCAATTCAAAATTGATTCCGACACAAATCTTATTCCCATGGTATACTAGTATAACAGCTTTCTACAATTCATTTGGACTCGCAAATGTATAAATGTGAAAACCAAATATAGTTACACACAAAATTTATTTTTTCAAAAACATTCAATGATGAAAAATTATGAACACAAATCAAGAGTTGTAATGACCTAAATTATATTTAAAAAGTACAAGCCACCTTAATTATAGTGTTTCTGTCACAAAAACATATGGAATTTCCCATTACATCTGAATAATATTGTGCATTTTTCATGATATCTTTTAATGTTTTTTAATGAATAAAATCCAGATAAATGAGATTATGAAGTGGATCTAGAATGAAAAACAAAAATAATTAATGGTTGTTCCAACAGCTTTATAATTTAGAATGTAGGGATATCAATCTTCTTGTAGTGTAATTTCTTTTGGAATCAAATGTAGACTTAGGTGACATTGTTCTACTCGAGATATTCTATGTCCTTTGTAACTGAATAAATGTAAACTTATGTGACATTAATTTCCTTGTAATATATACTCTGTCTTTTGGAACCAATGTAAAATATTCTGAAACAAAACAAAAAGAAATTAGCATAAAATGTTGCCAAGAATTATGTGTTCTTTCTTTATTATGTTATTTTCATACTTGCACGCTAACAATGGAATATATGGAGATAACAAACAATATTCAGATATTCACATTTAATTTAAATACTTTAGGAATGAAGTTTATTGTGACTTCCATATATCTGAATACTCTTTAGTTTCACAAACTCTTCTAATCGTAAAACACAAATTCTTCTGTTTCTAAATTCTGTTTTGCTAAAATTCATCAAGATATTTCATTTCTGCCAATTGAAGTGTAATGATTTCGTGGTATTTTGTGACCTATACTTACATAAGTAAAAGGAGACCAATAACGTTATATCCCGCCATGACCCAGAAAGCGAATCCAGGGAGAAAACTGACCGTCTCTGAGTAGATGGCCCCGCCCACCACCGACCCCACCATAAAACAGATGTTCTCAAACAATGCAATACCTCCAAACATTGAACCTGTTGGGAAAAATAAAATATCAATAAAGAAAAAACTTCATAATACATATAACGCACATCACTCACAATATTAGAATATCTTATAAGTATTGTTTTATATTTTTTTTTTACATTTTAAACAATGTAATTGTATTCTGATGTGACCATATATCTTAAATTTTTATTAAAACTAGAATTATGTTTTGTAAATATCACAAGAAATTCACAATTTAATACATAAATTACAAATTATTATTTGTAAACATCGATGTTAAAAGAGATACTGTATTTATTTGAAAGCCATAACCGTGGTCGTACAAAGGCCTTTTCAATTTTTTCCCCTCAAATTTATAACGTTTATGTAGTTATTCCTATTATAAGACTTTTTTTAAAACAATGAAGATGGTCATAAACGAAAGGAAACGAAAACTTAACACAAATCAAAACATTTAAACATATGTATAGGTATCGCACAAACGGGACAATGAAGACTGCAATATCCGTATTTTGCTAAATCCTATCAACAGTTTATCTTGTATATAAAAAAAAACGGGTTTAGAGTGATTATGCTTTGATTATTCTTTTAGTGAAGTCTCACTTTTGTGTCTCACAAAAATATGGTACCTTACACTGATGGTTGCGAGGATATCGTAACTTCTTGCTCACTCCTCCACGGCACCTAATCCCACCTCTGATGTTTTGGATTTTGGTAACACGGTACTGTAGATCACTAAATTTTCGTTGGCGAGATTGTCATTGACTTTTAATTTTTCACGTAACATATAATCGTAATACTTTTATACGCGTTAAATTTTCTTTCACGCGTAATTACGAGTTCTTAAAAAGTGATTTACAGTACTGCTCGTTATCTCCATAATGCTAAAATGTTATTTTATTTGGATATTATTTCTTCATCCATTATATTTTATGGGGCTGTTTTAATGAATGCAATAAAGATTTCAAAAATTTCTAGCATTGATTTTAAATATTTTTGTTTTGTTGTTATCTTTGTTCTTTACATGCTATTGATGTATATCAAATAACGTAAGAAATCAATTTCTTGTCTTGTTGGGATGTTGAAAAACATTCTGCTTAGAGGAATCCACAGAAAGAAGTAATTATAAATATTGACCTACCTTGTTTATCTGGGGGCGTTAAACGAGACATGATGGACCGTATCATAGTGACTTCTATAATACCCAGACAACCGACGACTGGAACTAGAATACAAAAGCAAGTCAGAATTAAAAGCATTTCAAATCACTTTGCTAAAAGCAGGTTCTAACTGACACATGAATAACCTTTTGTTCCTTTACAACACTTTCTTATTTATTTATTTTTTCTTTTAAAAATTACCTACCCATGTAAAGTTCAAAAGATGTTGTTGATAGTGCTTCCATTACGAAGTAACCAATCGCAGAAAGAGTTCCAATGACTGCGATGAAGTCATCTGACATAAAGCATTGTAGGATTCGTATAGAGACGACGCCCACAAACTCCTGAATAACACTGCGAATGGTGCCGAAATTGCTAATTCTGATCGGACTCCAGCAAAAGGGGGCTCCAATTTGATAGAGAATCTCAACATTTGTTTTTCCTAAAGCTGCCATGCTGAGTAAGTTGAATGCCAGTATGAGTATTATATATTGCCAACGTCGCCCATAGTTTTGATCTTTATTTCCATGAATGTATAGGTCTAACGACTCTTTAATCTGACGTACTGGATGAACTGAACTGACTCGATTCTCCTCTTTCAACGGTTCTTTGAGAACAAAAATGGTGAATAGTATCCCAGTCAGAACCATTGCACCTGACGCAACGACAGGGCTGTTAAACCCAAATGCTTCTATCAGATAACCAGAAAGTAAGGTCCCTGCTAAGAATCCAACCCCAACACCTAGACCAAGAATTGCAAAAGCAAAAGATCTTTGTTTTCCGGCCTTTGTAATATCAGCAAAACCCGACGAACAAATGGCAACAGACGAGACCCAGCCTCCCGTACAACCCTCAATAAACAGATAAATTATGAAAAAATTAACATCATATTTCATGAAAATGTTCAGAAAACAGAGTCCACTTTTTATAAGAGATCCAAATAATGGGACCAAAAGCGTTTTCTTTCTTCCAAATCTATCACTCAAGGAAGAAATTAAAGGGGCGGTGAATATGGCAGGAATACCACCCGATATAGATATATACACCGTCCATCTGGCGGTATCAGACTGTATAGTTTGCTCCATTTCAAATTCTGGGGAACTTGTATTGGTTTCACAAAGAGACTTATCTGACTTGTTCAACGTTGCGTTCGGAAACTCTCTGTCTTTATATACACTGTAAGTATACTGACTCAAGTCAAACAGTAGGATGGTAAAGGACGCCATATGTACAAACACGATGATTCCGATGACAAATCCTGTGACTGGGATCTTTACAGATTTAGGGGCCTCCTCATCTTCATCTAAAAGCTTAGTCTTCTCACTGCTATCCATTTTACGTGAAGTTTGATTAATTTTTAATGTTCCTCCAGAATAGAGCTACCTCACTTTCTCCGAAGCGACTGTGGTTTCGTAGACCTTTTGATAAAAGGAATAAAATCGTATTTTATGTACTAAGTTTTTTAAAAGTATTTAGATGGTATATATAAAGCAAGCGTATGTTAAAGTGTTAAAATAATAAAAATAAATCAATACTAGTATATTGCAATGAAAGAGACTAAAATTAGATATGAGAACACTGAAATATCTGAAAATACACGTAATTCTCCTGCTGAATCACAAGGTAAAAAGAAAAGTAATGATTAATTTAAGGCATATCAGTTTTTGCAAGAAAAAAGATACTTAACTGACAGGTGTGTATCAAATAAATTTGCCCTGCCTTATGACTCAGCGAATAGATAGATTTTTACCATAATTCCGACCAAATGTAGTCTACGTATGAAACGTCGTGCATACACAGGTTGAACATGTATACTTACCTTATAGATAAACAGATCTTTAGATATCAGCATAGGGACTTAAAAAGAACGCTGTTCCTCATCTATCAAATTGTATAAAACATACCATAAGTCATTCTAGATTTGAAATCTTAAAACATACGTTACTCTTTATTGTAAAGAAAAAAAACAGATGAAAACTTACCTTATATTGTTGCACCTAGGTTATCATGTCTGTGGCCCACAATCAATTGAGATGGTGGGGTCATCACCTGAAGTTTTATCTGCCAGTGGTGATAAATATAACAATAGGCAGAGATAGCATACACAATTACTAGAAAAACTAAAAGTGTTTGATTTTCCTCTCACTATCAAAGAACTTCACGTGAAAACAATGCCCTCATTAGTTCGTGTGCTAAAGTTCATAAGTTGTAGATAATCATATTCCTTCTGAGTGATCTATTATGTGTTTGATATGAGAACTAGTGTTTCCACACAATAAAGAATTCAAAATGACACGTGCTGTTTTACATCATACTAAATTTGCATTTTCTATTAAGTCACTTTCATTTTAGTTTATTTCTAATCATTATTCATATTTTCAAATAAATATTAACAAGTAATCTAAGATATTCATTTTCTACATGGACAATTTTAAAAAAGATAGAACTAATAAGCAGTAATACTTAAATATAACAAAATCCATGGTCAATTCATGAATAATGAACTTACAATGCCAGACAGATTTTGGCTTCATGATAAATTGTATTTGCTGACAAGATCCTTGTATTGACCATAAAATATGAAAAAAAGTTGAATTGAAACAAGACTGGTGAAATCCTTGTTTCGTCAACTTGTTGTGAATAGCTTGTCTCGTTTTTAGATATTGTTTGTACATTTTAATAACATATTCTTAAATGTTTAATCAACTAGGAAATATAAAGTTCATACAGAGGTGATAATGGTACTTTGTTATATACATAAGCCTTAAAGGGCAGTTAAAGATAGAGAAGTTAAGATAATGTTTATCAAAATAGTTGGTTGTTGTGGTATCTTTTATATCACTGGGATGTATCGTGTCGACATACGATTGGAAATAAGGAATGTTTTTAAGTTTAGTGTGAATTATTGGTGTGAAAATCAGACTTCCACATAGTTGTATTTTTCCATGAAGCGTGCTATGCCGACGTGACAATTCTGTGTGATTTACACACCAATAACTCACACAAAACTTAAAAACATTCCTTACATGTCGAATTGTAAGCCATAGCAGTAGATTTTTTCTCCCTTAAATTTTTTTGAATAGATTTTCCATAAAATTAATACAAAAATAGGTATTCATGTAAATTTCAAAAGATTGCTGAAAATGTGATCTTCAAAAATTGTAAAGATAATGTCAATCAAAGACTTAGGCGTCTTTTTAATATCAACTTTGACAAGGTTAGGGAAGAACAAGGTATGGTTTCCATATAAATCTTTGCCCTGTGGTTTCTAAAAAAATGAAACTGGTGTAAAAGGTGAAAAATAATACTTCCTAAATTATTGAAATTCCATGTAGAAAAATCATACAAATCATTTTTCTCACATGTGTTTTTAAATGCTAATTGTGACGTCATAAACATGTGCATTTTCCCGTATTTTCTTCAAAAGTTGCAGAAGACACAAATTTTCAATGGAATTTTCTTTCAGAAAGCATTGTCCACAGGCATCGCCCACAAAGATTTTAAGATATGTGATTTTTTATGGTTTTTTGCACAACATATAAAAAATTAAAGTGGGCGACGGCTGTGGACACTATTTTCTAAAGGAAAATTATCCTTGAAATTGGCTAATTTGAGGCTTTTTGTGTTAAAAATACAGAAATGCATCACATTAATGACGTCATATTTGCAGAATGGTAATTTTTTGTACCGTATTCTTTCCTGATTTATCAGTCATATACTTAACTAATATTAAAGCCGGTTTCAAAACTTTTTGATGACATTACATTTTTAGGGCACAATAAAGCTAAAACCATACCTTCTCCTTTACAAGTACTCTTTCTTGAAAAAAAAGCAGATGTTTCTGTTGTCGATTTACGTGGACTTCAGTTTATCATCGGAATAATTGTATAAGTGCTGAAAAGTCAGATGTTTTAATGTTACTGATTTTGGTAAACTTCTGCGATTTCAAACTTGAAAAGTAAATGTTCTTAAGATTTAAGTTTCCACATTTGATTTAAAGTACTTCTCAAAATGCATTGTTATATAGTACTTCCAAGTTTTCTCCTTCAGTGTTGTTAATATTTTAGTGAGGAATAAAGAAAGAATACTTAATTGGTAGAACAAATATACTGGAGCCCACTTTATGTTATATCTTTACAAGGAAGTTTTTTTTAGTCTAGGCAGTAAGAGAATTAAAATCCAATGTGATTATAGGGAATATTAAAAATATATATGATTGTCATATACTACACGTTTACATTCTAACTCGAATATTCACATCTACTAAATATTTTCTGCATTATTTCATAAGAAAACCAGCGTCGTTTATCAGCCAGCAGACAGAACTAAGCATATCTCCTGTGCAGATTTGTTCCATCAATGAACTTACTGTTACATACAGGTACATACCAAAATTACAATATTTTATCTACCTTATCCTACTTCAGATGAATATTTTAAAAGATATTATTAAGAAAATGCATATTTATGCTTGTAAGTATAGGTCTTGAAGTTGCAGCTAGTGCAGATTTTTTTTTACGTAATCTGTTGGCGAGTTATTCATTTTTTCTGATACAGCTGCAACATTAATTCTTATTTTAAAAGCCCGAGAGCAAATAAAATTGCTAAATTGAAAGGTATCAATACAATCGTATAGCATTGATAAATAAAATAAAAAAAAAACATGCTATAAGAAATAAATGCGAGTAATTTAATTTTAGTAGTAATACGTCATTTGATTGTTTAGAAGACTTAGTTTATATCATTTAAGATAAGTTGTCTACGTCACGGTAAGTTACGTGAAAAACGTGTATATCCGTTTGGCGTGCTTTGAAAATGTGCTCAACTTAAAGAGATTTTTGGAGGGAAAATTGTTTTGTTGTCCAGACTGAAATTAAAACAAAGGAATAAACTTATTTCAATCTATGTTATACGATATATAAAATTTCATATATTAGGTTTACACTTTCTATAAACCGCTCTGCGGTTTATAAAGCGTAAAATGCCCCAAGTTATGTTATATCGTATAATATAGGTTTCCTTCATTGAAAAAAAAACTGAAAAGTATCATATATTAATGTATAGATGATTAATTTTCCAATATCACATGGTAAAGGATCATTGCAGGAAACATGCTGATTCAATAGTTAATACTGTTCAAAGATTTCAAATAATCGAATTCATATATAAAGAAAATCTTTTAAAAAAGGGTAAGAAAACGAACTGTGTATATAGTAGTCGATCTTGAAAAAAAAACTATAAACAATTAAAATCTCTGATATGGAATAAAACATGAGATTCTTTTGTTTTGAAATATTAGTGTCAAAAAATTAATAACTTTCATTCCTGGACCTATTTCATTCGTTTGAATGCCTTGCACGTGTATAAATACAGAAGAAAGAATGGGAAATATCCATTGTTTTTTAGTATCACACACGGTTGTGTATCTCATGTCACGTTGACGTTTATATTTGAAATACTGTCTTCCTCCACAGAATCTTGAATTACTTCATAACCATTTCTGTTCTTTCTGTTACTGAGGATAAGAAACCTAAAAATAAACAAAAGGATATTATACATAAATTAATCTTTCTCAAGGTAGCAATTTTATGAATTTTTATGATTCTGTTTAAAGCTATAATAACAACGCTCTACACATGAATTTGTAAATAGTTCTAGACTTAATTAATTTTCAGTTCGCTCATATGACTGCTTACCTGATATAGTAACTCGGGTGACTTAAAAATACATGTATATCCAGTACAAATTAAGGAAGTTTCCTCACACGAAATACATGCATTTTTAAAAAAATACCACCCCCATTCTCTTAAGAATCTGTATGTTGGACTCAAGACAATGCAGGAGACTTCTCTCTTTTTCATTTATGTGCAAAAATTCAATATTATATGTTCAGACACTATCATATTTTATAGATTTTTGAATAAAGACTCCCTCTGTCTGGTCTTCCGGCCTCTTACCATTGTGTATGTCTGGCTCAATGCATCTTTCCCGTGAGCCGAGACGAGTTTCAACCAAACATGCTAAATGACATATGACTTTTATTTTTCATCTGTTTCATTTTATAGAATTTCATACTTACACTAACAGAACACTGGCCAGAAGGAGAAATATAGAGAACACAAAGAAGACGATCCCTCTGTTAACTTCCACAGTGACAGAATAGATAGAGGACCCCATCACAGACCCTACACAGGCACAGATGTTCTCAACGATAGCTATTCCAGCATACATTGTACCTATAATTACAAATAATAAACACTCAACGATAGCTATCCCAGCATACATTGTACCTGTAAGTTCAAATAATAAACACTCTACGATAGCTGTCACAGCATACATTGTACCTGTAATCACAAATGTTAAACACTCAACGATAGCTATCCCAGCATACATTGTACCTGTAATTATAAATATTAAACACTCAATGACAGCTATCACAGCATACACTGTACCTATAATTATAAATATTACATTGTAATCACAAATAATAAACAACGATAGCTATCCCAGCATACATTGTACCTGTAATTATAAATATTAAACACTCAATGACAGCTATCACAGCATACACTGTACCTATAATTATAAATTTTAAACACTCAATGATAGCTATCCCAGGATACATTGTACCTGTAATCACAAATAATAAACACTCAACGATAGCTATCCCAGCATACATTGTACCTGTAATCACAAATATTAAACACTCAACGATAGCTATCCCAGCATTGTACAATCACAAAATAATAAACACTGTGCATTGTACCTGTAATCACAAATAATAAACACTCTACGTAGCTGTCAACACAAATGTTAAACACACAACGATAGCTATCCCAGGATACATTGTACCTGTAATCACAGATATTAAACATTCAACGATAGTTATCCCAGCATACATTGTACCTGTAAACACAAATGTTAAACACACAACGATAGCTATCCCAGGATACATTGTACCTGTAATCACAAATATTAAACATTCAACGATAGCTATCCCAGCATACATTGTACCTGTAATTACAAATAATAAACACTCAACGATAGCTATCCCAGCATACGTTGTACCTGTAATCACAAATATTAAACATTCAACGATAGCTATCCCAGCATACATTGAACCTGTAATCACAAATGTTAAACACTCAACGATAGCTATCCCAGGATACATTGTACCTGTAATCACAAATATTAAACACTCAACGATAGCTATCCCAGCATACATTGTAACTGTAAACACAAATGTTAAACACTCAACGATAGCTATCCAAGGATACATTGTACCTGTAATCACAAATATTAAACACTCAACGATAGCTATCCCAGGATACATTGTACCTGTAATCACAAATATTAAACACTCAACGATAGCTATCACAGCATACATTGTACCTGTAATTACAAATATTAAACACTCAACGATAGCTATCCCAATATACATTGTACCTGTAATCACAAATGTTAAACACTCAACGACAGCTATCACAGCATACATTGCACCTGTAATCACAAATAATAAAAAATCAAAGATACCGTAGCTATCCCAGCATACATTATACATTTATTGACTGAGTTCGAGGGCAACATGCGTTTTGTCGGACCCAAGAACCAAACTGTCTTTAGCTATCGTTGAGGGTCGACAAAACGCATTTTCCCCGAGAACACAGTCAATAAATGTTTTGTTATACCTTTCATTTCAATTCTTTTTACATACATGTATTTTGTACTGTCTTTCGTGAAGTAACATCACTTTTGAACACCAACGAATGAAAATAAGATTAAGCTCCGCCCATTCTGTGACGTAAGCGGTCCAACATCTCACTCCGCGGTCCAACATCAATTTTTTTTTTATGCCCGCTGAGCAAAACATCAGAAATGTTAGACTTTTTTACGTATAGATTTGTATAGGAACAAATTTTTAAAGGTGTAACAAAAAAAATAAGCAAAACAAACATTATCCTCTGAACTCAAAAGGTGTGCCATGGAGAATCAAGCATTCTTTGTCGATTTTGCACGTAAAAACCACGGCAATAAAGTTCTTTTCAAATTTTTGAAACTATATGATTTGTGAATGAAAAAAAATATTCTGCTAAAAGGTAGCACACTCATTAGCAATGCAATTCCAACAGATTAATGTAAAATCTTGTCTCAAAAAAAGAAAAGAAAAAGAAAACCAGAAGACATTTTCATCGAGAGACTCAAGTATCTCTTAATTTCAAACTCATGACTATCTTTTTTTTTAAAAATATCATTTAACTTCCTTAATACATGAAATTAGGAAGCACTATATATAAAATAATTGTAAACTTTGCAGCGAAAATGTAGTTACAAGTACATGTATCTGGCTAAGAATATGCAGGAGACTTATTAAAATTGTTCTCATCGCTTGAACCTGTCCAGTGTTTAATTGTCTTTGAATTTAAAACGCATTTCCTCAATTCCAGTTTTCAAATTTGCACCTCATGTGCAAATGTATGTTTTTCAATCCTCGAATAGAAAAGATTTTCTCTGTAATCTATAGCTAGGATTCTCTAAAACTAAAATTGTTGATATGGCCTTGTGGATATATTTGACTTGTTTTAAGATCTTTTGCAATGTACATTGTGTAATGAAAGCTCTTGTTTCTGAACTTGCATGCTGGAAAACTTCACACTTTCTTTGGGAGCATCTACAATTCATATTGTTAAGATTGGTGTTATGGAAATAATTAAGATGATAAGAGTATCTAAGATCCTCTGCAATTCATCAACTATTTGTGGATAGGTATAGTTATGAATATAATTTTAATGTAATTTTGAAAATAAATGACCCGATTCGAGTGATCTATGATCTTTACATTCTCCTTTTACTACATGGTGTCATCTTGGTTCAAACTGACCTGTTGAGATTTAGGTCTTTTATAACTAACCTTGTTTGTGGACAGGTGTCATTTTGGACATAATCGACCTGATTAGCGGAAGTGGACTCAAACCAAAAGCCCCGATCACCGACGCTAAAATAAGGACACAAAATTAATGATTTCTATCTAAGTACATGTATATTCCACAATGTTTCATTATTATAATCACTTGTTTATTTAGAAAATAATTTTATTTATCATGAACTTCCCTGAATAATAATCTATTTCCCGTTTGTTTGATTGATATTGACTATTAGATTTGCAATCAGTTTAACATCTTTCTTTATCATATACATGTGAACAGGAAAAATTCCATCAAAAATAATTTTCTATCAAGTTAAATTACATGAAGTACTTTTGAACTCATTCTCAAAATTTGCAATTAAACTATGACTTATGGAAACATGATGGTCTCTTTTCTTGAATTAAACAATAAAATCACAGTTTATTATCAGTCGAGGTAAGCTGTCATATTCTGTTGCAATGTAATTCTAACGTGGCATTACTTACCTACGATGAGAAAGCTTGTAGATGGTGCGATTCCGATCAAAATGAAAGACACAACTGAAGAAGCCGATCCTATCAGAGCTATAGTTTCATCATTAAATTTATTTTGTAATAGTTTTATCCCAAGTAAGATAACACTATCAGAGACAATAGTCTTACTTGTCTGAAATATCCCTATGACCACGGGTTTAAAACAGAAGGGTGTGTCCATCACGTAATAAATCTCAACGCTAAACGAACCAAGTCGGGGTAGAACTACAAATACAAAAGCAGATAAGGAAAGAACATATCTCCATTTTGACGAGTGTTTATTTACAGGATCATCCTTGATATAAAATTGAATCAAGTTTTTAAAGTAAGTCTTCATATTGCAGTCAAACTTAATCCTCTTGCTCTCGTCCAGAGTTTCCTCGATAAAGTACAGAATAATCATTGGCACTATGCTTGTCATGCTGGATATCGCCAGACCCCAGGTGAAGCCTAACTTATTGATGATAAAACCAGAAGCAAATGATCCAGAGGCGTAGCCCATGCTGATCATAAACCCCACCATAGCAATCAGAAAGGATCTCGATTTCCCGACATCAGTCAAATCCGATACCATTGCCATAGCAAGAGATATCTGAGTAACCCAGCTACCACAACAACCGTCAATGAAACTGAAAACAACAAAAATGTAGATGTTCCACTGAAATCTCACTGCTACACACATGAAAAGGGCTTTCAGAAATATACCGATATTGCTCACAAGAATGAAGGGTTTTCTGCCTTTAGAATCACTTAGTGACGAAAACAACCCTGCTGATATCAATAACGGTATTCCTTGAGCAAGGGCCATAAAAATTGACCATTGTGATACATCGGCCTGAACACGTTGTTCCTTATGATACTCCTTTGAACTTGTGTTAGTTTCACACAGTGATTTGGAGCTGTGATTTTTTCGGAAATCGTCATCTGGATATTTCAGATCGTGAAATGCCTTGTGCCCATATTCCCCGTAGGAATAAGTCCCCACCGAATACGCAAAACTTAAAGTTAATAGCACCCCGGAGATAGGAGCCATCCTTGCAATACAGTTTGAATCCTTTGTTGAGGCCTCCATTTGTTTTACCTTTATAGATCTGAAGTTACTTTGTCAAAGAGGAAATAAATGTTGACTCTATGACGTATTTGAATCGGAACATAGATACTAATTCTACTCAGTCAGGAGAAGAAACAACACATTTTTCCCGCTTTGGTAAGGCGCACTTCAAAATGAATTTGAAAAGAGACTTTACCCTCTTACAGAATGCACGATACACTACTGTTTTTTAAAAAAAAAACATTCAAAGAATACGGAAATGGTCTGAGAAGGGGAAGATTTCAGAATCACGAGCCATAATAAGGAAGTATCACACATTTTTACGGAAATCAGCAAGTATATTATATTAAGTAATGTTAAATTGCTAATTGCAACTAAATGAGGAAGTGATGCATTTAGTTGGACAATTATAAGCATTTCGTTCTTTTATGTACTTAGTTCAGGAAAAGATCCATTCTTAGAAGTTTGTATCGTGTTGCATCTTTCATGAATATCAATAAAATATATCGATATTTGTATTCAAGTTCAAAAGTCCATTAATTAATACAAAATGGTACAGAACAAAAACGAAAAAAAATCAGAGGTGGGATCAAGTGTCATGGATGAGTGTGCAACCCCTGTCGATCATTCAATGGCTTAACAATTAGTATGAAATATGTCAGTCAGCATTTGCCCTAATGATAAATTGTTTTTCAACTTTATACACAACCATCCCTCACGATAAATTAAAGTCCAGGCTTTTTGATATCATTGACAGCTGCTTTTTCAATAAAAATGGAACTCGTAAATTTACTTACCTGGTCATTGGACATTTGCAAAATTATTTTGTAAAAACACATTCTGATTATACACACAAGTACTCTGAAGTTGACATCAAAAAGATGCTTGAGTTTCTGATTGACAAGATATATGTGGTTTTGGAGACCAGGTATTTCAACAATCTATTGGAATTCCTGTGGGTACCAATTGCGTTCCGGTATTAGCAGACCTATTTTTGTATTCATATGAAGCAGAATTTGTGCAAAATCTTATGCATGAAAAGAAGACACTTGCCGTGGGCTTCAACTCAACATTTAGATATATTGAAGACGTATTGTCAATCGTTATTTCCATTCCTGTGTCGATACGATATATCCTGGTGAACTTGAAATAAAAGATACCACAGAGTATGACACAACTGTTTCATATTTGGATATTTTACTTGAAAAAGACGTTAATGGTAATCTAACAACCATGCTCTATGATAAACATAATGACTTTAACTTTTCTATCGTCAACTTCCCTTAGTTATGCAGCAATATACCTTCATCTTCTGCATACGGCATTTACATGTATATAACTCAGTTGATTCGATACGCAAGAGTATGCTCTACGTATGAACAATTTCTAAAACAAGGTAAATTATTTACAAATAAGTTGATGAAATAGGAATATCAGAAGTCTCATTTAAAGTCAACATTTCGTAAGTTTTTTGGTCGATGCAATGACCTTGTCAGCAATGAGTCTAATGCTGACTGACGTTTTTCGTACTAATGGTTAGTCCATTATTTATACACTGAATTGACGACGGATTTTTCCGTTATTTCCCGATCATGACAAGGAGCACACGGCGGGTGTGAATGGTCAGCAGGGGATGATCACTCCTCCATGGCACCTGATTCCACCTACTATGATTTGGAGGTCCGTGTTTGCTCTGCTCCTATTTTGTATTGTTTTATGAATTTTGATATTGAATACGGTTCGTTATCTTCATATCCTTCACTGAGAGCATGCTCTTGCGTATCGAATCAACTGAAAGAAATAAACCGTGTACACACGTGATGAAGGTGCTGCAGGGTAGTAAACGATTGAAAAGATATCACGCTTATCATTAAGTTTGGTAGTTATAAAACCTTTACATGTTTTTCGAGTAAGATATTTAAGTAGAAACAGATGTGTCAGACTCAATGGTATCTTTTTATTCACCGGGATCAGCTCGGGATATATCGTATCGACATAAGATTTGAATTAACCATTGTTAATCGACAATACATCGTTATTATATAGCTAAATGTCGAATAGAAAACCACATCAAGTGTTTTTTTTAATTTTTGGGTATAAGATTTCGGACATATTCTGCTTCATATAAATACAAAAATAGGTCTGCTATTGAATGTTTTGAGTCAGTCGATTATCATCGATACAAAATCGGAGAAATATTAGTTAAGGGATGACAATATGTAGTAAATACAATATCTACTACAGATTAAAAGAAATGTCTATACATGCACTTTAAATTTAAATAAAAACATGAAAAAAGTATTCTCTGATCGCTCTTTATTTTTTAAGGAAAAGTTTGTTTTGGGTAATATACATGTACTCAATTTGTGAAATATCGCATTCGATTCACCTCAATGCAACAACAAAGTTTTCTGGAGTTTCGAAAATAAAATGACAGGTGTTTAGTAAGATAAGAAACAATAACTTCCATATAGTGAACCCCTTATTAAAATATCAGCTCATCATCATAATCCTCGTTATCGTTATCATCTGTTTGGTTTTTTTTTTTAGGATTTAACTTCCTTGCTACCTTTCCCGTTAACAGTTTACAACATTTTTTTTTCCAATTGATATTGTATTGCTACCTGGTAATGCTTTTCTATCATAATAGCTATGTAATTTCAGACATTGATGCTATATTCCCTCCACTTAAAGTTTATATCCTTCATTTCATAGTTCACAATGTTGTTATTCCGGGTTCACTATGATACTGTATTCTCTCCGATTATAATTTTTCACGGAGTCCTTAACTAGAAACCTGCAAAAGAAATGCCATTCATTATGTCCATTCAACATAAAATATTTCATTGACGAATAATTTCGTAAGATTATTGCAATTTGTAGTTATTTTACATAATGATTTGTACATCCAGGTTATAAGAAATATCAAAGATAAACTTGCCATGACTAACATATATATATATATATATATATATATATATATATATATATATATATATATATATATATATATATATATATATATATATATATATATATATATATATATATATATATATATTTATGCGCCGGGATCGATAGATCCGGTGCATATATTGTTTTTGTCCTGTCTGTTTGTCTGTTTGTCGGAAAACTTTAACATTCACCATCACTTTTGAACTATTAAAGATAGTGACTTCATATTCGGTATGCATACTCCACTAATTAAGATCTTTTAAATGACACAAAGGTCAATGACTGTTTGACTTTGAGCTATGACCTATATTCTACAAATAATTTTTTTTCGAATTTTGTTGTCGCCGAGCGTAAAGTGTTTCACAAACACATCTTGTTTTTTTTTTTAATTCTCGTTTCACAAAAGACATTTTGCTTGCCCTGTTTATCCATTTTTTAAGAACTTTAATACAAGCATAACCATCTGATTTATGTAATGTATTTTACAGAATCATAAAATTGTACTTACAATAAAAGTAACACTGCTAATAAGAGAAATCCCGAAAACACTAGATATACTGTTCCTCTGTAGAAGGATATTGTCTCCGAGTAGATAGCGCCCCCTAGGACTGAACTAGAGAGGTTACAGATGTTCTCTACTATTGCCAGACTGCCGAACAGCATTCCTAGATGTATTAAAAACAATATGTTTGTTCATTTTTATATTGCATACACTTTCAAAATTACATGGCTTAACTATTTCAAGGGCAAATATTGAAAAGGCTAAAATATAAACCTCTATTACGTTTCTAAAAATTAAAACAAATAAATTTCTATCATTAAAAAGCTACGTTTGAGCAGATAATAAACCATGTTGTTTGTTGAAAATTTCTTTAACATTTTAAAATTAAAATTAAAACTTCAAAATTCTTATAATGAACAATTTCTAAAACGAGGTAAATTATTGGCAAATAAGTTGATGAAACAAGAATATCAGCAGTCTCGTTTAAAGTAATCATTTCGTAAGTTCTATGGTAGATACAACGACCTTGTCAGCAAAAACAATTTATCATTGAGTCAAATGCTGACTGACGTTTTTCATACTAATTGTTAGTTCATTATTTATACAGTGAATTGACGACTGATTGTTCCGTTATTATCCGATCATAACAAGAAACACACCTGATCTCACCTCTGATCTTACGGAGGTCCATGTTTTCTCTGCTCCTATTTTGTATTGTTTTATGGACTTTGAAATTGAATACTGTTCGTTATCTCCATACCCTTCCTTTAACCCTCATCTTAAAGTTTGTTTCTTTCATTCAAATTAAACTTATTTCACTGGTACTGAAAAAACCTTGGATTTACAGTTTACACTTCAAGAATATCTCTGAAAGTTTAAACAATATATGATGTTTTCATTTCTTAGAAATTCCTTTCTTTTTATTTCTTCGAGATTTTTTGATGATTGTTTTCATTGAAGAAAAAAATCTGCTTGATGTATTGGTTTCATCATGAAATTAAAATTATCTCAGTCAAAAGTAAACGATTTGATACTGATGCATATTAATTCAAAGTAAATAAAACGCAATATAAATTAATCTAACATAAATAACTACAATAGGTACTGGCCATTGGGTTAGTGGGTGTTGTGGGTAAAATGTACTACATCTAGATGTTGGCATTTTAAAAATATTAATTCCTGGCAGAAATAACAAAAAAAAAACAAAAAACAAAAAACTATATCTGTTGTAAACAGCTAAAAATAGTATAAATAATGTACCTTGTTTGTGGGGTGGAGTCATCCTTGACATAATTCCTCTGATCATTGGGATAGAACTCACACCCACAGCTCCAACGGCAGCCGCTGTTTACAAAATGATCAAAATATCAAATGGTTCTAACCATTGTTTAAAATTAACATAGCTTTTTTATGAAAGGTTCTACATAAACAATTAGTTGAATGATTTTAACAACAAAAGCCGCAAGTATATTTTTACGTTAAATTCTTACTGACATGAGAAATCATAATACATGTATAAATAGGACGTATTTAGGATCTCCCATGGTACCTGATCCCACCCCTGATGTTTCGGAGGTCCCTGTTTGCTCTGCTTCTATTTTGTATTGTTTTATGGACTTTGATATTGAATACTGTTCGTTATCTCCATATCCTTCTTGTAGCAGGATATGATTTTTATCCGAGTTGTGTGTTGTCGTTTTTTTATATCCCGAGGCTTACAAGGGGATATAAATGAGTTGGATAAAAATCATATCCAACTACAAATCATGAG